TCTTGCTCCCCTTGCCCTTCCTTCTGCCCCGGCTGACCAGGCTACGGGGCAAGGCACCTGGGGCTCTGAGGCCCCCCGGGCAGGTGCCAGCAGCCACCACGGGCCGGCCCTGTGGGAAGGCAGGCGGGCCTCTTGGCAGGGCGGGGACTCCGGGCCTGGCCGCTGTCTGCGTGAGGTGTGACGAGAGCGGGGGACTGCTCGGCTCCAACAGACTGAACTCTGTCTTTACTGTCTTTCAGATGGCAGCAGTGACAATGGGCTTTGGAGATCCTCTCTCACCTTTGCAATCGGTCAATAGAAATGCTCACTTCTTCCGGGGCTCATGTCCTTAGTCAGGGCTAGAGGGGGGCAGTGCAGCCGCGTGCTGGGGACCTTGCTCCCCGAGCCGGCCCTGCCCGCCAGCTCGGACGCGCGCAGCAGAGCGCCAGGCGTGGCGGGGCCAGTGGTGTGGGCGGGCACCCACCTGGGACCGCCCCCGGGGAGGCCTCCATCTGCTCTGAGGGCCAGGTAACTGCGGAGGGCAGCCGGCCAGGAGGGTAGCTGCCCACGCCAGGCCCACCTGTACCCGTGCCACCCGCACGCACGGGGCGCACCACCCAGGCCTCCAGCTCCGCCAGTCTCCGGGCTGCTGGCTCTTGGGTTGGGGTCAGGCCCTGAGGAGAGAAGGGTCCTAACTCATGGCCCCATCAGACCCTGGAGGGAGGACGGATGGACAGGGTGGGGGGCTGGGGGACCCGAGCAAGTGAGAGAGGGAAGGGCGAGGCCTTGGGCCTGGCTGTGAGCAAGGGGTAGAGGCCATGGCCAAAGTGGGCCAGGGAGGAGGCGGTGGCCGTGGCCTTGGCTGCCACAGGCAGGAGTCTGGGAAGGAGACACCCCTCCATCCCCCAGAGGCAGGCTGAGGAGGCCAGGGACCCCTCTGGGAACATGGCCTTTTCTCGGGGGCCGCCCCTGGGCGTGCCGCTCTCCCAGGGGCGACGAGGTTCTGTCCTGAAAGGCCGGGCAGACCCAGGGTCCTCTCTGGGAGGTGTCTGTCTGTGGGGAGACATCGGGAGAGGGCTCTTGGCCCACCTGCTCTTGGGCAGCCCCCCCTGAAGGGGGGAGTGCTTCTCTTGGGGAACTCTGACCTGAGGGGCAGATGCTTTCCCACCTCAGATACCTAGTGTGAGAGGGGACATGGTTCCATCTTTGGGGTCCTTGGTCTCAACAGGGAGCCTGAGGCCTATTTGTCGAGCGCCCAGTCTGAGGAGGGAGTCCCGTTTTGGGGGAATCCCTGGTTCGGGGGGCTGTGGACCATTTTATAAGGCCCTTCTTCGAGGGAGGGGAGGCCCAGCCTGTCCTAAGCTCGCTGGGGTCTAGAGAAGGGAGCCGGCCTCTGGTTATGGGGGCCTGTGTGGGGGTGCGGGGAGCCCTGCTGGTGGGGAAGCCAGAGCCAGTGCCCCGCCATCTCTGCCTGCCCCGGGCCTGGGGTCTCCTCCCCGGGGCCCGGCCCCTCCTGCCGGCCCGCCCCGTGGGGCTGTGGGCATCCCCCCCGCCTGGCATGGTGTGTGCGAGGCGGCAGGGGTGGGAACCCCTTCCCCGAGGGCATGGGGAGGTCACTAAGCCCAATGGCCAGGCGCCCCCAGTGCAGAGGCAGCGTCAGCCCTGAGGCCTGCCAGGCCTGTCGCCTGACGTCCCTAGGCCGGCCCTTTCGGCTGCAGGCGGGGGCTCCGGGCAGCTCTTTTTTGTGAGGGGATCCCGGCACGGGGGTCTTGAGATCATTGAGTCCCCGCCTGAGCTGGCCCTGCACGAGCAGCTCTTCTTCATTCTCTCTGCAGGGGGCCCCCGTCTGGGCTCCCGACCTCCCCCCAGGGTCTCTTCTGGGCAGTAGCTGCCCTGTCTTCTGTCCCCCTCTTGCCTCCGCACCAGTGGGTCCCTCCAGCTTGGACGACCTCCCTTCCCTCTTCTGTCGGAACAGTCGGTCAGGACCTGGGAGGATCTCCCAGCCCAGCCCAGGCTTCCTGGCCTCCAGACTGGAGGGGTGGGCTGGGGGGGAGGGCACGCTGCCCTGCCTCCTGGCCACCTGTCAGCTTTGCTGCTGGTCTGCCCAGGGCCTGGACGGGCCAGGGTGCGTCCGTGTCCTGTCTTTGGGCCTGGTCTTCCTTCCTGGGGATAGGGTCCTGCTGACCCTCACGCCCTGTCTGCAAGGGCTGAGCCCGCACCGTGCTGCTGCGTGGGAGCCCTCACCGCAGTGGTGCCGAGTGGGTGGGCCTGGAGGGGAGTGGGCTGCCTAGCCTCCTGCCACCCCGTCACAAGCCAGTGGCACTCTCTCCCCTTGTGTCCTGCTCCAGATGGCAGCTCAGCGGCAGCGGGCACTGGCCATCATGTGCCGGGTCTACGTGGGCTCCATCTACTATGAGCTGGGCGAGGATACCATTCGCCAGGCCTTTGCTCCCTTTGGGCCTATCAAGAGCATTGACATGTCCTGGGACTCCGTCACCATGAAGCACAAGGTGAGAGTTGTTCTTTTCTGCCCTGCCCCCACCCAGGGCTACCCAGGCCTAACGGCGCGTCCCTGCTTTGCCTTTGTCCAGGGCTTTGCCTTTGTGGAGTACGAGGTCCCAGAAGCTGCCCAGCTGGCCTTGGAGCAGATGAACTCAGTGATGCTGGGCGGCAGGAACATCAAGGTGAGGGCCAGGGGGGCGGGCCTGGGGGCTGGTGCCCAGCGTGTGTGCTCAGTCCAGTCATCCAGGAGACACGGTCGCCCTCCCGGAGCCGGAAGTGGCCAGGCCTAGGCTGACTGGGGGCTCTCGGTCCCCTGCTTCTCCCCTAGGTGGGCAGGCCCAGCAACATAGGGCAGGCCCAGCCGATTATAGACCAGCTGGCCGAGGAGGCACGTGCCTTCAACCGAATCTACGTGGCTTCCGTGCACCAGGACCTTTCAGACGATGACATCAAGAGCGTGTTTGAGGCCTTCGGCAAGATCAAATCTTGCACGCTGGCCCGGGACCCCACGACCGGCAAGCACAAGGGCTATGGCTTCATTGGTGAGCGGGGGGGCTGAAGCAGGGCCGGGGCCGAGGCCCACCCGCACCATGGCTGGCCCTCACTGCTGCTCCTGCCCTGCAGAGTATGAGAAGGCCCAGTCGTCTCAGGATGCCGTGTCTTCCATGAACCTCTTTGACCTGGGTGGCCAGTATTTGCGGGTGGGCAAGGCTGTCACACCCCCCATGCCCCTGCTCACACCAGCCACACCTGGAGGCCTCCCACCAGCTGCTGCTGTGGCCGCAGCTGCAGCCACAGCCAAGATTACAGCTCAGGTGAGGGCTGGTGGCGGTTGTGCGGGTTCAGTCCTGGGCAGCAGGCCCCCGGTGCTCTGGGGACTGATGGGCTCTCCGCGTGGCAGAGAGTGGACGCAGCCAGACTGGGGACTGAAAGTGGGGGGCCTCTTGGGTTGCAGGAAGCAGTGGCTGGAGCAGCGGTGCTGGGTACCCTTGCCACACCTGGACTCGTGTCCCCTGCCCTGACTCTGGCCCAGCCCCTGGGGGCTTTGCCCCAGGCTGTCATGGCTGCCCAGGCCCCAGGCGTCATCACAGGTGAGCCCGGCGTGGGGCGGGGGCCAAGACTTCCCTCCTTCCCCTGCCCCTCTGTTCTGGGCTGCTGCCTCCAGCTGCCCTCAGCTTCCTGGCCTATAGACTCCAGGCCTAGCCCTCTGCACCTGGGGCAGGCCATCTGAGGTTGCGTGCTCCTCCCTGGGAAGGACGGAGGTGACCGCTGGACCTGCTGGGTTTGCTGCAGGTGTGACCCCGGCCCGGCCTCCCATTCCGGTCACCATCCCCTCAGTGGGAGTGGTCAATCCCATCCTCGCCAGCCCTCCGACGCTGGGCCTCCTGGAGCCCAAGAAGGAGAAAGAGGAGGAGGAGCTATTTCCTGAGTCGGAGCGGCCCGAGATGCTGAGCGAGCAGGAGCACATGAGCATCTCGGGCAGCAGCGCCCGCCACATGGTCATGCAGAAGCTGCTCCGCAAGCAGGAGGTGGGCGCTGAGTGCGGGCGGCAGGGACGGACGGGGTGGGGGCTGTGTGGTCCAGCTGCCCCAGCGCTCAGCTGTCGTTGCCCCCCCCCCCCCCCCCCCCAACAGTCCACAGTGATGGTTCTGCGCAACATGGTGGACCCCAAGGACATTGATGACGACCTCGAGGGGGAGGTGACGGAGGAGTGCGGCAAGTTTGGTGCTGTCAACCGCGTCATCATCTACCAGGAGAAGCAGGGTGAGGAGGAGGATGCAGAGATCATCGTCAAGATCTTCGTGGAGTTCTCCATGGCCTCTGAGACTCACAAGGCCATCCAGGCCCTCAATGGGCGCTGGTTCGCGGGCCGCAAGGTGGTGGCTGAAGTCTATGACCAGGAGCGTTTTGATAACAGTGACCTCTCTGCGTGACCTTGGCCCCATCCCCAGGACTTGTACTTGCTCTCCTTCCCTCTGTGTTTTATAGTGTCTCGGCCCAGCCGCCCCGTGCGCATAAAGGTGCAGATGCTGCTGGCCCTGAAGGCCCCTGTGCCGGTGGTCTTGTTCTTGGCTTTGGGGGCGGGCGACTTCTTGGGCTCCCCGAGAAGCAGGGCAGGAAGGAGGGCGGTTACTGGGCTTGGTTAGGGGTCAGTTTGGTGAAGGTGGAGGCGGGGTGGGCTCTGGGCAGGGGGCCCACTGTCCGCCGCCCGGGCGGCTCTGGGAGACCGCTGGCTCGGAGCCCCGGAAGTCGCGGGGCGCTTCCTCTCCACCCGACGGATGAGAGGGGTGGCGAGCGGGGTCGGCGGCGGGGGATCCGGGCGGGACGCTGGACCTCTGCGGACTACAGCTCCCGCCGTGCCTTGCGCCGACAGCGAGCGGGAGCCGAGCTTCCCGGCAGTCTGTGCGTGGAATCACTACGGGTCCCCGGAGGCGCTAGCGCCGCACAGCCTTTTGGGGGTTGCAGTCCCGGTGGCGATGGGCGGGCCTCGGCTTCCCGGCGGGCTGCGCGGCGGCCGGCGGTTGTCGGCGGGGCAGTCCGGCGGGCAGCGGCGGCGGTTCCGGCTGCAGCACAGAGGCGGACGAGCCGGTGAGGCGGGATGCCGGGCCGCCGCCGCCTTTGCCGCCTCCTGAGGATCTGAGCGCCGGCCGGGCCGAGCGTCCCAAGCGCGTGCCGGGCCCAGCGCCGCCGCGGCCGGGCCGCCCCCGCCCCTTCGTCCCTCGCCGCGGCCGCCCCGGCGCTCATGCGGGCCGAGCCCCGCCCCCCGCCCGCCGCCGGAGCCCGCGCCCGAACCCGCGCCCGCCCGCACCATGCTCAAGTGCATCCCGCTGTGGCGCTGCAACCGGCACGTGGAGTCGGTGGACAAGCGGCACTGCTCGCTGCAGGCCGTGCCCGAGGAGATCTACCGCTACAGCCGCAGCCTGGAGGAGCTGCTGCTCGACGCCAACCAGCTGCGCGAGCTGCCCAAGGTGCGCCGCCGCCCGCGAGCCCCGCCGGCCCGGCCCGGCCGGTTCTCACCGGCCACGGCCCCGCCCGGCCAGCCTCGCCCGCCGCGGGCGCCGGCACCAGGTGGCCGTGGTCATCAGGTGCCTGCCTGGGTCGGGGTGGTCCCCCGCCTACAGGAGGAGCCGCAGAGTGAGAGCCCGAAGGGGAGAGGAGGGTGGAAGGTGAACGCGGTCTGTGCGCGGCACTACCTTGCTGGGCTGCTCTGAAGGGGGGCCGGCCTTCCCCTCGGATCGCTTTCCTCTTCCTCCTGGCTGCGGCGGGGTAGGGCCCCCCTCCCCAGGTGCTTGTCCCTGACAGGTCTATCCCCCACCCTCCCCCGCTTCCCCTGCTGCTGCTGTCGTTCCTTCGGGTCAGCTTGCGTTCGTCCTCCCAAGGCCACTCTGGAGCGGAGGCTAAAGGAAGCAAATCACAAAAGGATTTCCTTTTCGGAGACAGGGTGCTGAGTGGGCGGGTGCCTGGGGGCTGTGGGCCGCAAAGGGCGTGGCTCTGCTCTGGACTTGGGCGCCCGGGCTCTCCCTTGGCGCCCCCCCCGCCCCCCCCCCCCCCGCCCCCTGCCCCCGCTGCCAGCGGCCCCTGCCCACAGCACCGCGTGCCTGTGGTGCTCTACTGTTGTTGGTGCTCTTTTTGGCGATGGCCAAGCTCTTGCTTGGGCAGGACGTGCTGCTAGGGCAGAGTAGCAGAAGCCACTGGAGGAGTTGCCTGCTGGGTGCGGGGAACAGGTGATTCAGGTGGTAGGTGGAGTTTGGAGGGAACATAGAAAGCAGGAAACGGACTGGCCAGGTTACAGAGAGGTGACACCTCCAGTAAGACTTAAGTACGCGAGGGGCTGGGAGCATGTCTGAGGTGACACGGACACCCCATGTCAACAGTGGTGTAGCAAGGCGTGTGTGCGGGTCTTGCTCTCCCTGCCTTGCCTGCCGCAGCCCCAGGCACCATGGCAGGACCCTGGGCTCCTTGTGTGGCCGAGAGCAGGCAGAGGCCTAGCGGATGCGTGACCTGGGGCTGCGCCTGCTCTGGAGGGGCCTCTGCCACAGGGCTCAGCCCCTAGCCTCACCCGCTGCCCACAGCCTTTCTTCCGGCTGCTGAACCTGCGCAAGCTGGGCCTCAGTGACAACGAGATTCAGCGTTTGCCCCCGGAGGTGGCCAACTTCATGCAGCTGGTGGAGCTGGACGTGTCCCGGAACGGTGTGGAGCCCAGGGCGGGTCTGGCGGGAGAGCCTGGGGTGGCCAGAAGGGCTCTGAGCCCCTGGAGGCTGTGGGCACCCTCGTGAGCCTCGCTCTTGCTGCAGACATCCCCGAGATCCCCGAGAGCATCCGGTTTTGCAAGGCCCTGGAGATTGCGGATTTCAGCGGGAATCCCCTGTCTAGGTGCGTAGGGGCCGGGGGTGGGGGTGTGGGGTGGGGGTGATTTCAGCCGGGACATCTGAAGTTTCCTCCCCCATGCAGGCTCCCCGAGGGCTTCACTCAGCTGCGCAGCCTGGCTCACCTGGCCCTGAACGATGTGTCCTTGCAGGCGCTGCCTGGGGACGTGGGCAAGTGCGTGTCCTTTTGGGTCCGGGGAGGGGGCTTGGCTCAGCCCTGCTCCTGCCCCTGCCCCTCCCCTGCCGTCCTCCCCTTCCTCACGCGTGTCCCCCCCCCGCCCCCCCCCCCCGCCTCTTTCAGCCTCGCCAACCTGGTGACTCTGGAGCTCCGGGAGAACCTGCTCAAGTCCCTGCCTGCGTGAGTGGCCCGGCTCCCCACCGGTGGCCGCGCGGACTGCAGCCCCCGGGGGCTTAGGCCACGCGTTGGAAAGGAAACTTGCTCTTTTTCCCGTGCAGGTCGCTGTCTTTCCTGGTCAAGCTGGAACAGCTGGATCTGGGAGGAAACGACCTAGAAGTGCTGGTGCGGAGTAGGCGGGGCGTTGTGGGCGAGGCGGGGCCACCCGCAGGTGAGCTCCTGTCACACTTTTCCTTTTTGTCCTTCCAGCCTGACACCCTGGGGGCTCTGCCCAACCTGCGGGAGCTGTGGCTGGACCGGAACCAGCTCTCCATGCTGCCTCCGGTGAGTGAGGGTGTGGCTGGTGGCCGCCCCCACCGCTCACCTTGGCAGCCGTGCCCTGACCCTCCGCGCCTTGCCCAGGAGCTCGGGAACCTCCGGCGCTTGGTGTGCCTGGATGTGTCGGAGAACCGGCTGGAGGCGCTGCCTGCGGAGCTTGGGGGGCTCGCCCTGCTAACGGACCTGCTGCTGTCCCAGAACCTGCTGCAGCGGCTCCCCGACGGCATTGGTCAGTGCCAGCTGGGGGCCAGGTGGCGTCCCTGGGGGGCCGGGCTGAGGGGGGGAGGGGGCGACCGCAAGCAGCCCCTGAGGCGCTTGCAGTGCTGAGCCCGAGAGGGCGTGCAGGCAGCCCTGGCAGCTCCCGGGCCGAGGCGTGGCGGGCGTGAGGCTGGGGCAGGCGGCCTCGCGGGGCGGCCCGCCCTCCACCCCACTCAGCACTGTCGCTGCGACGTCCTAACACCAGGTCAGCTGAAGCAGTTGTCCATCCTGAAGGTGGACCAGAACCGCCTGTGCGAGGTGACCGAGGCCATTGGGGACTGCGAGAACCTGTCCGAGCTGATCCTCACTGAGAACCTGCTGACGGTGGGCCTGGCCGCGGGGGCTCCGTTCTTGGGGGGGGGAAGGCCTCGGGACGGGGAGGAGAGGCCAGGCCCTGCCACGGATCAGCCTGCGGCTCTCGTTTCCTTCCTCGTTCCCAGGGGCCTTCTGCCGCCCTCTGAACTTTCACGCTCCTCCACCCCCGGCCAGGCTCTTCCCCGCTCCCTTGGGAAGCTGACCAAGCTGACCAACCTGAACGTGGACCGGAACCGCCTGGAAGTGCTGCCACCGGAGATCGGGGGCTGTGTGGCACTCAGCGTCCTGTCTCTGAGGGACAACCGCCTGGCCCTCCTGCCGCCCGAGCTTGCCCACACAACGGAGCTGCACGTGCTGGATGTGGCTGGGAACCGGTGAGCGTCCACTGCCCTGCCTGGATGCCCTGAGCCGACCGTGCCGCAGGCCCCCGTGAGCTGACCGTGCCGCGCATTCTCAGGCTGCAGAGTCTGCCGTTCGCGCTCACCCATCTCAACCTCAAGGCCCTGTGGCTGGCCGAGAACCAGGCACAACCCATGCTGCGGTTCCAGACTGAGGACGACGCCCAGACCGGGGAGAAGGTGCTCACCTGCTACCTGCTGCCGCAGCAGCCCCCACCCAGCCTTGGTAGGTTGTGGCCGTGTTGCAAGGGAGCGGGGTGGGGGATGGTGGCCCCGGGCGAGGCTGGGCCCCAACACTCCCTCCTGCAGAGGACCCTGGGCCACGGAGCAGCCCCTCCGAGAGCTGGAGTGACGCCCCGCTGGGCCGTGTCAGCGTCATCAAGTTCCTGGGGGCCCCCACGAGTGACGAGGATGCCGAGGAGGCCGCTGCCGAGAAGCGGGTATGGTGGTGGGGTCCCTGGGCGGGCGGCCCGCTGCCCACCCACGCCCGGCCCCGCCCTGCCCGCCCTCACCCCTGTGCCCGCCGCAGGGCCTGCAGCGCCGGGCCACGCCGCACCCCAGCGAGCTCAAGGTGATGAAGAGGGGCGTGGAGGAGCGGCGCAGCGAAGCCACTGGCAGGCCCGGCCCTGGGCCGCCCTCGCCGTCGGAGGAGGTGACTGGGGCCGAGGACGCAGAAGGGACCCCAGCCTTTGCCCTCTAGGCGCCTGGGGCACCTCACCTGTCCTGGACGTGGGGCTCTGAGGGTCCAGGGTGGTCACGAGACACACAAAGGGAGCAGCCTGGTGAGGGGTTGGCTGCAGGGCCCCTCATTGGCCCAGCTGTGAAGCGGGGCTGAGGTTGGGGGGGGGCGTGCCGTAGGGGTGGGGAGCGCGCGGGGCTGAGGTTGGGGGGGGGGCGTGCCGTAGGGGTGGGGAGCGCGCGGGGCTGAGGTTGGGGGGGGCGGGGGGGTGCTGCCCGGGGGCAGGAGCATGCAAGGACTCGGGCCTTGTCCATCATGGCACAGGGGACGGGGGTCTGGCTCCGTGGCATCTCCTTTGGGTGCCCACCCCCGGCACAGGTGTTACCCACCTCTGCGAAGGGGGTGCGGCCAGAGCCAGGCAGGCCCCGCTTGACTCACGCAGATGCTTTCGGCGACAGTCAGGGGAGCGTCAGGCCCCTCGAGTACAGGCAGGCACCTGCGCCTCGGGGGTGGGGGGGCACGCGGCAAGGCCTGTCTGTGTGCTCCGCCACCGCCCCGGGAAGCAGGCACGGCCTGGCCAGGGCGCTGTGCCCGCGGCAGGGTGTTGGGCCTTTCTCAGCTCCCCCCCACCCCCCGCACCCCCTGGAGCTGATCTTGTCTCTGCTGTTCGTATCTTCTGGGAGAGACTTCCAAGTGGCTGCGTCAGAGAACTGGAGTTCTGTGCTCTCAGTTCCACTTGGTGGCAGCGTGGCTTCCCTGGGGCAGAAAGGGGCTGAGGGCTGCGCCCGCCCTCCCCCACAGGGCCTGGGCAGCTGCGGGGGCTGAGTTCAGCAGGGCAGGCGGGCGGCCCTCGCAGGCTGACTGGCCGCCCGGCCCCCCGCAGGAGAAGAGGCTCAGCAGCAGGTCCGGCCTGAGTGAGGACTCGCCCCCATCCACCAGCACAGCCTCCCCGGGGGAGCCCGCAGTCCTGCTGGCTGAGGAGGAGGAGGAGGAGGAAGAGGAGGAGGCGGAGGCGGAGGCTGGGGAGCTGAGCCCGCAGGAAGCCATGCCCGCTGCCCAGGAGGAGGCCGAAGAGGACACCTACGAGGAGGTGGGCCTGCCTGGGAGGCCGCTCGCCCGGGAGTGCGGCCTGCTTGTCCCCAGCTCTCCACCGCCCTCAAGTGGGGGTGCCGGCAAGATGCCAGAGGCGGGTGGGACGCCAGGAGGGCTCTCTCCGAGATGTCTGCGGAAGTTTGGGCCCGGGGAGGAGGGGCACCCCCACAGGTGCCCCGAAGACTGTCTCCTGGACCTTTGCCTGGTTCCAGTGGTGCTTCTCAGAGCGCCTCCCTGTGGCGGAAGGAGCCTCCCGGCGCCCTGGCCCTCCCCAGCCGCATGTGCCCCGCGCTACTGGAGGCACCGCCCAGGCCTCCCAGTGGCAGGGCATCCCTGTCTGCTGGCTCCCGCCCGGGCTCCCCCAGACCCCTGGGGTTGTCAGGGCCACCCTCATACCTGCCCCTTGCAGCCCACAGTGCGATTTGCAGAGGACACCCTGCCGCCGCCTGGGGAAGACGGCGAGAGTGAGGGGGGGCCGGCGGGGGCCCCCTGGGCCCTGCCTGCCGGGCGGCAGCGGCTCACGCGCAAGGACACACCTCACTACAAGAAGCACTTCAAGGTCTCCAGGCTGCCCCAGCCCGAGGCCGTGGTGGCCCTGCTGCAGGGGGCGCGGCCCGAAGGCGACGGCCCGGCGGGGGCCGGGGGCTGGCACAATGGCCCACACGCGCCCTGGGCCCCTCGGGCCGGGGACGAGGGGGACGAGGAGGACGAGGAGGAGGCGGTGGCTGAGGAGGAGGAGGAAGAGAAGGAGGAGGCCACGGCCTCTGTGCCCTCTGTCAAGGTGGGTCCCCTCCCCCGCCCCGGCTGACTAGACCACCGGCCTCTGGGCCGCGTTGCCCCTGCTGCTCACCGAGCCCCAGGTCTGTGCCGGCGTCCACTTTGGGAGACGCTCTGGGCTCGATGGAGGGGCCGCTCTCCGAGGGCTGCTGACTTCGCCGTCCTCTCCGGGCCGGGCCTTGCGGCCCAGCTGTTCGCCTTTTCGGGCTCCCTCGGGGCTGGGCTTCTGCCAGGTCCTCCCCCGGCCCTCAGACAGCTGTCACGGGCCGACGGGGGTCCCGCCTGGTCCCTGGGGATGCCCTGTCGCCCACGGCGCCCGTCTCGATGCTTCAGTGGCTCTTCCCTGAGCGCCGACGCGGTGCTGGAGTTGCCGAGGGACCTGGGGGTCCGCCTGGAGGGCCCGCCCCGCCCGCCACCCTGCCCTGCTCTGTCCGTGGCGCAGCCACACGCGCCGGGGGCAAGGGGCTGGTGCTCTCGGGCTGTGGGGGCTTAGTGTTGTCTCTCTCTGCTTTCCGCTGGTGCGGGGCCGGGTGCGCGGTGGCGGTGGCGGGCTGGGCGGCGGCTCACCTGCATGCCCTCGCTGGTCCTGTCCTGACAGGGGGTGTCGTTTGACCAGGCCAATAACCTGCTGATAGAGCCCGCGCGCATTGAGGAGGAGGAGGTCTGTACTCGCTGCTCTGGGCTCTGCCCCGGCTGCTGCCGCGCGCGCTTTGCTTTGGGGGCTGCGGGCTCTCTGTTGCCTCCCCCTCGCTCCGCACAGCCCCTCCCGCAGGAGCCCTGCCCTCCCCCAGTCCCTGAGGGGCGGGGCTGTGGCAGTGCTGCCCGCCCGGCAGGGTCAGGCCGCCCGGCCGGATGCTGGGGTGCTCCTGCCCGCCGCACCCCGTCTGTAGGGCCTCAGGCCTCATCGCCCACAGACAGGTGCCCCTCCCGGGCCGCCCTCCCCTGAGCCCTAGGCCGCCGCACTCTGCCCTGCGGCGCCTCTGGCCCCCGGCAGGGTGCCGTGCAGAGGCCTGGGCCCCCCATCCCCGCTGGGCCGGCCTCTCACAGCCCACCCCGGACACCATGTTTTCTCTTTCCAGCTGACGCTCACCATCGTGCGGCAGACAGGGGGCCTGGGCATCAGCATCGCGGGGGGCAAGGGCTCCACCCCCTACAAGGGAGATGACGAGGTGAGGAGCTGCCCTGCCCTGTCTCCCTGGCCGGGGCCTCCTGGGGCTGCCGGGGCCTCCTGGCTTCAGCGCCTGCTTTCTTTTCGGTGCTGCCCCCTCCCCCAAGGAGACACCACCCCCTTCTCTCTCGGTGGCTGGGTCCCGGGCGCCGGGTCCGAGCCTCGCCCCACTTCCTGTTGACTCGGGACGGAACTTGAACTTGCGAGGGATCCTGGAGTGGGAGGGCGTCTCAGAGGGCAGCTCTGAGCCTGGTTTGGGTTGAAAACCACTGCTGGCAGCTGACCTGCGCCCACAGCTCGAGCCCACGGCTCCTCTGCACAGGCGGTGCCCCCAGGTGGCGGGGCGCCGGGCCGTGCCACCTTCGGGCTCAGTGTCCACGTGTCCCCAGGGCATTTTCATCTCCCGGGTGTCTGAGGAGGGCCCCGCCGCCCGGGCCGGAGTCCGAGTGGGCGACAAGCTCCTTGAGGTAAGTCGGGGCCCTCAGGGACCACACTGTCCCACACAGACAGGCACCCCCTCAGGGAATGGGGGCCGCCCGAGCACTGGCCCCAGGCAAGGAGGGATTCAGGTGGCCCGAGGCAGAGACCCCCACCTGGGAGGATGCCAGCTGCACCTGGAGCTGTGGCCTCCGCAGGAGGTGCTGCTCCTGGGGGTCCTGGGCGGTGCCCCCGCCCCTGGTGGGTCTGGGTTGGGGGTTTGATTCTGGCTCTGGAGCCCCTGCCTGGGCCTCCAGCCTCCCGGCTCCGGCAGGGCCGGCGCCGCCCTGGCATCGGGGAGAGCTGAGGGCGGAGGAGCCCCGGGCCCCGGGCCGAAGGACGAGCTGCTGACGGAAGGAGGGCAGGGCGTCTCTTAGGCCGGGCCCGCCGGTGTGGACTGACGCGCATGTGGGGCCTCCGCCTGCCCCCTCAGGCTGGGGGGTCGCACAGGCGGGAGCTCCTCTGTGCCCCTCCCGCCGGGGGAGGGCCGGCCCTGACACATTGTGGTCCGCAGGTGAACGGCGTGGCCTTGCAGGACGCGGAGCACCACCAGGCCGTGGAGGCGCTGCGGGGGGCGGGTGCCACCGTGCGGATGCGGCTGTGGCGGGAGCGCATGGTGGAGCCCGAGAATGCGGTCACCGTCACGCCTCTGAGGCCCGAGGACGACTACAGCCCCCGGGAGCGGCGGTTTGGCAGCCTGCGCCTGCCCCAGCCCGAGACCCCCGGGCCCCTCCGGCAGCGCCACGTGGCCTGCCTGGTGCGCAGCGAGAAGGGACTAGGCTTCAGCATCGCTGGCGGAAAAGGCTCCACACCCTACCGGGCTGGCGATGGGGTGAGCCAGCCGCAGGGGCGGCGTGGGGGCGTGGGGGCGCGGGGCCAGCGCCAGCTGCCCCCCGGCCCGGTCTTCCTGCCCCACGGCTTGCTCCCCCTCCCCTCAGGGCATCTTCATCTCCCGAATCGCCGAGGGGGGCGCTGCTCACCGGGCAGGCACGCTGCAGGTTGGCGACCGCGTCCTCTCGGTGAGTGGGGGTGGGGGTCGCCCAGCACTCCCTCTGCCCCAGCTGCCTGTGGGGCCCCACCCCGCTGACCGGCCTCGCCCGCGCAGATCAACGGGGTGGACATGACGGAGGCCCGGCACGACCACGCTGTCTCTCTGCTGACCGCCGCCGCCCCGACCATCGCCCTGCTGCTGGAGCGGGAGGCCGGGGCGCCCCCCCCGCCCAGCCCCCCGCCACGCTCGCCCCCACCCCTCCCTGCCGCTGCCGCTGCCGTGGCCACTGCCACCCCCGGGGACCCCGGGCCACTGAGACTGGCCCCCGGCCTGCTGGCCGCCGCCCTAGAGGGGCCATACCCAGTGGAGGTGAGACCGCAGCCCTGTCCAGGCCACAAGTTCCAGGGAGGGAAGGGGGGGCTCAGGCCCTGTGGTCCCCCACGTGCCCAGCACAGAGACCGCCCCCGATGTCCCCAGGAAATCTGCCTGCCAAGAGCCGGGGGCCCGCTGGGGCTCAGCATCGTCGGGGGCTCCGACCACTCCAGCCACCCGTTTGGAGTCCAGGAGCCTGGCGTCTTCATCTCCAAGGTCGGGGGGCCCCTGCTGCTGGGCGTGCAGGGCAGGCAGCCAGGCCTGGATGCTGAGGCTCCGCCCTCCCCACAGGTGCTCCCCCGGGGCCTGGCTGCACGCAGCGGCCTGCGGGTCGGGGACCGCATCCTCGCAGTGAACGGGCAGGACGTGCGGGGGGCCACGCACCAGGAAGCCGTCAGCGCCCTGCTGCGGCCCTGCCTGGAGCTGGCCCTGCTGGTGCGGAGGGACCCGCCGCCCCCGGGCCTGCGCGAGCTCTGTGTCCAGAAGGGCCCCGGGGAGAAGCTGGGCATCAGCATCCGTGGGGGCGCCAAGGGCCACGCAGGGAACCCCTGTGACCCCACCGACGAGGGCATCTTCATCTCCAAGGTGAGGGCCTGCCCGCCAGGTCCCCAGGGCAGGCGGGGGCTCCCCGCGGCCCGTCCTGAGGCCCTGGGCCCGGTGTCCCTGCAGGTGAGCCCCGCGGGAGCGGCCGGGCGCGACGGCCGCCTGCGAGTGGGCCTGCGGCTGCTGGAGGTGAACCAGCAGAGCCTGCTGGGCCTCACCCACGCCGAGGCGGTGCAGCTGCTGCGCAGCGCCGGCGACACCCTCACCGTGCTCGTCTGCGACGGCTTCGACGCCAGCATCGTCGCACCCACCGAGGTCAGTGCCCACACGGCCTGGAGGTGTGGCGGTGAGCTAGCCCTCGGGGCCCAAGCCCCGGGTGGGAGCCACGGGGCACAGGCGGTGCCCGGCCGTGGTCCAGGCCGCCTGCTCATGATGTGTCGGGGCTCCGGGCGGCAGGTGCGGCCGGTCCTGGGGAGGAGGTTGCAGCGCCCACCTCCGGGTGGGCGGCCCCTGCGGAGTGCGGCCGTCAGGCCAGGCCGGTGGCTCCGAGGCAGGCACATGCAGGGCCAGGGCCCCTCGGGAGGGTGTCTCCCTTGCGTGGGGACGGACGCGGCTCACCCAGCACCCTCCAGCTTCTCCAGGCTGCCCTCAGCCGAGAGCTCGCTGCCAGGCCTCCCCAGGGAGGAAGCCGGAGTGGGGCGTGTGGGGCGCCCCGCCGGGCCCCCGAGGCCTGCCCCACCTGCCGCGTGTCCTGGGCAGGCCTGGTCTCGGACCTCAGTGTCCCTTCTGCTCAAAAGGGATGGGCTCACGCTACCTCCCTGCCTTCTTCCACGGCTCCCTGGAGCCTCTTGGCACAAGCCGAGGTGACCGCGTCACTGGTGGCCCCACAGACACAGAGGGCTCTGCACCTCAGTGGCTGCCAGCCCACCCGAGGGCGTCCCTGCTGGCAAGGCCTCGCCTGCCTGTGGCCTCCTAGGAACCCTGGCCACTTCCTGGGAGGACGTGCTCCTGGGACTTGGGGCCGGCCACGCAGTCCCCAGAAGGAGCTCCGCCTGTGTGGGTTTACTTAAAACACGTATTTAAAAGCATTTTTGTTGATGTGTTTACTGTTTCCAAGCACTTTGTTCGGAGAACAAGTGCAGCTTCACAGTGACAGGTTCACGTGCCCTGGGCTCCGGGGCCACCGTGTCCTCTTGTGTGACACAGGCTCTCCCGCCGGTGGCCCTGGCTGCACTTCCCAGCTCTGCGCGGGCGCTGTCCCCGTGCGTGGGTCGCCTGGCGCCCCAGCCAGCAGCGCCGTGGGTGGTGGGGCGCACTGCTCCTCGCTGGGGCCGCGCCTCACCCACGCGCTGCCTGCTGCCGCCCCAGGTGTCACCCGGCGTGATCGCCAACCCCTTCGCCGCTGGCGCTGGCCGCAGGAACAGCCTAGAAAGCATCTCCTCCATCGACCGGGAGCTGAGCCCAGAGGGCCCTGCCAAGGTCAGAGCTGCCCGTGGCCGCGGCCCCAGAGCTGGGGGCCGGGCCGCAGGCTCTTGATCGCCGCCTGCTTTGCTCGCAGGACAAGGAGCTGCCTGGGCAGACGCCGCAGTGGGGACCGGAGGCCACAGTGAGTGTCCCGCCGTTGCACCCCGTGCGCTGGCCCTGCGTCCGCGCCGGCAGGCTCTCTGTTCTGGGCACCCGGGCGTGGGCGCACAGCGGGCAGTGGATGGCCGTGTCCCAGACCCCGCGCCCCTGGCGCTCAGAGCCGCCTGCCCGCATGCATCAGGGACGCCACCCCTCCTCCCACGCTGTGTCCGCTCTGCTCCCAGGACAGGCCTGGGTCGCACTCACAGTCCGGCTTCTGCCCCGTTAGTGAGCCCCACCCCTGCCTTAGTGCCCGAGAACCCGCGGGACAGAGTCCTGGGGAGGGGCTCCACCGGGGTCCTGTCCCCAGGGCAGGGACTGAGGGCGAAGGCCCTCGGGGGAGCAGGGCGGGGTGGTGTCCGGGCCTGCGGGGCTGGACCGGCGGGGGGGCTCCCCCGTGGCCTGGCGGAGGGCGCAGCCCCCGACCGCATGAGCCAAGCTGTGCGGCTGGCGCTGCTGGCGCCTCTTGATAGCTGAGAGCTGGGCGGGGGGGCACTTCTGCGAAGGCCCCTGGACTCAGAGCACACTGGGTGTGGGGGGCCCGAGCCCTTGCGGTCCGAGGGGGTCCCAGAGAGCTCAGGGCGGGGCAAAAGCCCTGAAGGCCACCAGAGCCATTGGGGTCTCGCGGGGCAGGGCGCACGCCGCCATGGGGACCGGCTGGAGCAGCCGGGAGGAGCCACGGAGACTGGGGTGGGGCAGCCACGACAGCTGAGCGGGGGAGGGTGCGCGAGTGCTGGGCAGGACAGATGTCCAGCCCTCGATCCTCCCCAGGGGCATAAACAGCCCCCAGGGCTGCCTCCGGCCAGCGTCCCAGGCGGCCGCAGGAGTGTGAGTGGGGGCGGGTGGGGGCTCGGGGGTGCTCGTCGAGGGCCAGGGGGAGGGTGGTACATGGGGCTGCCCGCTCGCCCTCCCGCCCGCCCGCTGCCAGGAACAGCCAAGAGCAGGCAGCCCCAGGAGAGTGGGGCCCAGTGTTCTCTGACCAAGATCTGGGGTAGCAACGGGCTGGCTGGTGGGCCTGGGGCTTCCCTGGACCCTGTGCCTTCAAACCTCGGGGAGGGCACAGGGGCCTCGGCCTGCAGCCCCGGGAGCTTCCAGCAACATCTGCCCCCGCCCCCCACCACCCGGCTCTCTGCCGTCCCACCGGGGTCGGGCTGCCTGTGTGCCGCCCTCTGTCGATGCTCCAGCCCGCCCACCGCCACAGCTGCACAGAGCTGGGGCGCGGGGCCAAGCACCCTCCGGGACCCTGTCCCCTCAGCGTTTTGGGGCGAGCCTGGTGGGCTCCGAGACATGGCCTTTGGGGCTGGGCAAGCAGTAGCCTAGGCCGTTTCAGGGGCGTCTCTCGGGCTGCAGGCAGGTCTGGGAGCTAAGGACCAGCCTCAGTGCCGCCAAGGCAAGCCCCCAGCTCCACCTGTGGGTCCCCAGCCCTGCCCGACCCTCACCCCACCTGGCTCCCGGCCCTCCAGGTACCAGCCAGAGGGAAGATGGCCGAAGCGCCCCGCTCCCCCAGCCACCAGCAGGTGAGTGCCTACGGGGCGGGGGCGGGAGCGGAGGACGGGGCGGGGGCGCCTGTGTCTGGGGCCTCCTTCCCTGGGCAAGCGGCGCTGCCTGTCTCTCTAGGAGGACACAGCCTGGGGCGCCTGCCTGGCCCTTGGGTGTCCCCTGGGCAGGTGGGCTGGGTGGCCAGGCCTCCGTCCCAGCACCTGGGGCCCCCTCGGTCCTGCCCCTCCCGCCCCCCAGTTGTTGGAAGCGCCCTGGCTCTGCAGCATGGGGACCCTGGTCACCTGCCCACGGCCACCCTGGCTCCACCTCTCTCTGTCTTTCTCCCTCCGTCCCCGCCCCCCTTCTCTGAACCCCTGGTCCCTCCCCCTGGCCCCCACCCTTTGCAGACAAAACCCGGGGTGATCCAGCCACTGGCTCAGGTCTGGCCCAGGGGCTCCCCGGCCCTCAGGGGCAGAGGCAGCCCCCGCTCTGTGAGTGCCCTGGCCCGCGGGGGGCGGGGGCAGAGACCACCGTCGGGGACAGCTGTGGGTGGGGAGGGTGGTGGCCGCAGCCTCTGCAGCTGTCCCCGCCCAGCTCACCAGAGCCTCGCCCCCAGCCCCCCTCCCCGCCCTCCCCGGACGAGCTGCCCTCCGACGTGAAGCGGGCCTACCGGACGTTCGCCGCCGTGCCGGGCCCACCGCCTCCCCAGGACACGGCTGCCCAAGTGAGTGTGGTGGCCGCCCCTCCAGGGCCACAGGCGGCTGCGGGTGGCGCACAAGCTTGGGGAGGGAGCCCCCTAGTCTCAGACCCCACTCCCCGCAGCCCCCCACGCCGGGGCCCACGGCCTCCCCAGAGCAGCTGTCCTTCCGAGAGCGGCAGAAGTACTTTGAGTTGGAGGTGCGGGCGCCCCAGGCCGAGGGCCCCCCCAAGCGCGTGTCCTTGGTGGGTGCTGACGACCTGAGGAAGATGCAGGAGGAAGAAGGTGAGCGGGCGCTGAGCCGCAGAGGGTGGTGGCCGGGCCTGCCCACCCCCGCCTGACGCGCGTCCCCCCACCTCCAGCCCGGAAGCTGCAGCAGAAGAGGGCGCAGATGCTGCGGGAGGCGGCCAGCCCAGGTCCTGCCCTGGACCGGGAGGCCCCGGACAGCGAGGAGCCCGAGGAGGAGCCCCCCTGGACCGCGGGCTCTGCTGCAGGGTGAGGCTGTGGGGGAGGGGCCGGCACAGACCGCTGCGCCGGGTGTGCCCCCCTCGCAGGCCCCCCGCCCATCGGGCCCGCCTGTCCTGTCCCCTGACCCAGGCTCGTCTCGCCGTCCCCTCCACCCCTGGGGAGTAGCGCCCCAGTGCGGACGGCCAAGGCTGAGCGGCGCCATCAGGAGCGGCTGCGTGTGCAGAGCCCCGAGCTGCCGGTGCCCGAGCGGGCCCTGTCGCCGGCAGAGCGCCGCGCCCTGGAGGCAGAAAAGCGGGCACTGTGGAGGGCTGCCAGGTGAGGCCCTGCCGCCCCCGCCCCCCGCTGCTCTGCCGCCCCGCCCCCCGCCTCTGCCGCCCCCCCCAGCCCCGCCTCCCTGTCCTTCGCAGGATGAAGTCCCTGGAGCAGGACGCTCTCCGCGCCCAGATGGTTCTCAGCAAGTCCCAGGAGGGCCGGGGCAAGCGTGGGCCCCTGGAGCGGCTGGCCGAGGCCCCTTCACCTGCGCCCACCCCGTCGCCCACCCCCCTGGAAGGTCCGTGTGCCCAAGGGGAGTCGGGGGCTCGGCCTGCAGCGCCGACCACACCCGACGCCCATTTCTTGTCCCCCCAGACCTCGGCCCCCAGACCAGCACCTCCCCTGGACGGCTGGTGAGGACCCGCCGCCCCCTTGCCCGCCCTCCCCGTGGCTCGGGGGCGGGATCCCAGCTGCACCCACCCCCGCCCTCTTCTCAGCTCTGGCCTCTGCCTCTCTCCCCTCACGCTGTCCTCTCAAGGCCTTGTCTGGGAGGAAGTTCGACTACAGGGTGTTCGCCGCCCTCCCCTCTTCCAGGCCTGTCTATGACATTCAGGTACCGGGCCCTCCTGGCCCTCGTGCCGCCGGCCACGCAGCTGCGGCTGCGGCCGCCTTTCTGCCTGGGCCTCACCCAGCCCTGTCCCCGCCTGCAGCGCCTTCCCTCTCTCCTTCCCAGCCGGACCTACTCCCAGGGTGTGGGGCCGCCCCACCCAGGCTTGCGTGGGTGGTTCCAGGCAGGCCGGGGGCAAGGCCCTGACCAACCCCTTGTCCCCACCACAGTCCCCGGATTTCGCTGAGGAGCTGAGGTCCTTGGAACCGTCTCCCAGCCCGGGTGAGTGGCCAGGCCCGACCCCGGGGTGTGCCCAGGGTGCCCAGCCCCTCCCCTCACTCCCCCGCCTCTGCCTGCCAGGCCTGCAGGAGGACGGAGAGGTGGCCACGGTGCTTCTGGGCAGGCCCTCGCCGGACACCGTGGGCCCTGAGGAGGTGACGCTGTGCAGCAGCCGCCGCCCAATGCGTCCAGGTCGCCGCGGCCTGGGCCCAGTGCCCTCCTAGAGGGTCACGGACCTTCCCCTGGACTTGGGGCGGGGGCCCGGCCCGCTCCACCACCTGGCCCCAAGTCTTTTAACCTGGGTGTTAGCATTTTCAAGGGGCCCCTCAGGGGCCCCGCCCGACTAACTGCCCCTCCCCAGCCGGGGCCTCCCGGCAAGACTGTAACTAGTGATGTTTGTACAACCAAAGACTCTATTTTGTGGTTTAAGGAGAATAAAATTGACTACATTTTACCTCGGTCTGTGTGTCTACCCACCCACACCCACCTACCTGCCCCTCCAGGCTCCCAGCTCTGCCCCACACGGCGCTGCTCCGCATCGGGAAAGCCTGGTTAGCCTGCCGGCCCCCGGGGGGCACCCCAACCCCATGCCTGCAAACGGCGCCCTCTGGCTGGGGCCCCCATTCCGGGGGGGCGGTGCGCGCGTGCTGAGCCCCACCACCCCCCACACAAGCACAGGGACGTGCGCAGCGCGGGGCCCAGGGCCTGGCTTTATTGATGCGGGCACTGCAGGCCTCCGCTGGGCAGCTGCACCTGCACCTGCACCGGCAGCAGGGCCTGCAGCTGCTCAGCCGGGGGCCACCGGACCTTGGTGACGAAGAAGAGGCGGAACTGCTGCAGGCGCGCCTCCTGGAACTGGGTGGGGTCGTACTCGGGCCCGTCGGTGGGCCGGAGCAGAGACAGGTAGCGGTCCTGCTGCAGCAGCCGGCGGCTCAGCAGCTCCTGCGCCAGGCCCGGCTGCACCACGTCCAGCTGCCGCTGCACCGCGGGGAACAGGTCCACCTCCCGCAGGTCGAACACCAGCGGCTTCCCGTACCTGTGGGGCGGGGTCGGCGGTGAGGGGCGGGGCGGGGCCGGCGGCGAGGGGCGGGGCGGGGCCGGCGGCGAGGGAGCGAGGGGCGGGGCCGGCGGGCGTGCAGCGCGGCGCCTCACCTGAGCGCTCCCAGCAGCGCCAGCCGGACCCGCTCTGGCTGCAGCTGGTCTGGGTTCACGGTATCCACGTAGTTGGTGTCCTGATAGCGCAGGAAGGTGGCCGCCTGGCCTGAAGGGTCGATGACAAGAGGCCACCTGGGGGCGGCCACGCAGTCATCGCCGGTGCCGAACGCTCTGCCTGACGCTCGCCCAACCCGAGCCACTGACCGGCCGTCGGCGCGGATGCGGTCGCCCACGTCCTTCATCAGTACGTCGTGCAGCTCAGCGACCTGGCACCTCAGCCCGGGCGGCTCCTCCTCGCCGGCGGGAGATAAGGGTAGGGCGACCCCCCGGAGCTCCCAACCCCGCCCCCCGCCCTGGGCGCGGCCTCCCCAACCCCCGGGCCCGGCCCCCGCCCCGCCCACCCTCTGCGTCTGCTCCCGCAGCTCCAAACGGGCCACCGCCAGCGTCTCCTCGGCCTTCTGGGTGTCCTGCCGCAGCCTCTCCACTCGGGCCTCCGCGTCTTTGATGGCCTGGAGGAGGGGCCGCGCTCCGCTCAGAGCACAGCGGTACCTCTCGGATCCCAGGGACCCTCCGCGGGCGGGAGCGGCAGGCCCCGGAACCCCAGGCCCGGAGGGGGAGGCCCACCTGCAGCGTGAGCTCGGCCCTGCCCGCGCGCGTCCGCTCACACCTGTCGTGCTCGGCGACCCTCCGGCTGAGCTCGCAGTAGGCCTGCTGCAGCTGCGGCGGGCGGGCGGGCGGCTGAGCGGGCAGCCCTGCCGGCGCCGCCCCTCCTCCCCCGGCCCCGCCGCCCGCCCCGCGCACCTGCTGGTGGCACTGCTGCTGCTCCCTAGCCAGCTGCCGCACTTTGAGGTTCAGGCTGGGGTGGGCGGGAGCAGATCAGAGGGGCCCGGGAGGGTTGGGGGGCAGGGGGCGTGGGAGGCCCTCCCTGGGCGCACCGCTCGGCCTCCGCCTCCGTGTGCCGCTCGGCCTCCTGGGCCCGGCGCCGCCGCTCGGCCTCCATGCTGCGCAGCATGGCCTCGGTGAGGCCCAGGTCCCAGGACTGCAGCACGCTGGCCACGGCCTCCAGCGAGGCCACCTAAAGACGACGGCGCGTCAGGGGTTCGCTGTCCCCGGGGAGGGCGGGCTGTCTCGTCTGAGAGAAAAGGCGGCCGCTCGCAGAAACGGGGTCCCGCCGCTCGCCTGGAAGCCTTGACTCGAGGCGCAGCCGCCCCCCGAAACTGAGATGCCGCAGGGGCCCCTCCCTCCGCCCGCCCCCGCAGCTGCCCCCGGCTGTCCCCAAGGCCCCACCCCTTCAAGGGAGTGATAGGGGCCGCGGGCCGGGCTCCCTGGGGAAGGGTCGGGGTTCTGGACTCAGGCGCTGCCTCCACAAGTATCTCCTTCGCGGGCTGTCGAACCGTGAGCTCTGATTTGTATTTTACAAAAGAAGTTTCCAACGTGTGAAATCGAGGAGCGGATGAGCGAATGGACGGCAGACACACGAGCGGAGGGAAAAGGGGACGAGTTAGAGGACGGCGCGGAGGGGACGGGAGGAGCCAAGGAACTGCTGGCTCGAAGGACGCGGGGCGGGGGCTCTCACGGAAAGGAGCGGTGAGTGGCTGTGGGTTCCGGACCGCCGGCTCCGAGCCAGGGTCGCGCTGCGGGGACTTTCACCCGCTGCCTCACTGAGCTCCTCACGGCCGCGATCATGAGCACATGGGACCTGAGATTCTAGGAAGTTTAAGAATTGGCCGAAGCTTAGCTGGTGCCCAGAACTGGAATAAATAGAAAACTAAATGAGTGGAAAGATGAAATAAAAAGCACAGTGTAATGAGTGAATTTATGAATAAGATAGTGAGCGGATAAAGGTTTGATGGATTAACTGATTTTAAAAAGGAACATGCACTAACTGAACGAACGGAGGGAACAGCGAATTAACCGGTGAAACAGCTGCACAGGTCGGGGGAGTCCAGGGACAGACAGTCAGAGCAGGAGACGCGGCTGGAGCAAACGCATAGATGGGCCACCAGGACGCGTGAGGCTGGGCGACAGGGCCGAGGACCGCCCGCGGCCCGTGTCAGACTCCCCTGCCAAGCACACGGCGTGAGAGTGTGTGTGAGTGGGGGGGCAGGCGGTCGAAGTGCTCATCGCTGAGTAAGTAGGTAAGTGAGGGACGGCTTAGGATGGTCACAAGGGGCCCTGGCTGGTGTGGCTCAGTGGACTGAGCACCGGCCTGCAAACCAGAGGGTCGCTGGTTCGATCCCCAGTCAGGGCACAAGACGAGAGGCAACCACACATTGATGTTTCTCTCCATCTTTCTCCCTCCTTTCCCCTCTGTCAAAAAATAGCTACATAAAAATCTTTTCAAAAAAACATATGATGAGTAGATATTCTAATGCACTTACGAACAAATGACTCAAATTAATGAGAGAATAAATGGATCAAGAAGTAAATCAACGACAGTGCGAAGACTGGGTTGAATGGGCACCCTTACAAAAGCAAGGACAGAGACGGCCGACGGACAGGCTGCTGCTTGTCTGGCCAGCTCCTGAGATCAGGGCCTGGAAGCCTGCGGCTGCGCAGACGGGCCCTCCCCGGAGCCCTGGGTTCCCCGTGTTCTTGCTCTGCTGGCAGCGGCACAGCCGTAGGGTCCTACTGTCCTGGGGTGGGAGGGGTCGATCCTTTCGTCGTCATGAAACGAGTCTTTCTTATCCCTAGTAACAGTCTTTGTTTGGGAATCTGTTTTTTGATATTAATGTAGCCACTTCGGCTTCTGTTTAGTGTTATCCTGGTATATTTGTATTCATCCTTGTAATTTTCACCTATTTGTGTCTTCATATTCAAAGTTTGTTTCTTATAGACTGGATATAGTTGGATGTTTTAATTCAGACTGACGACCTCCAACTTTTAATTGGGGTGTTTAGACCACACACATTTAATGAAATTATTGATATAGCTGAGTTTAAAACTGCCATTGGCTATTTGTTTTCTACTGGTCCCGTCCTTTATTTTCCTTTTCCTGTTTTCTTTCTCTTTCGGATTGCATATTTTTTAGAATTTCACTTTACCTCCTTTGTTATCTTATTAGCTACCACTTCACATTTTAGTGGCTGCTTTAGGGTCTACAGCAAACATCTGCAAAGTGTCACGACCGCCCTTCAGTGACGCCGCGCCGCTTCCCATGTAGGAACCGGAAACAATGTGCTTCCAGTGACGCCCCCCAGACTTTGTGATACTTTGTCACATGGCTGAGCCAAGTGACTATACTTTGTGCGATTTTCAGTGTGTACATTTGTGTTATAAAACCCCGTTGCATATCGCATGTTGCTATTATTTTTGTTTCTTCAATTATCTTTTCAATAAATTTAAACGATGAGAGAATATCTTATCTATGGGATCATGTAGGTACCCTTCCGAGTGTCCCTCACGCCTCTGTGGGGACCCAGCTTTTGTCCGGCGTCCCTTCCGTCTGCCTGAGCAACTTGCGTTAACAAGTCTTACAGTTGGAGTGACTGGTCCATTCAGCCTTTGTATGTCTCTTACAAGAAGTCTTGACTTCCATTTTGAAGATTGTTGCACTGGGCATACAACTCAAGGTTGATGGGGTTTTTCCCTTCCTTTAGCGCTTTCAAGACATTGCTCCACTGCCTCCTCCCCTTGGTACCCCCAGGAGCCCTGGGCCCCTCTGGAGCCCCCTTTCTCTGGGCAGAGCTCTGCTCGTGGGCGCCTTCAGTCACGAGTGGGCTTGGGAACCCTGGCTCCGAACGCTGTCTCCTTAACTCGGGTCGGCAGGCCGCTCCCTGCCCCTCCCCACCTGGGACTCTCTCACAGGGCACACTTGGTGGCCACTCGGCTGACCTCCAGCCTCTCGGGGACCGCCCATCCATTCCCAGATGCCCAGGGTCTTCGAAACCACGTCTCAGAGGTTCCATGGCGAGTGCGCTGTTCTTGGCGGGCGGCCCAGCCGGGGCCCACTGGCCCTGCCTAGAGGCAGAAACCTCAGTTCACGTCTTCCCCCAGCCTTCTTTTCTCTTTTTCGTTTTGGATAGTTTGTTGTTGTGTCCTCGAATTAACTAACTTATTTTTTCAATGTCTACCCTGCCATTCCTACCATCCAGTGTATTTCTCACCTCAGACGTCATTTTCATCTCTTAAGTTTACAAGCGTCTGGAAATAGAGATGGGGGTGTGTATGAGAGTTACAAGTTCCAGTGTCCTCGCCTACTAATTCTGTCATCCGTGTCATTCCTGAGTCACTCGATTAGTTAAGTTTGCTTTTCTCTATGGGTATATTTTCCAGTGCTCTTGCATGCCTGATAATTTTACTAATTTTTATTTGGGAACCATGATAGAGTGACTGGAAACTACAACAGTAGGAGGGTCCCATGCACCCTCAGGAAGTCTCCCCTGATGTGGCGTCCTCCTCAGCTTCAGGATGACATACAGACCATCGCACAGACACGCCTTCCACTTGTGAAGCCGGAGCTCTGCTGCGCGCCCTCCCCACCCCACCCACCCACGGGTATTAAAGAAAGACTTGCGATCAAGATGGCGGCATAGGCCGACATGGCTCACCTCTTCGCACGACCACAACCAAATTAAAACTAAAACATAGAACAACTATCGCTCAGAACCAACAGAAATCGTGTTGAATGGAAGTCTGACAACTATGGAATTTAAAAAACGACATCCATCCAGACGGGTAGGAGGGGCACAGACGTGGAACAGGCTGGTCCCACCTCCTCATGTGGTGGATAAAAATTTGGGAGGGACATCTCAGGAGCAAGGAGTCCCCGCCCCACACCCGGACCCCCAGCCCAGGATCCCAGTGCCAGGAAGAGCAGTCCTCACAACTTCTGGCTGCAAAAATCAGCAGGGATGGAGTCGGTGGAAGAAACTGCTGGAGCCCCAAGCAGTTCCTCTTAAAGAACCCACACACGGCCTCACCTGCTCAGACTCTCTCCCTGAGCTCCAGCGCCGGAGCGGCACTTGGAAAGGCACCAGTGGCATTCAGGGAGGAACTGAAGTGTCTGGCATCAGGGCAAGCAGAGGCCATTGTCCCTTTTCTGGGCCCTCCCCCCACAGGGCCAGCAGACTGGTGCCGTATCTAAGATTCCATCAACCTGGCTAACACTGTGTACCCTGCCTTGGAGATCCCCAGAGATTCCGCCACACCTAACTTACAGGCCCTCCCAACCTGCTTTTCCATATGAACGGCTGGTCTTGGCTCATGCTTCACAACTCCCTAAATCCTATCAAATGAGCAGCAGCTGGCCCCAGTGAGCCCCAGGCCCAGCACTAGCAGCAGCCAGCCGAGGTTCTCCGCTTGGCTTCACCTGGGAACCTCCCAGCCCAGTACAAGTAGCAGCCATCTCAGGTTGCTTTATAGCTCAGGCAGGGTGGCCCCAGGCAAAACACAGGTGGGGGCCGACCTCGGCTTGCACCACCCGGGAAACCCCAGAGTCAGCGCACCCAGTGGACAGCTACAGACGACGCCGGAGCACCGCCACCCTCTCCCTGCACGACTGGTCCTCCGTGGAGGGCGGAGATGGTTCGTAACTGGTCACAGCCAGTCCTTGCAGCTGACTGATCTGGGTAAATCCCTCCCACTGATCTGCCAACAGCAACCAAGGCTCAACTATAAGAAGAGGGTGTACTCAGCCCACAGGAAGGGTGCACCTCAAGCACCCAGCTTAGGTAATGGGAGGCTGTGCCACTGGACCCTACAGGACACCTACTACCACTACCAAGACACAGAGTCAAAGCAGCTCTACCTAATACAGGGAGGCTGCCAAAACGAAGAGACAAGGAAACACGGCCCAAAGGAAAGAAGAGATCAAAACTCCCGAAAAAGAGCTAAGAGAAATTGAGATAAGCAATCTGTCAGATGCAGTGTTCAAAACAACTGGTTATCTCAAGGAACTCAGCAGCATAAAAAAGATCCAGTCAGAAATGAAGGATTCACTAATTGAAATAAAGAATAATTTATAGGGAAACAACAGTAGAGTAGATACAGCTGAGAATCAAATCAATGATTTGGAACATAAGGAAGCAAAAAACAACCAATCAGAACAAGAAGAAGAAAAGAGAACCCAAAAAAGTGAGAATAGTATAAGCAGCCTCTGGGACAACTTCAAGAGGTCCAACATTTGCATCACAGGGGTGAAAAAGAAAGAGCAAGAAATTGGAAATCTATTTGAAAAAACAATGAAAGAAAACTTCCCTAATTTGGTGAAGGAAACAGATATGCAAGTCCAGGAAGCGCAGAGAGTCCCAAACAAGATGGATACGAAGAGGCCACTCCAAGACACATCATGAGTTAAATGCCAAAGGTTAAAGATAAAGAGGTGGGGCAGGGGGAGAATGGATGAGGTGAGGGGATTAGGAAGTACAAACAGGGAGGCACAGAATAGCCGTGGGGATGTACTGTTCAGGAAATGGAGAAGCCAAAGAACTTATTTGCATGACCCATGGACAGAAGCAATGGTGGGCAGGTTGTCTGAGGGCGTGGGGTGCTGGGTGGAGGGAGGCAAAGGAGGAAAACTCAGGACAGCTGTAATAGCATAACCAATAAAATATAATTAAAAAAATAACTCACCACTAAAAGCATAATACAAAACAAAGAGGAAGCTGAGGGTCCCGGGTGCAGATGGCGGGGGTGCAACGGGGGACCCCGAGCAGCATCCTCGGGGGGCAGCCTGGGGGCGCAGCTGGGGCCCTGAGCAGGGTGTCCCCAACTGAGTGAAGACCCCGGGAACCTCTGTGTGGGAGCAGGGCCCCCAGAGCACCCCAGGGCTTCACAGCTGGGGGGGCTTCGGGCCGGGGGCCTGAGATGGGCCCTGCCTCGCTGTTCAAGTCAGATTCACTTAAAGAAATAAGGGAAGTGGCAGTGGGCCACCTGGCCCCCACCGTGCCCACAGGCCCCGTGGGACCTGGCCTCCTGGCTGCGGAGAGCCCGGCACCTGTCGCCAGGCTGGCCCCGTGCGGGGGGCCCGGGGCAGTGGGACTGCAGAGACAGGCCGTGCAGGAGTAAGCGGCCGGGCGACAGGTCGCAGCTCCGGAGGCAGCCGGCCTCGGCCGCCCCGCCTCCGAGGGGACACCGACTCCCCAGGCGGCGCAAGGCTCCCACCTGCCCCGGGGTGCTCCCGTCGTCCGCATACACCCGGGGGTCAGCTCCGAGCTCCAGGAGAACCTCCACAGCCTCCAGGTGGCCCCCGAAGGCGGCTCGGTACAGCGGCGTCCGGCCGAAGGCGCCCTGTGGGAGGGGTGCCCTGAGCCAGGCCCGTGCCCCGGCCGCGCCTGCCGCCCGCCGTCCCGGCCCCCACCTTGCAGTTGGGGCTGGCGCCCTGCTCGGCCAGTAGCCTGATGGCCTGGGGCTGCCCGCCGGCCGCTGCCTCGGACATGGGAGTGTTCCCGCGGGCGTCCTCGCACTCCAGCAGGGCCACACGCCGCTGTCGCCGCCGCGCCGCGCCGGCCTCGTCATGGCCCACGCCCTCGTCCGTCAGCAGCTCGTCCACCTGCGCCCGGGCCGGGTCACCTGCGTCCGCTGCCGCCCGCCCGCCGCCCCGCTGGCCCCCGCCCCGCTGACCTCCTGCAGGATGGCGGTGATCTCCCCCAGGTTGCCGTCGAAGGCCGCGTCCAGCAGGCGCGCCTGCCGCCCCCGCTCCTCCTGCCGTCGCTGCTCGGCCTTCGCTTCCTCCTCCTGCCGGCGCCGCTCCGCCTCCCGCTCCCGGCGCACCAGGGCCAGGAAGGCCTGCGAAGGACACAGCCCTGAGGTCGCCGTCCTTCTCCCTGAGGGGCCCGCACGTTCAGCTCCCCGGCCCCAGACCTGACACCACAGGCCCTGGGACCCTGTCCCCTGCCGGGGGCCTCACCTCCTGCTGCAGCTTCTCCATCTGCTCCAGGTACTCCCGGTGCTCCTGCCGACGGCGGGCCAGCTCCTTTCTCGCCAGGAGCCGCCGGAAGGCACACTGGATGACAGTGGCCGCCCGGTCCTCCGCGGTGGGCCCTGGGGTGGGGAGAGGGCTCCTGGGTCCAGGGCCCGCTCCAAGCCACAGTCCGGGAAGCTGCCAGGCTCTGACGGCCCCCCCGCCCCACACCTGACCAAGGGGCGACTGTTCTGGATCTGCACAACGCGGTCACCGGCAGAGAGCAAACGAGGCGGGGCGAGGAGGGCCACCAGGACAGGGAAGGGTCTGGGTCTCCACAGGAAGTCTCCAGGCACAGCGGGGACACTGCCAGCCCTCTGAGCTGCCCCCCCCCGGCCCCCCTCGCTTGGGAGGACAAGCTGGAGATGTCGGTAGGAAACTGAGGCAGGGGAGAGAAATGGCCACGTGGGGAGCACTCTGCCCAAGGCTGGCCCAGGCGGCGGAGGCACGGTCTCAGCCACGAGCCAGCTGGCATTCGGAGGAGGGGGCCCCCGCACGCTGCGCTCGACCCCGCAAGCCGCGAGGCGGCCTGGCCCCCCGAGTCGCCGCACGCCCCGCAGGCCGGCTGGCCTTCAGCAAGGGCGGCCCAGCCTGCTGGAGGCTCAGTCACGTTCAGGAGAGGGCCGAGGTGGCCGCTGAGCCTGGTCTGGGGCACAGGGGGGAGGTTCAGGTGACGGTGACACTTGGGAATCCCCAGTGGAAGACAGGACCGGGACAGAGGCCAGGGCACAGGCCCCAGGAAGGAGCGAGAGAGGCAGGGGCTGGCAGAGGCGGCGCCCCACGAGGTTGGCTCCCGCCACCGGAGGGCGACAGCACACGAGCAAACAACTCAGCCTCCGCGTCAGGGACGGAAGCAGGGCAGCCCGCCAGCCCAGGGCCCTGCAGGGTGAGGGGAGGCGGCTGCCCAAGAGGCTGCGCCCCCGGGAGGTACGGCGCCAGCCGCCCAGCCCAGTCCTCACCGGGGAGTGGGGCTGGGGAGGTGGGAGCAGGGAGGACGGGGCTCCCCATGCGCCCCCGGGAGGGGCGTGCTGCTCCGTGCGTGCCACAGGCTGGCCCTTGAGCCCACACACTCATTCACACACAGGCTCATGTGCACACACGTGTGCTCACGCCTATGCAGGCACTCGCACGCACTCACGCACACCCCGCAAGACACGAGACGCGGCCCAGGACAGCCTGCTCCCGGCCAGCCTGCCCTGAGCCCTCCCCGCCCCCAGCGGGCTGCAGGGCACTGGGGCCCGCGGGGCCCTTTGCCTGCTGGCCCGTCTTCCTCTGCGGCTGGCGGCTGGCGGCTCTCTCCCGGCTTCCCTGGGGGCGCCGGGCGTCAGCGAGGCCCGCGTGTGGACCCATCCCCCTCCTGACCTCAGAAGGTGTTTATGGGCCCCCCGCCCCCATGGGGCAGCCGCGTCCTGGCTGTTAGGGAGCACCCACCCCCACAACAGCGTTAACAAGCGGCCAGGCCGCGTCCTGCACAGCAAATCCAGGGCACGCACGTGCCGCGGGGGTGGCCGTGCCCGCCTTGCCCCGGGCTGTGGGGCCCCAGGCGCTGGGGAGCCCCGCGGCCACCCCCCCCTTCTGTGTGTCCACCTGCACTGGGGCCGCAGTCGGCCTCCCCCCGAGCCTCTGGATCACAGGCTGAGCCCAGGGTGCAGGCCGGGCTGGGCCGGGGGAACCGGTCCGTCCAGTGCGGGGAGCTGGCTGGGCTGGGCGTGGGTGTGAGTCAGGGGCCCGCTGGCTGGGGAAGCGCTGGGCGGAAGCCACCTGGAGCCTCCCTCCCAGCGGGAAACCCGGGGGACGCTGGCTCTCAGGCTGGCCCTGCGTCCCCCACAATCAAAGGCTGGCTGGGGGGCTCCTCGGGGTTCCTTCCCTGTGGGCAGAGCCGCCGGACCCCTAGCCAGGCCTCCAGAGCTCCCGCGCCCCCTGCCGCCCCGCCTCAGCCCACAAGCTGGAGCCTTTCAAGGCCAGGGCTCGGGCACCAGAGCCCAGGGCAGCCAGGCCCCCGGGCTGGGCCAGAGGCTCCGTCCTCTCCGCTGTGCGCCCGGCAGCGGGGCCCCGGGGCTGCTCTTTCCTGCTGGCCTGGGCGATGCTCGGCGGGTCCCCGGGCCCGTCCCCCGTGCTAGTGGGCGGGCCCGCCTGTGGCCGCGGTGGCCGCGTCAGGACGGCCAGCGCGGGGCAGGACGGCGCAGCCCCTGGCCCTGTGGGCTGGAGTTTGGTGCCGGGACCGGGGTGGGACGGGGTGGGGGTGCCCGCCCTCGGCAGGACCAGACTCGCCCTGCACACAGCTGGCGGTCTGGCTGGGAAGAGTCGCCTCCTCCGGCTTTTCTCAGTCTCCCTCCCAGCCTGGCCGACAAGGCCTGTGGCCCGTAAAGCCCTGCGCCCTGTGTCACGCGTTAGTCAGCCTCCGTGCCGGGTGAGCCGCCGCCGAGTCCCTATAAACTCCCCGGCGTGGCCCGGCCCCCAAGTCGGCCGCGAGGCCCACAGACAGAGCCAGGGCCAGAGTCACAGTGCTGCGGGCACCAGCCCAGGGGCAGGGCAGGCGCAAGGGACAGCAGCCGCAGAGGGCCCACCGTGGCCTTCGGGGCCGCCCTCGGGGCCCTCAGGGTCCAGGCCACCCGCCAACAACGCCGGGCGCCGGGAGCACACACGAGACCCGGGCCATGCCTGGGAAACGGAGCCGAGCTCGCAAACCCCGGGCCGGGAGGGCGGGCAGGGCACAGCAGGCCTCGAGGCAGCAGGGCCCCGCGGCCAAGCCCCCGCCCTCCCACGCAGGGGGCCCTCAGGAGGAGACAGGGGTGGCCCCTGTGGCGCACGTGACCAGCAGCAAGCCAGTTCCCCAGGGACACCCCAGGGCGGCCAGGCCAGAGCAGCCGCAGGCAGCAGGGAGGCCAGTGCCGGCCGCTGCCCCGGGGTCCCAGCTGGCGCTAGTCCCCACTGCGGACATGGACGGCTGCCAGCCAGGGGGCCGCATGCCGAGCCTGGGCCCCGAGCTGCTGAGGCTCCACGAGGTCCAGCTGGGCCTGGCCCAGGAGCAGCTGCTGCTGGAGGACCGGCGACGGCAGGTCCAGCTGCAGATGCAGCTGCGGCAGGAGGAGCAGCTGTGGCTGCAGCAGCTGCAGCAGGAGGAGCAGCTGTGGCTGCAGCAGCTGCAGCAGGAGGAGCAGCTGTGGCTGCAGCAGCTGCGGCAGGAGGAGCAGCTGTGGCTGCAGCAGCTGCGGCAGGAGCAGGCCTGGGTGCGCGCGGAGGGGCTGGAGCTGGCCATGGCCCTGGAGCAGCTCCGGAGCGAGGGCCTGGAGGCGCTGCAGACCCAAGGCCAGGTAAGGCCTGGGGGGCACGGGCTGGCGGGGGCTCTGCTGATCGGGGGTGCGGTGAGCGCGCGTGGCCTAGAGGTGCCCGCAGAGGGCGGGGAGGCAGGTTGGCCATGGGGCAGCTACGGGCCCATTTTCACGTTTGCAAAGTGAGGCTGGCACTGCACAGGGTGCCGCAAAGGCCACGCGGCACCGTGCCTCCTCCTCAGGCCGGCGCCTGGCAGGGAGCGGAGCCCAGGCAGGCGAGTGTCCAGGGAGATGGAGACGGGGGTGCTCCTGCAGGGGCCGCAGGCATCCTGGCCAGGCGCCGTCCAGGGCAGCGTCGGGGGTGGGCAGGGCGGCGGCCCCGGGGGCGGTCAGCAAGTGGCAGAGCGGAGGGACTGGCCCCCAGCCCAGCTTCCTGGCGCACCTGCCCTCCTGTTTATTGCAGCGCGGGCTCCTGGGCTTGACCGCGGAAGCAGCCAGCGGCACCCAGGCCGTCATCCTTGTTCCAGGAGGGCGGCCGCCTCCGACGCGGCTGGGGCTATTTGAGGGAAGGCGGGTGTAACCTCGGCTTGGCGTGGAGACTGGTCACCGCCATCCAGCCTGGTCCTATGACCTCAGAGCTCTCTGGGGTCTCGGGCCTTCAGCAAGCCCACCCCACGCAGAGGGGCTACCCCAGGGGGACAGGGTGGGCTCTCTCAGCAAGCACAGGCCCCCCCCTGCCCCGCGGGCCTGGTGCTTGAGGAACCGGGGGTCACAGCCTGGAGGGGGTTGGCAGCTTAGCCGACACGTCCATGAGGGCCGTGAGCGAGGAAAGCGGGACTCGGGGGGCGGGGGACCTGGCAGGAGGCGCCCTGCCTGACCCACAGCAGCACTGAGCCCAGGACATGCTGTCACCGCTCAGCCTGGGAGCGGCGGGTGCGGGGGGTGGCCTGAGAGAGCGGCGGCAGCAGGTAGAGCGGAGCACAGATGGGCGGCCGGAGTGGGCCGCGTGCTCGCCCGAGAATCCCAGCGTGGGGTCAAGCCCTGCCCTCGCCGTGTGGTAAAGCTGTGCCCCTCTGAACGCTGCTCCCGGCCCCGCCCCGGGGCCTGGGTGGACAGCTGACCTCTGAGTCCTCAGTGGGCCACACCCACGCCTGACGCTTCTCAGGGAGCGCCGGGTGGCTGCCCAGAGGGTCTCACAAGTTCGTGCCTGAGCGGGGTCCCTGGAGGCCGGAGGGCGCTCACTCACCGGCAGCCGCTCTGCGTGGGGCCCCGGGGGGCGGTGCCTGCCGCTTCCCTGAGGCCGCTGTGGGCCCCGCCTTCTTACTGCTCATGCTCCTGGAAGGGGGGGAGGAAGGAGCTCAGGGAGGCAGGGGCAGCACCGCAGGCCCCGGGCGCCCCGGGGCCTGGGGGGCCATCGGCAGGCGCCAGACAGGATCGCGGGACCACGGGCGCCCCGACCTGGGCTGCGCTGGCTGCCCCTGCGCACGGGCACGCGGGCAGCAGCGGCGTGAGTGGGGACGCGTGGCGAGACGCCTGGACGCCTGGACGCGGCTCGTGCCCCTGCCCCTCCCCCCCGGCTCAGCCCTGCCCTGGTTCCAGGTCCTGACCACGGCCCCCAGGGCAGCGCCCTGGGCCCCTCTCCCCGCTCCAAGCCACTGGGCGGCCAGCCGGCCGACCGCTTCGTGCTGATGCGCAGGCCGCGGCCCTGCTGGCCCCTCGCTCCCCCGCCTTCTTTGGTCCTGGCCTGGGCAGGTGTTGTCAGGGCCTGGAAGCCACGCCCCTCCCCCTGGTCTGTAGGCTGACCCCAAAGTCCACTCCCCTGGGAGACCTCCGCTACCCCAGGCTGGGTCGGGGGGCCCCGGCCTCCCCCACCGCCAGGCGACCCACAGCCACGCCGCGCCGTGGTCAGGCCCCAGGCCCAGCCTCCGCCACGCGGGCCCAGTGCAGTGTGGCAGCTGAGTGCTTGGGGGCCGCTGGCCCTGAAACCTGAGAACGCAGGGCCTGGGGGAGGGGGATGGGGAGGGAGGGCTCAGCCCTGTGGTGGGGGGCTGAGTGCTGGCGCAGTGGGGGCCCCTGAGGGAGGGTCTGGTGGGAGCTGGGGCTCTGAGCCGGGGTCCCAGGTGCCGGGGGCCCTGGCGCGGGTGGGGGGCAGCCGAGGGCTTCCACGTGCATGGAGAGAGGGCGGCTGCGCCGGCCTTGGTGTGCGTGGGGCCCCTGTGCGTGGGGCCAGGGTCCCCGGGGCGCGGGGAACTCTCAGAGCTCCTGTGGGGTCCGATCAGTGTGCAGAGGTCTGTGGGGAGGGCCCCTGGGAGGAGGTCAGTGGGCGGGGTCCCCGTCCCCGTGTGGACAGTGGGGTGTGCCTGGGCGACAGGCTCGGGCTGGACCTGGTGTGCAAGGAGGGCCCGTGCGCGTGCGGGGGACCCCGTGCGCCTGTGAGGCCCCATGCACGTGGCCGATGGACGGTGGCACAGGGACCCTCCGGGTGTGGGCACGGCTGTGGGCCAGGGCGCGTGGAGGCCCTGTCCCTGTCCCTGTCCCTGTCCCTGTCCCTGTGGGGATGAGTGCGCCGCCTCCGCCTGTGCACAGGGGTGGGCCTGTGGGGGGCCGGCCCGTGGGGGCGCTGCTGTAGATGTGGGATCCATTTCTGTGGAAAGGTGTCCGTGGTGTGCAAGGCTCCTCTGTCAGGGAGGGCATCAATGTGGGAGGATCTGTGGGCACAGGGTCCCTGAAAACCCCGCAGGCTCCCTGGTACTCGTTGGCGTGAGTGTGTGCGAGGAGCGAGTCCTCTGAGCCGGCGCCGGAGTAGGGGGCATCCCGGTGTGGTGGGAGGTCCCCAGCGCTCGCAGGGTGCACAGGCCCAGCCACGCCCCCGGCGGGGCGCCGTCCCCGCAGCCTCACCTGCCTTACCTGCCACCCCAACTCTGGGGCCAGACCAGAAGCTCCGCCCCTCGCGTCCAGCTGGCCCGTTTCCTAGCAACGAGCCGGAACTTCCCAGTGACCTCGACTTCCGGAGCGTGGGTTAGGGGTCAGGAGTAGGGACCTGGAGCCTTCGGCGAGCTGATAGGGGCTCGGTCCTCCGGCGGTCTCCGAGCGCGCGGGGGGGGGGGCCCCAGGGCGCGCCACTGGGGGACACGGCGGGGTCCGGGGCGCAGCCGGGGCCCGGGGCCCGGGGTCGGCGGGGCGGCGGCGGGCGGGCGGAGGAATGCAGGCGCGCCGCGGGTGGGGCTGCCCCGCCCCCAGGTGTTGCCCGGGCAGGCCGGCGGCGGGAGCGGGCGGGGCGGGGGCGGGCTCGTGAATCAGGCCGCGCGGCGGGCGGGCCGCGGCAGGGAGTGGCCGCCGGACCGACCGGACCGCGAGGCCGCTGGGCGGCGGTCGGCTCCTGCAGTCCCTCTGTTGAGACCCCGCGCACCTGGCCAGGTAGGCCCCCTCCCCTGGCTGGGACGGGGCGGGGCGCGCGGGACGCGGAGGCCGCGGCCGGGCCGGTGGAGTGGGGCGGGGTCGACGCGCGGTGCCCCTCGACGCGGCCTCCCCCTGGTGGCCCTCCCGCCGGCACCTGCGCCGGGGCCGTGCGGCGCAGAGCGGGGCGGTGGGAGTGTAACAGCGGCCGTGTGTGCGGGTCTTAGACGGGTGGGGCCGGGGGCGCGGCGGCCCCCTGAGCCGGCATGGACGCGGGCCCCCTCGCACGATGCCGGCCCGGGAAGAGCCGGGTGGGCCGGGGCCCAGGGCGAGCCTGCCGAGGCCAGCCCGACTCCCTGCGGCCCCGCGGCCTAGCTGACGTGTGGGGAGAGCGCTGGGCCCGTCCCGGACCCTTCCCCGGGGGCGCCCCGCCCAGGCCGCCATGAGAGCCAGGGCTCCGTCTGGCTCCCTCCCTGGAGTCCAGGAAGAGAGGCCAAGGCCCGTTCTCTCGCGCTCACGTCCCGGGACTCGGCCGGGTGGATGGGACACGGAGCCAGGCAACCGCTAACTCCCTGGGTGGCACTGACTTCCTGCGGTGTGCGCCCTGAAAATGGCAACACTTCGACTTCACGTCCGTTCTCCCGTGTGGTGAACCCTTCCCCCACCCGCCTCTGGGTTCCTGCTTCAGGGACCCTCCTCCCCCACCCCCACACTTGGCACGGGGTCCCTGCCCTCCCTCCTGTGAGGAGGGAAAGATCAGATCCGCGGTCTGGAGGTCCCTGGTGGGAGTCCACCGGAGCCCCGAGGGCCCTTCACCCTTTGTCTGGCTGGTGTCAGAGGTCAGAGGTCAGCCTTGGGGAGCGGATTCCTGCTGAGTCATCGGCCTGGGTGGGAAAAGAACCCGCCCTCCCTGAGGACAGGCGCGGGCAGGCCGCTGTGCGCTGTGCGGGGAGGCCCACGGGTGAGGCTCTCCGCTCTCTGTTTCAGGCTGGGGAGTGGCCGCCTTCCCGACCGCAGTTCAGGGGGTGCAGACCCATGAAGGGAAATGGGCAACGGGACAGGGCACCGAGGTCGCCCCCCTGACCAGCCCTGTCTGGTGAGCAGGTTCTTCACCCGCCAGGGGACCCCACCCTCATGGTGTGCAGCCTGGACAGTTTGTGTGGGATCCCCCTCCCACCGTGTCGCCCCCAACATGGGAAGTGCCGCCCAGCCGTGCGCGGTCAGGCCGGACCCGTGTGTTCTCACACCACAGTGCCCCGACAGACACCCTCCCCCACTGCGGTCAGGTGCCGCGTGGGACCCGGACGGTCAGGCCCGCCCACTGTGCCCTGTGTGGGCGTCCTCGACCTGGTCCTGGGGCAGGGAGGCCCGTATGGCCGCCCGGTGTAACCAGCAGCTGCCAGAGGACAGTGTTGGAGCGGGTTCCCTGGGACCAGGCAGCAGCCCTACCCAGGGTGGACTCAATGGCACACGGGTGACTGCTCTGATGCCCCCGTCAGCCGGGCCCAACGGCATGTGGGGAGGGGGCACGGGCCCTCGGGCCCCTCCCCCAGCCAGGGTCAGCCCCCGGAGCCCCAGCGAGGCTGGAGCAGGAGGGTGGGGCTCTCCCGAGGCAGGAGGACCGGTGGGCACGCGGGTGCGGGATGCGTGCCGATGGGCCCGGGGAGCTCGGGAGGCCCCCGCCTGGCCCGGCGGGGTCGTGGGAGGCTGCGAGGCTGGGGCGCGCGCGATGGGCGGAGAGGCCCAGTCGGGGCCCCGGGCGGCCTGACGGTCGCAGCAGAGGGCCCTGGCTTCACCTGGGGAGCAGCGGGGAGCAGCGGGGAGCACGGGGGAGCGCGGGGCGGTGGCCACGGGACTTGGAAAGATCACAGCTGCCATGCTGGGCTGGGCTGGGCGGGGACGGGGCTCTGAGCTCATGCGGGGAGGAGGCAGCGGCCCAGGCCTGCAGGGGCGTGCAGGGGGGCTGCGGGGGGAGGCCGGGCTCCTGTGGCTCCGAGTGAGACCTTGCCGGGTGGGCGCAGGTGTGGCATGGGACGGTGGGTGGGGCCTCGGCCGGCCCCCAGCTGGACGAACGTAATGGCAGGCTCTGCGCGACGTGCCCTCCGGTCAGCCCTCACAGCTGCAGATGCCGAGTAGGTGAGGAGCCGGAGAGGCCGTGGCCCCAGGGACGGCCAGGCCGTGGGCTGCTCAGCTTGTCACGTGTGCACAGTGCCAGGGGCCCACAAAAAGTCATTGTCAGGAAATCAGAAGAAAGATGTGAATATCATAATAAAGAATCCAGCCTGGTATTTTTTTTAATACCAACAGTCATAGTTTATTCTGGGGCGGGGGGCGGGGGGCGGGGGGAGGTGGCCTGGGAGCAGAAGTGCGTGAGGCCACTGGAGCCACACAGCTGCCCTGAGTGGGGGCGTGTGGAGCCAGAGCCCCGCCTGGGAGCCAGTACTCAGCTGCAGGCCCCCCGCTGGGGACCCCTCGGGTGTGCTGTGCCCCTGAAGGCCTCTGGGCTCCAAGGCCTCCAGTGGCCCTTCCACGGCGTGTGCCCGCGTGAGCCCGGGGCTGGGGAGGGGCCCAGTGCCTTTGCCCGGGTAATGTGTCTCCCCGCCTTTCCCCAGGCGCCTGGCCCCAACATGGCCCGCCGCTCCCAGAGCTCCTCGCAGGGAGACAACCCGCTGGCCCCCGGGTACCTGCCGCCCCACTACAAGGAGTACTACCGCCTGGCGGTGGACGCGCTGGCGGAGGGCGGGCCCGAGGCCTACAGCCGCTTCCTGGCCTCCGAGGGGGCGCCTGCCTTCCTGTGCCCTGAGGAGTTGGACCATGTGACCCGCCACCTGCGGCCCCCCCAGCATGTCACCCAGGAGCCCCCTGAAGGCACCCCTCCCAGCATGGACATGGACGGCTCCTCGGGCACCTACTGGCCCGTGAATTCAGACCAGGCGGTGCCTGAGCTTGACCTGGGCTGGCCCCTGACCTTCGGCTTCCAGGGCACCGAGGTCACAACGCTGGTGCAGCCACCACCACCTGACAGCCCCAGCATCAAGGACGAGGCCCGAAGGATGATCCGCTCTGCCCAGCAGGTGCACAGCCCTGGGCGCAGCGGGGCGGGGGTGGGCAGGGTACGGGGCAGGGCAAGGTGAGCGCGGTTGGGCGGCCCCACCGTGGTGAGGGCTCCCTCCTGGCTTCCGGGGCCACCAAGGGTCTGCTCACTGCAGGCCGGTGCTGCATCCTCTGCACAGGTTTGCTGGCACGTGGCGTGGTCAGCGCTTGGGGAATCGGAGGCTCTGGGCGGTTGGGTCCTCTCCAGGCCCAGGTTTATTGTTTATGCGATTGTCTCTGGTCCTGTTCTCCACCCAGCAGGGGGCTTCTTACCCCCCATCAGGCAGTTGGCAAACAGCAAAAGGACCTGTCAAACCTCGTGGACAGGCAGCGGGTTCAGGAGCTGAAGACCATGCCTCTGCCCTCGGGGTGGGGGGGGCTCAGACATGGGGGGGTAGGCGGGATTGCAGGGGTTTCACTCATCTCTCCTTGGCCCCCTCCAGGGCTCTGCCCCAAGGAGAGCCCCAACCCCAGCGGAAGGGGAGCCCTCTGCCAACAGGGTGCGGGCCTGGTGTCCGCCTACGGCTCCACGGGCTCCCTGCGCCTGGCCAGCAGCTGCGCACGCTGCCTGACAGCCCCTCCCCCGACCCCCTTCCTGGACGGGCCCCACTCTAGCGGCCGTGTTGCAGCGTTTGCGGGGGATCCAGAGGTATGGCTTGAGAGTGGCGGGGCAGCAATTTCTGCTCTTGGTCCCTGGCCCGACCCTGCAGGTGGTGGCCGTGGTGATGGACATGTTCACCGATGTGGACCTGCTCAGCGAGGTGCTGGAGGCGGCCGCGCGCCGCGTCCCTGTCTACATTCTCCTGGACGAGATGAATGCGCAGCACTTTCTGGACATGGCTGACAAGTGCCGTGTCAACTTGCACCACGTGGACGTGAGTGTCGCGGGGGCGGGGTGCCGGGAGGGGAGGAAGATCCCTCCGCGCACACCTAACGCCTCTCTCCCCAGTTCCTGCGCGTGCGCACTGTGGCAGGCCCCACCTATTACTGCCGCACGGGGAAGTCCTTCAAAGGCCACGTAAAGGAGAAGTTCCTCCTGGTGGACTGTGCCGTGGTGATGAGTGGCAGCTACAGGTGCGTGCAGCCCAGGGCCTCCCCACGCAGGGGCCTCCGCTCCAGAGCCCCTCCTCCCGCAGCCCCGCCCCACCCCGCCCCCTGGCCCGGCCTGGCCCTGCCCATCGGGCCCCGCCTCGCCCCCTCCATCTGACTCTCGCCCCGCCCCACCCCCAGCTTCATGTGGTCCTTCGAGAAGATCCACCGCAGCCTGGCGCACGTGTTCCAGGGCGAGCTGGTCTCCAGCTTCGACGAGGAGTTCCGCATCCTCTTCGCGCAGTCTGAGCCGCTGGTGCCCTCGGCCGGGGCGCTGGCCCGCATGGACACTTACGCCCTGGCTCCGTACTCGGGGGCCGGGCCCCTCATGGGCGGCCCGGTGACCGGCGCGCCGACCCCTTTCTCCTTCCCTAAACGAGCGCACCTTCTGTTCCCACCGCCCAGGGAAGAGGGCCTGGGCTTCCCCTCCTTCCTAGACCCCGACCGCCACTTCCTGTCTGCCTTCCGCCGGGAGGAGCCGCTGCGGATGCCCGGCGGCGCCCTGGAGCCGCACACGGGGCTGCGGCCGCAGCCGCAGCCGCGACGGTGGGACGCAGAGGCCGGGCCGGGCGCTGAGCTCACGGGACCGCGGAGCTTCTTCCAGGCAAGGCACCTGGAGATGGACTCCTTCAAGCGGCACAGCTACGCGGCCGCCGATGGCACCGGCGCTGCCGTGGAGAACTTCGCGGCTGCACGGCAGGTGTCGCGACAGACGTTCCTCAGCCACGGCGACGACTTCCGCTTCCAGACCAGCCACTTCCACCGCGACCAGCTCTACCAGCAGCATTACCAGTGGGACCCGCAGTCGGCGCCGATGCGCCCGCAGGGCCTGTTCGAGAAGCTGCGTGCTGGCCGCCCTGGCTTTGCAGATCCTGAGGACTTCGCTTTGGGCGCCGGGCCGCGCTTCCCCGAGCTTGGCATGGACGGACACCAGCGGCTGGACTACGTGCCATCCAGCGAGTCGCGCGAGGTGCGCTATGGTTCTGACCCGGCCTTCGGGCTAGGACCCCGCGGTCTGGAACTCGGCGGCGCCTCACGTCCCAACCTGGGCCAGCGCTTCCCCTGCCAGGCAACAGCAAGGCTGGGCCCTGAGGCTGGGCCGGAGGCAGAGCCCGAGCGCAGAGTCGGGCCGGAGGGGCGCGCGGGGCTAAGGCACTGGCGCCTTGCCTCCTACCTGAGCGGCTGCCACGGGGAGGACGGCGGCAACGAGGGCCTGCCGGCGCCCATGGAGACCGAGGCCTACGAGGACGACGTGCTGGCGCCCCCCACAGGGCGGGCGGCCGCTGGGGACCTGCTTCCCTCGGCCTTCCGACTGCCGGCGCCCTTCCCGGCCAAGGGCCTAGTGTCCGGCTCCGGCAGCGGGGGCGGCGAGGGCCCGGAGCGGGAGGGCCCGGAGGAGGCAGGCCTGGCCAAGCAGGACTCCTTCCGCTCGCGCCTGAACCCCCTGATCCAGCGCAGCTCGCGGCTTCGCTCCTCGCTCATCTTTGCATCGCAGGCCGAGGGCACCGGTGGGGCCCCAGGCGCCACCGCAGAAAAGGTGCAGCTGCTGCACAAGGAGCAGGCGGTCAGCGAGACGCTGGGCCCCGGGGGCGAGGCGGTGCGCTCTGCCGCGTCCACCAAGGTGGCCGAGCTCCTGGAGAAGTACAAGGGCCCCGCGCGTGACCCTGGCGCCCCGGGAGCCGCCGGCGCAGCTGCCAGCCACAGCAAGGCGGTCGTGTCCCAGGCGTGGCGGGAGGAGGCGGCTGCGCCCGGGGGTGCGGGTGGCGAGCGGCGCAGCCTGGAGAGCTGCCTGCTCGACCTGCGCGACTCCTTCACGCAGCAGCTGCACCAGGAGGCCGAGCGGCAGCCAGGAGCAGCCACGCTCACCGCCACCCAGCTGCTCGACACGCTGGGCCGCAGCGGCGCCAACAGGCTGCCCTCCCGCTCCCTCCTGGCTCAGGGCCTCTCCGTCTCTCCGCCAGGGCGGAACAGCCCCCCTGTGGAAGCCCCCCAGCCGGAGCCGAGAGGGAGCCCCACCGCAGCGTACCCTGAGCGCAAGGGCAGTCCCACGCCTGGGCTTCCCGCTCCCAGGGGCAGCCCGACCTCAGGATTTGCTGCCGAGCAGAAGGGGAGCCCCACCGCAGCGTACCCCGAGCGCAAGGGCAGCCCGGTGCCCCCGGTGCCGGAGCGCAGAAGCAGCCCGGTGCCCCCGGTGCCGGAGCGCAGAAGCAGCCTCACCCCTGCCTTCTCTGGGGAGTCTCCGAAGACAAGCTCCGTGGAGGAAGCGGCCACTGGCCCCATGGAGGTCCTGCGCAAGGGCTCCCTGCGTCTCCGGCAGCTGCTGAGCCCCAAAAGTGAGCGGCGTGCAGAGGATGAGGGCGGCTTCCCAGTGCCGCAGGAGAACGGGCAGCCTGAAAGCCCCCGGCGGCCGTCGCTGAGCCGGGGTGACAGCGTGGAGGCTGCCGCTGCAGAGGAGCGGGGCCCGCGGGCGCGCATGGCCTCCGCCACGGCCAACGCCTTGTACAGCAGCAACTTGCGGGACGACACGAAAGCCATCCTGGAGCAGATAAGCGCCCACAGCCAGAAGCACCGGGGAGCCCCCGCCCCCTCCCCAGCCCACAGCAGTCCCGAGCTGGACCGCCCGCCCGCTGTGGGCGGCCTGGCCCCCGACATGTCCGACAAGGACAAGTGTTCGGCCATTTTCCGCTCCGACAGTCTGGGGACACAAGGCCGGCTTAGCCGGACGCTGCCAGCCAGCGCGGAGGAGCGCGACCGGCTGCTCCGCCGCATGGAGAGCATGCGCAAGGAGAAGCGCGTCTACAGCCGCTTCGAGGTCTTCTGCAAGAAGGAGGAGCCCGGGGGCCCTGGGGGAGCGGACGGCCCGGCAGAGGAGGACGCCAGGGACAGCAAGGTGGGCAAGTTCATGCCCAAGATCCTGGGTACGTTCAAGAGCAAGAAGTGAGTCTCGTGGCCCGGGCGCTCAGGCGCCCAGGCCAGGGGCGGCATCACTGCCACCGGCTGGGCAGCTTGGAACCTGGCCAAGCACCGCCAGGACGCAGCTCCACTTGGGGCCTGCCGGGCGGGCGCCCTGCCTCTTGCCCCTGGCCTCCCCGTTTTGGGGGCTGCAGCCGCTCACTGCCCTGTGCCTTATTCCCCCAACGCCCACCTCTGAGCCCCTCGATCTCTAGGCCCCCGCCTCCCCCTTAGGCATCCGCACCAGCATCTCCTTGGGTTTCAGGCCCCCTCTGGGCCTTCATTCACCTCAGGGACCCACCTCTTTGTGCCTTAGTCCCCAGTCCTCTCAGGGCTTCCGTGTCTCAGGGCTGCCGCGCTCGGAGCCTCCCGGCTACCCTGCGGCGTCGCTCTGCTGCCTCCTCTGTGCCGCCCCCTGGCGGCTCCACACCCTCCGGGCCTCCCACCCACTCGGGGCCCACTGTCTCCATCCCGCCCCGGGCAGCCGGCGGCCTGCTTCCTGCCCTGTCCGACGCCCTCCTGACCCTTTCTTGGCGACCTCGGTTCTCCCCTCGCCTCCCCACCCTTTCACTGTGGGGGGGGGCGCAGAGGGCCCTAGAAAGGCTGCCCCGCCACCGGGAGAGGCCTGAGGCAGACCTGACCCTCCAGCAGGGCTCCAGCCTCAGTGGTGGGTCCTGCGTGGCCCCGGCCTCGTGAAGGGTCCCCGCACATCCTGAAGGACGTGTTCGCAGCCGGAAAGGGGCTGGTCCTGGAGGCTTGTACCCAACAGGCGAGGGGAAGGCTGAGGACTTGGGCTGGTGGCTCCTGAGCCCCAGCCCAACTGGTCCGAGGGGTCCTGGCGCCCCCTGCGCGGGGCATGGTCCTTGCCCGGCCCGGGCCCAGCTCCTCCCTGTCCTGCATCCTCTCTGTCACCAACCTGCAAACTCTGGCCACCATTCCCCACGTACCTTCCTTGTATCTCAACATCAGAGAGTAATTTTGATTTGAAATGACACATTTTGGCACCAAACGCTTAGATGGTCTCCCCCCACAGTAGGTGCTACGATTGTGAAAGGAGTGTATTTTTTTAAAAAGCTTTTTAAATTTCAATGTTAAGGATCCCAATCCCTCAGTGGAGAAAGATGCGGGAAGCAAGGGCGCCGAGTGGACGCAGCAGCTCCGGCTCGGGGCGCACGTCTCCACCCCAGCAGCTCGCCCTCCGGGTGCCAGCGCCGCCTCCCGGGCAGGGGCGGCGGGGGCTTCTGCCAGGCGGCCAAGGCCGTGGAGAGCCGAGCGAGCTGGAGCTGCTGCCAGACACCCCCCGTGGCCTGGTGCGGACAAAGGGCCCACGCGGGGACTGGGGCCTTCCAGTCCCCGGGGGCCGGGGAGGCCTGCCTGTGTCCACAGGTCTTGCTGAATAACACGCAGCTCCTCAAATGTGATTCTGAACATTTTGGTGTTAATAAAACACAAGAACAAAACATTCCAACATGCCCCCAAATGTACGTGCTCACCTGCGATACATTGCGGCCTCTAGCCTCCCATGGCACCAGGTGCCCCCAGCCTGCCTTGGGCGCCGAGTCTGGAGGGAGAGGCTGGGTGCTGGGCAGGCGGGAGCCCCCCCCCCGCCCGCCCCACCGGGGAAGAGGAGAGGGATCGCAGGGACCCTCCAGAGCGGATGGGCTCCCGGAAAGGGGTGATGTGACCTCAGGGAGCCCCCTCTAAGGATGAAAGACAGCAGAGAGGCTGGGAGCAGACGAGACTTTATTGGAGGAGGTCATTGGGGATGCAGCAGGGACCTCATCTTTCCTAGAAAAGACGGGCCTAACTTCCAATGCAACCAGGCAGGGCAGGGGCGGGGCGGGGGAGCGTGGAGGCCAGGACTGAGCAGGTGCCATCAGAGGAATATAAACTAATATTCGGCGGGGGTGGGGTGGGCAGGGGCGAGTCACGGGACGCGGGGTGGGCACCCGGCGTGGGAGCCCTGCGAGGCGGGGCGACAGGCGTGGCTCATGTGTGGGGTCCTGGGAGCAGCGGCAGGCGGCCCAGCGCCGAGCGGCAGACAGTACCGTAGGCTTGTGAGTAGCCCCCGAGCGCGGCCCGCGCGGCCCCCTGGACCCCCTGAGAGGCTGAGGTGCTGAACATCCTCCGGCCGGGCCGGGGCTCCAGCCGGGCATCCGCGGGGCCCGGGAGCGAGACCTGCAGGCAGTCAGGGGTCCGCGTCAGAGGGCGGCTGGGGGCCGAGGGGAGGGCCTGGCGGAGTGGACTGAGGTCGCGGTCGGGGCGGAGGGCCGGGCTCACCCGTCGGGCACGGGCCAGCCTCACCCCCCGGCTCCGGTCCGGGTCGCTCCGGATCAGGGCCTGGGCGGCTACCTGGGCGGCTGCCTGCAAGGTCAGGGAGGGCACCGCCTCCTGCACGCGGGGCTTCCCCTGGAAACAGGCGGCCGAGGGTCACTGCCGGTGCGGGGTGCGTGGGCCCCTGGAGAGGCTCTGCGGCGGGGCCTGCCGGCGCCCAGCCTCACACGACCTACCTGCGACGGTGCCGAGGGGCGCTCCGCCGGCGGCCCAGGGGGCCCTTCACCTCTCCGCGGGCCTCCTGGGGCCGGAGGCTGAAGCAGGGGCGCTGAGTTCTGCTTGGGAACGTCTGTGGCTCCGCAGGCGTCGCCTGTGGGGCCGGAAGAGCCGTCCCCGGGTCAGGAGCCTGGGCTGGGCGGGCGTGGGTGGGGGATCCCCCACCAAAGGGGCGGTCCGCTCCGGTCACACACCGCGCACGGAATCGGGGTCAGGGCTGTTCCGAGGCCGGTGTCCGAGGTCCCGCGTGGGCGCCCCGGCGGGCGGCTCGGGGGCGGCGCTAGGCTCGAGGGCGCTCGCCTGGGGCCACGGGGCGCTGGGCTCCGCCGCCCGGGGGGCGCCCCTGGAGCCTTGCTCTCTGGAGGTGCGGCTGTCGCCCCTGCGCTCCAGGATCGCCTGCCGGGGAGTTGGGGCGCTCAGGACCGCGGGGCTTGGGCACGGGGGCACCCGAGTTGCCGAGGCCGGGGGACGCCGGGGCCGCGGCGCGGGGCACCTGGTAGAGGCGGCGGCGGTACTCGGAGGCCGTGAGCTGCGCTCCTTCGGGCACCGGGAGCCGGACGTGCGCCTCCAGCGATCGCTCCTGGGCCGGGCAGTGGAACCTGCGGGGAGCGCGCCCGGCGGCTGCGGTCGGTCAAGCGAGCCTCTCCCGGGCCCGGCTGGGCAGTGGGCGGCGCCCCCCTCCCCCCGGCCCTACCTGCGCACGTAGGGGTGTTGCAGGGCCTGGGCCGCGCTCAGCCGCCGGTCCGCCGTGAACACCAAGAGTCGCCTCAGCAGGTCCAGGGCCTCGGGGGGCGTGTCCGCCGGCAGGAGGGCCTCAAGCAGCAGGCGAGGCCTGCGGGGCCGGACCGGTGGGTCGTCACCTTCCCTGGGCGGCCCCGCCACGTCCGCCTCGCTGGCCCCAGCCGGACCCGCCCGGAACTAGCTGTCCTCTCGGGATTCACGCAGCCCGCAGGCAGCTTGGGAGGGTCTCCGGGTCCCCTCCTGCCTCCCGCCACCCGCCCAAAGCAGCTCCTATAGGTTCCTACCCTGAGCTGGGTACACACGGAGGACCTGTTTTTATTTATTTGTTTAAAGATTGTATTTACTTATTTGGTTTTAGAGCAACGGGAAAGGAAGGGGAAAGAGCGAGAGAGACACCCACCAGCTGCCTCTCACGCGCCCCCCCAGCTGGGGTGCCCACCTGCAACCCAGGCGGGCGCCGGGCCGGGGGTGCGACGGCCCCCTTCCTGAGCCTCACCAGCCAGGGCGCCGGCGCCTCTTTTTCGCAGGACCAGCGGCTGCTGGGGGGCAGGGTCTGGCCGGCGCGGGGTGTCGGGGGTGGCAGCAAGGGTTCAGGAGGAGTGCGGGGCCCAGCCCCGCCCGGCCCCGCCCGGCCCCGCCCAGCCCCGCCCGGCCCCGCCCGGCCCCGCCCAGCCCCCACACCTGCACTCACCGGGCCCCCAGGTGGCGCAGAACCGAGGCGCCGCAGCCTGAGCCGAGAGCCGGAAGGTCTGCGGGCAGGTGGCAGAGGGGTGTGGTCAGGGGGCAGCTCAGGAAGGGCCGCCCCGGCCGTTTCCGCTGTCCCTGGGGCACGCCCGCCCGCGCCTGCCCTTGGACCCCGTTACACAGCCAGCCCGTGGCCGCGTTCACGTGCCCCTGTCGGTCGGGGAGCCCCGCGCCCTTTCCAGCCCGGAAAGTGGACACCTGGGGAGAGAACAGGGTTCCCCACCTGGTCCTTTGCTCTCTTGCCTCAGCCCCTCCCTCAGGGAAGAGGGATAGCCCTCCCGCTTCCCCCCGCGTGTCCCCACGGCTGCTGCTGCCTTCTTCCGCCTTTGCCCCCAAACTGCCTTCCCCTGCTCCCAGCTCAGTGGGGGACCTGGCCCTGCGACCTCGCAGAGGGCTGGGGCTCCTGCTCCGAACAGCGGGGCCCTCGGAGGCCCAGGGCCCGGCCCCGCGGGCCTCGGAGATGACCTGGTGGCTCCCTGAGCCCCCAGCCGCGCCTCCCTGGGCCCCGGCTTTTCCAGCCTCTGAGGCTTCTGGACCCTCCCCGCCGGCCTCCCCGCCGGCCCGGCCTGACACGCGCTGTCCCTGCACAGCCCCGGCTCCTGCCCCGTGGGCCCCCGCTCACACTCACCCTCTGCAGGTGGCGGTGGGATGGTCTGGACGATCAGCTCCAGCTGGTGGAGCGTGGACGTGCCGGGGAACAGGGGCTGCCCCCTCAGCATCTCCCCCAGGATGCAGCCCAGGCTCCACATGTCCACCGCGGGGGTGTAACTGGGGCGGGGGGGTTGGCAGAGGGTCACTCAAGGGCATGGAGTTTGGGGTGCTGGGAACGGACGGTGCAGGGGTGTGGGGAGGCCCAGGGGCCCGGCTGGCCAAGAGGGCACCGGGGTTCCGGCAGGGGCAGGCGGCGACAGGACAGGTTGGTGTCACTGTTACCAGCTCGAGGACAGCAGCACCTCTGGAGCCCGGTACCAGCGTGTGGCCACATAGTCCGTCAGCGCCTGGCCCTCAGGCCCCTCGGGGGGGCCGCTGAGGGGGCGGGCGAGGCCGAAGTCGCAGAGCTTCACCAGGCAGCGTGCGTCCAGGAGGACGTTGGACGGCTGGGGAGAGGAGGCGGCCGGGCTGATGGGCCAGCCGGGGGGCGGGCACAGGCAGGGCGGGGCCGTGGACAGCGCGCGCGTGGCACCTTCTGATCCCGGTGGATGACGCCTCCCGAGTGCAGGAACTTGGTGGCCCGCAGCAGCTGGTAGAAGATGCAGCGTTTGTGGGTGTCCTGCAGCAGCCTGCCCTTGCAGAGGACGGCGTTGAGGTCCGTGTCTGGGGGCCAGGCAGGAAGCGGGCGCTGGGTCAGCCCGGGGGTCTGGGGGCACCGGGCAGACCTGTCCCACTCAGAGCCCCAGCAGGCGGGGACCCCTCCCCGCCCGCTGCCTGCGGGTCCCGGGGCCCGCTGCCACCTCGGGGCCATGGGCTCGGGGAGCACACTGCCCAGCGTCCCCCACGGGCATCTGGAGCCCGCTCTCTGTCTCTGTTGGTACAGCAAGGAAGGAAGGGGGGGGGTTTATTACCCTCACCTGAGAACATTTTTTCATTGCTTTTTAGACAGAAAGGAAGGGAGAGGAACGTTGATGTGAGAAACCTCTGTCTGTTGCCTCCCGAACACGCCCTGACTGGTATCAAACCTGCAACCCTTTGGCTACAGGACTGCTCTCTAATCCAGCCACACCGGCCAGGGCTGTGGGATTATTTTTAATACTTTATTTCACGCCTTTGTCTTACAAAATGAATAGAAAAAGGAAAGTGCAGCGGTGGACAGTGGACAAAGCAGGGACCTCGTGCGGACAGGTGGCGTCAAGGTGGTGACTGCGAAGGCCACCCAAGGGCTGACGCTTGCCACCTGTTTGTCCTCGGCACAGGGGCGCTGGCCGAGGCGAGGGCGCTGGCCACTGAGCAGCAGAGGGACATACAGAGGGAGCCAGGCTAGGACAGAGGGGAGGCTCAGGGCTAACGAGGCCTCGCTCACCCATGGATTCAAACACCAGGTATATGTCCCTGTCGTTCTCTGCCCGGATCACATCCAGGAGTCTGATGATGTTCGGATGGTCCCCCAATGCCTGGGGAGAAAGCCGGAGGCGGTGCTCTGGGTGCAGGGGCCGGGCTTCCCCTGATGGGACGGACGGGGGCGGGGCGGGGGGCGGCCGGAGTGGCAGGTGCCTTGGCCACTCACCTGGAGCAGCATGATTTCCCGGAACGTTCTCTGGAAGGAGACAGAAACACGAGTGTGTGCAGAGTCAGAAGGACCTGAAGGGGTTGGCGCTCTTTGCCCCACACCCACGGGGCGGCGGCGGCGGCCGCTCCTCAGAGCAATGCCAGAAGCCGCTGGGACGACCCAGGGCAGCGGACAGGCGCCCACAGCCCCGCCCTCGCCCTGCCCCACGCCGCCTCCCTCCACTACCTCGGCGTCCGTCTTGTTCCTAAAGGCCTCAAAGATTTTCTTGATGGCCACAACCTCGCCAGTCCTCCGATCCACCGCCTTCCAGACGATCCCGTAGGCCTGGGCGGAAGAGGTCAGTCGCCCACCCCACCAGCGCCCCCACCTGGCTGCCCTGCAGACAGGCTCCTCCGCCCACGCCGGCTGCTGGGCCCTGGGAGCCCGGCGAGGCCGCTGCGCGCCTCCTGGCTGCCCAGCATCTTCCGGAGGCGGCCGTGGACAGCCAGGGGAGGTGCAGGCCCGGGCGGCGAGGTCCGGGGCAGCCCCTCCTCCAGGCCCCAGCCCGTCTCTCACACACTCCATCCGGCCTGCTGGCGGATCCTGCTGGCTCCTTCTCCAGAATCATCAGAATCCGACCGTTTCCACCGTCTCTGCTGCCCCCACCCCGCCTGAGCCGCCTGCATGTGTCGCCGGGTTAGTGGGGACTGACACCTTGGCTGAGCCCCCCGTGCCCCCCACCCCCATCCTCAACAGCGGGCAGGGTGAGCCTTGTAAACGGCTGCTACTGCTCCCTGTGTCACTAAAAGTCGAAGTCAAAGTCCCCAAAGCCCCGTGTGGTCGACTCCTCCTCAGTCACTTACGTCCAGTCTCAGCCACTCGGCTGTTCCACGCTAAGCCAAGCGGGGCCTGTGCGCTGCTGCCGTGCGCACTGTCTGAGCCGCTCTTTCTGCTGCCCACCCCCCCATTAACGCGCACGCACGCACAATTCCACAGACTCACTCTCAAGCACAAGCACACGTGGGCTCCCACACGCTCCTGGCTCCCACTCCGTGCCCATGGCAGGCCTTCCCCCTCCGCCCTCAGCGGTGGGAGCAGGTGCGCGCAGCCTCCGGGCCGTCCGGCGGGAACCGGCAGACGCCGCCCGGGCGCAGGGGCAGGAGGGTGGGGACGCGGCTGGATGCGGCTCCACGATCACGGCCTGCGGCCACTTGGGGCCCTGGCTGTCCCCTGCCTCCCAGGGCCCTGGCCCTGGCCAGGTTCCGGGAGCAGGCTCCAATCGGGCACCGTTACAGAAAGCTGAGGCTCCGCGGGGCTCGGGAGCTTGCCCAGGGCCCCACCTCCCGTCGGTGGGGGAGGCAGACGTGAGCCGAGGAGTCCCCACGGAATCGGAGGAAACAGACCCTGGACTGGCCTCGCAGGTGGCCTGGTCCCGCGGACTCCCGGTTGCTTTCCCGGGCTCACCCCCTTCCCGAGCCGCCGCTTTAGCAGGTAACGCTGGGCGACGTGAGGATCCACCTCCGCGGTGTGCATGCCGGCGGTGGGCGCCACAGGGCTTGCACACGTGGGCCGGGCTGGACCTGTTGAACCCGGTTGCCTTGGGAACCGGCGGCGGCACCTCCCTGGCGCATGCGCCGGACCGGGGGCGGGGCCTGCAGCCCAAGCCCCGCCCAATCTGGGGCTACGAAGACGCACCACCCGTCGGCACCGCCCCAAACCCCGGCCCCTGGAGTAGGTGCCCGTTTCCGGCCTCCGCCCCAAGGAACCTCCGCGTCCTCCAGGACCCTGCCTGCCAACTCCGGGCCTTGGCGCGGGCGGTGCCCAGGCCTGGGACGCCCTTCCCTGCTCCACCTCACTTCCTCCGGGCTCTGGGAAGGCGGTCCAGGTGGTTAGGAGTCTTGGGCGGGGAGGCAGCACCGCCACTGCACAGGTGTTCGGGGCCGGGAGCCGCGCCGTCGCCAGCCGGGCGAGCGCCCGGATTGAGCAGGTGCTGGGCCGCCGCGCGGAGCCCGGGGCGGTTCCTCGTGGCCGGGAGGCGGGGAGCTTGTCAGACTGGCTGCAAAGAGAGCGAGGCGAGGGGGTGGCCGGGGGAGGAGGCAGCAGATATAACCGTGATGTGTATGCACCTGATCACAAAGGCTCAAAATATATAAAACAAACCCGGACACAACTGGAACGAGAAATAAATCAGTTGGAGATTTTAACACCTTCAATAATTAATGCAACACACAAGTAGAAAATAAAGCTGCTGTAGACGTGAACATTGCTGTCCAGCTTGACTTAGTTGACACAGAACAGCCCACCCAACAACAACAAATACACATTCTTTTTAAATTATATGAAATACCAAGTGGAGCCATACTCTGAGTATCATAAACCAAAGATCAAATTTTAAAGGACTGAAATCACACAGGTTATGTTCTCTGATCCCACAGAACTGAATCAGAAATAACAAAAATATCTGGAAACCATCCCCCGAAAAGATTTGGAGGTTAAACAACACACTTCTAAATAAACAATGTGTCCAAGAAGAGATGGAGGAAATTGTAAACTATTTTGAGCTGAAAGATAATGAAAACAATATAATCTGAGAATTTGTGGGATGCAGCCAAGGCAGCGCGAGAGGGAAATTTATAGTCCTAAATGCTTACATTAGAAAAGTATCGATTCCCACCTTAAGAAGCCAGGAAACAAAGAGAAAATTAAACCCAGAGTAGTCAGAAAGAATGAAATGAAAAGGCAAAGACAGGAATCACTGAAAGGGGAAGCAGACAAGCAAGAGAGAAAGCCAACAAAAACCTAGTCCTTTGAATCAACAGAATAAAATGTGGCTGGACAGATGAACATGCAGTGAGAGGCAGCCAAACCCCGCAGACACTGTGAACATAAGGAACGTTTCCTGTGATCAGCCACACGCCAACACATTTGATAACCTAGATGAAACTGCAGGCTCACCGAGTGCGTGGGAATACTCCCCAAATAAAAATGCGGGTTGCAAGGCTCCCTGTCGCGAGGACAAAGAGCAGAGCGGGGGCGGGGGGGGCACGTCACTGGAAGGGGAGGAGGCGGGATGGCCACCTGCACAGGCCGAAGGGAGCGGGAGCTGGGCTCCCTCCCAAGGGGCCCCACGGCCAGGAGTGGGGCTGTGACCCGAGCCCACGCCAGCCCCTCCCTCTCCCCGCCTTCCCGCACGAACCCCAAGCCAGAGGAGGTCTTCTTCACTGGTTTTGTTTTTGTTTTTTTAAAGATTTTTTAAAAATTTATTTTTAGAGAGAGAAGAAGGGGGAGAGAGAGAAAAACATCGATGTGAGAGGGAAACGTCGCTCGATCGCCTCCGGTACGTGCTCTCACCGGGAACCGAACCCACAATCTAGGCACGTGCGCTGGCCAGGAATGGAACCTGCCACCTTTTTTGGTGATGAGACGATGCTCCGACCAAATGAGCCACCTGGCTAAGCCATGAGCTATTTTGAAATCTGCTGTTACGTGTTTTTTTCTTGGGGCCATTATTTCTACCAAGTCCCACTCTCCCTTGTTCAAATATCCTAGGAGATGCCCATCTTGTGGAAAAGGTTTTATTTCCTTATCAACTGTTAGTGAAGAGTAAATGTGGTCCCCTGCAGTGGTGACCTTTGGCCTTCTTTTAAGCCAGGGCCTTATCAGCTTGGGGCACGCCTTACGCAGTAGATAACAAGTGGCCTGCGCATTTATTTATTCACTGTTACTCAGAGGGAGATCGATTTGTTGTTCCACTCCTCTGTGCATTTGTCGACTGACTCTGGCCTGCGCCCTTGGCGTGGCGGGAGCCTCTCCAATCAGCCGAGCTGCCCGGCCACGGCTGGGCTGCCTAAACCCCGGGTGGTACGGGGAGGCCTGGTCCAGGAGACCCAGAGTGCGTGGGGAGCGGGTGTGGCAGGTCACACCCAATGGGCTGAAACAACCTGGTGGGAGCCCGCAGCTCGCCCAGCTCCTGGGACCTAGGGGGCCCGACTCAGGAGGTCCCCCCGCCCCCGCCGCCCGGGCTGCAGGCTGTCCCCGTCCGAGCACACGGCCCGCCCTGCCCTGTGTCCCAGGCCTTAGGCGAGGGCCCCACCCCTTCCCTGCCCCTCAGTGTCAAAGTCCGAGTAGATACCACAGCTGTTTCCCCGCCTGCGTCACCGGTCGTGGTCGCGCCGCTGCCCTTCCGGTCTCACGCGGGGCCTCCGCGCCCTGCGCGGTGAACCTCGCGCACTCCTCCAGCTCCCAAGTAGCCCTCTGCTTAGTCCTGCTCCCGCGGGCCACCGGCTCAGGCGTCCGGGTCCCTCCGGGCCCCTGCCTGGGCCCTCCCCTCGGGGCCAGCCGGGCGACGTTTACTGTGGTCTCCGAGATCTTGTTCCGGACTCAGACACGCGGGGCCGGCAGGGGTGCGCCGGCTGGTACCCCGTGGCCGCCGCCTCTCAGGGAGCCTCGGGGCCAGCCTGCGGGGCGGGGCTTGGGCTGGCCTTGCCATCGGGCCTGCGCGGGGCTCAGCGCTGGGCATTCTCCCCTGTGTCCCCTTCTTCCTCACAAACAGAGGGGGTGGGGCCCTTAGCAGGGGGTGTGCAGGCCACCCTGGACCACACCCGACGCCCCAGCCCTGTTGGCGGGGCCTCAGGGAGGACTGGGGAGCCAAACCCACAGCCCCCCCCCCCCGCCTCCAGCAGGGCCTCCTGAGGCTGTGGGCACGCTGACCCCAGGGGCCAGCATCCGGGTCACCGCAGCGGCCCTGCCACGGAGCCCACCCGGCCGTTCTGTGCTCCGTGCGTGTGCCCCGGGGTCCCACAGGCTCCAGCCTGTTTTTGCTCCTGGGAAGCGGGCCGCACTGCTGCGTGGCCGGCCCTGCGCGGTGCGTGTGGGAGGGCAGAGAGCTTCCCGCAGGGGCCGCCCTGGCTGCGGGCGCACAGACAGCCTGGCCTGGGTCTGGGCTCCCACCTGGGGCTGGCCGGGGGCCTGGCACGGGTTCCAAGGAGCCTGGCTGTGGAGGGGAGTTCCCCTGAGGAAGGGCCCGGCTCAGGTGCAGGTAGTGGCAGCGGGGGAAGGGCAGGCCCGCCAGCAGCTCAGCATCTGGGATATAGAGACACAGGGTACAGACTCAAGGCCCGCACAGAGGACAGCGCGGCCTCGGGCCTCCAGGGCTCCGTGCCAGCCGGGGACACATTGGATGGACGGGCTCTCCTGGACCACCCGCAGACAGCGCTCGGAGGAGAGGACCTGGCCAGGGGGTGGCGCGGGGGAGGGGCAGCCTTGGCCGAAGCTGAGCCGACTGTTTGAGCTCCTTCCTCCCAGGACCTTTACTGCTCAGTGACCCGTCCAAGGGATGAATGACACCCCAGATCCTCCCCAGCCTGAGTCTAGGGGAGAGGGAGTCTTGGTCCCTGGAAGGACGAAACCCTCCGCCTATTTCACGGGCGGGGTTGGGGGTGGGGCCTCCGAGGAGGAGGAGAAACGTCGCCGGTAACGCCTGGCTTTGAATCTGGACGCTCGGAGGGAATCGTGTCTCCAGTGGGCGGCGGTGGGGCCTGGCGCACGCCAGAGACACCCTTTCCCCAACACACTGAGATTAAGGCCCCTGGTGGGCGTCTCATCCCACCTCCTGTCGGGGCACCCTTCTCTTGCCGAGAGGGGTTGCGCCTGGAATCACCCAGGCTCCCGGACGCCTGCGGCCGCAGAGCGAGCAAGAGGAAGCCGAGGAGACAAGTACCCCTCCTGCCCCTAATTGCCGAGGGTCAGAGGCGAAGCCCTGCGCCGAGGACCAGGGGAGACGCCTGCGGAACTGGGGGCTGGTGAGAGCGGGGCCCACGGGGGGAGGGAGCGGAGCCAAGGTTCGTGGCTGAAAGGTGGTCTGGGCCTGCAGACCTCGGCTTGGGGCAGGGCTGGGCGGAGCTTGCGGGGTGGGGCCACGTGGCGGCGTGGCTTAGAAGTGGGGGCAGCGCCAGGGCTGGAGGCGGAGCTCCCACCCGGGCTGCCTAATTGGTAGTTTCTGTATCAGGAAGAAGCACGTCTGGAGGAAGCAGGAGACTGAGAACAAAATGCTCACAGGGCCTCTCATTTATGAGCTTTAAAGGGAGAGCGATTCACCGAGAAATTCTGGAGGCTGGAAGGACTTAAAAACCCAGTCCTGACCTGGCGACACAAAGTAAAAGGCCAAGGTTAACCCAGACACCCCTCTGACGGTCACAGGCGGCGCGGGAGCCCGGGAGGGGCAGGGGCAGTGTGGCCCGGGAGGCACTCGGTCAGACCGCGAAGGCCTCGGCCGGCCAGGGAAAGGCCTCCACCCGCCAGTGCCAGTCCCGCAATCTGTCCGGTAGGGGCAGCGGCCCCGGCAGGCCCCCAGGGTGCGAGAGGCAGTGCGTAGGGGGCTGCTGCTCCGGGCAGGGGCCCAGGCCCAGGCCCTGGGGGGCGGCCAGAGGGAAGCAGACCGGACGGACCGTGAGGCCCCGCTCCTGGGCTCAAGGGTTTTGTTTTTGTTTTCCCTGGATTACACTCGGTCTTCTGTAAATTTTCTTTAAGTCAAGCACCAATATCATATTGAAAGCCCCTATTATTTAACACCAACATTCATATGCTGTTGAAGAGCAACGTTTAATATTTTAATGTTAAAACAGATTCTGCATTGTCTTGAAGTTTGTCATCTTGCTTTTGTTTATAAAGTATATTTTTTGTCCTGGCTGCTGTAGCTCAGTTGGTTGGAGTTTCGTCCCGTAACCATAAGGTTTTGGGTGCGATTCCCAGTCAGGCTGCACCCAAAGTGGTGGGTTCGATCCCCCGTCCAAGCGTGTATGGGAGGGAACAAATCAATGCTTCCCTCTCCCTTCCTCTCTCTCTAAAAGCAATGAAAAAAAAAGTCCTTTGAGGATTGAAAAAATACATATTTTTACAAGGAGAAAAATGAGTCGATTGTGTTCCTTGTTTTAGGAGGCTCTGCGACACTTTTCGCGCAGGTGAGTGAAGCGCCACGGCTCTGAAATCAATCTGCCAAATCAAGTCCGGCACGTGGATCCTGGGGGCTCCTCCGGCTGCCGCTTAGTCTGTTAGATGCGGAAGGAAGTCCTCCCCGTCTGGGTCCGAACGGTGTGATAGTGGGGAAGGACAACTAAGTTCTGTCTCCATGGAGACTGTAGGGGCTGAGCGCAAATACGCTGCTCAGGGTGGGCCCACCCCGACGGACGGCCAAGATCCCAAAGGAGCCCATGAGTAAAGGTTGGCCACGGTGCCCCGATCCCAGATTAAGCCCATACGCCTGATTCGGCCTCCCCCAAACTCTTTACCCCGCTAGAATATTAGGGCTGGGCCGGGGGAGGGGGTCGGTGCCCTGACGCGTCCTCATGCCCCAGGACCGGGCCCATGGCGCCCAAGAAGCAGCGCGGGCAGAGGGCGGGGAGCCGGCCGGGCGCGGCGGAGGAGGTCGCCGAGCCGCAGCTGTCGGAGCGCGCGCAGTACCTGCAGCGCGAGCACAAGCTGCTCTCCGAGCAGCTGGACGCCTGCAAGGAGCGCGTAGACGTGGTCCTGCGGGAGAACGCCTTCCTGGACGGCGAGGCGCTGCGCCTGCGCGATGAGAACCGGCTCTACGCCAGCTACGTGAGCGCGCGCGCGCAGCGCTGCGCCAACGCCGTCCTCCGACTGGACGACCAGAACCGCGTGGACCTGACGCAGCTCCGCGGGCAGCGGGCCGACCTGGAGTCGCTCTATCGCGGCCGCGAGGACGGGGTGCGCGCGCAGCTGCTGGAGATGGAGGCGCGTGCGGCGCAGATGGCGCGGCAAGTGCAGGAGCTGCAGCCCTACAAGGCCAGTGCGCGCGCCTGTGGGCGGGCCGGGCTGGGGCCGGGCAGGCTGCGTGCCCGCCGCACCCGGCTCTGACCCGCCCCGCCGCCGCAGGAGCTGCAGCTGGAGCAGCTGGCCCGGATCCGGACGCTGGAGCGCGAGCTGCTGCACATAAGCGTGGAGCACACGCAGCAGCTTCACAGCGTGAAGGGGCGCTTCCTGGATGATAAGGCGGCCTTCGAGCGCGAGGCGCGCCATCGCGTGCAGTCCCTGGCGCGGCGCGCGGAGCGGGAGGCGGTGCGCGCGCTCATCACGCACACGCAAGCCATCAAGGCCGACAACGAAAGGCTGCGCGACGAGCTGCTGCGGCTGCTCAGCCGGGCCCAGCTGCTGCATGACACGCGGCGCCAGCTGCTGGGGCAGCGTGAACAGCTGCGGCGCGAGCACCAGGACACCTGGGACCTGGCGCACGTGCACAGCTGGCTGCTCCGGGGATCCACGGGCCCGGCGCTGTGGCAGCCGCCGCCGCCGCCGCCGCCCGCCTCCCCTCCGGGATCCTTTGCCTCCTCCACAGGCCCGTCGCACACGGCCTCCCAGAACCTGTCTCAGGTCTCTTTGAGCACGTTCTCCGGAATCCCGTCCTTGATCCCTGTGCCTATGGGCTCCACGGTCCTGTCTCTGGCCTCTTTGAAGATGAGTTCACGGCCCTCATCCCAGTACCCGTCACAAGCGGGCTCCCGGGTCTCATCCTTGGCCCCGTCCAACCGTGACTCCCAGGCCCCATCCTTGGCTCTGTCCCGCCCTGGCTCCCGGGCTTCATCCTTGGCCTTTTCCCGCCCTGGCTCCCGGGCCCCATCCTTGGCCTTCTCCCGCCCTGGTTCCCGGGCCCCATCCTTGGCCCCGTTTGGCCCTGACTTCCGGGCCCCGTCTTTGACGCGGTCCCGCCCAGGCTCCGGGATCTTTTCACGGTCGTCATTGCGTATGACCTCACACACCACTCCCTCTGCTAAGTCTGCCTCCGGATCGGGCCCTCCCCGTCCCCCAGTTGAAGAAGACCATGAACACTGACGCTGCACCTTGAATCTTCCCGGAAGAAGACCAGGGTAGGGGAGATCAGTACGCAGCACGCTTGTTTGGTGAGTGCAATTGTTAATAAAAGTGTCTCTGTCTCTGTCTGTCTGTCTGTCACACACGCACACACACGCCGCCGCTCTGGCACCGCCTGCCTTACTGCTCCAGCATTTCCTACCGGCTCAGGGACCACTTATACTGGCTTCCAGTTTCCAGCATTGAAGGTAGCTTGATGCGCCCTTCACCCGGTGCGTCAGCCGGAATTCAGCATCGCTCCACACCATGGCTGATCCCCGGCTGCTCCAGCAGGGGCAGAGAAAGTCACCCCCTTAGCATCCTGCCCGCTAGGGCTGATGGTGGTGCAGAGGCAGACACCGCCAGCATGGCCAGATGGTAGAGAACAGGAAAGGAGCCGGGGGCCGGGCGACCGGGCGCGGTGGTCGGAGGACCAGCATGGTGCCAGCCGCGGAGGGGAGTATACCCGGAAGCTATAGGGAAAGACCAAGAGGTTTTCTGTGTAATCCTTTGGCGGGGGTGGGGAGGTGGGGGGTGTTAATTTTTTATTTTGATATAATTCCCAGTTTAAAGTTGGAAGACTAGTGCGGGGAAGTCCCATGTACCGTTTACCCAGATTCACCTGCAGTTTGCTTTTTACCACCTTGGAATGCAGTGTGTGTGTGTGTGTGTGTGCCCGCGTGTGTGCACGCGCGCCGCCCCCCAAACCTTTTCAATTAGGTGCATTAGGTCGTGCCCCTTCACCTCCGACAGTGTTTTCTGAGCACAGCGACATTCTCCTACGTTCCTGCAGCACACGATCCAAGCCAGGGATGCAGCGCGCGAAAACAGCATCAGCTGATCCCCGGCGCCTTAGTGTCCGCAGGCCCAACAGTGCCCTTGGTGGCCACCCCGTTTGACGGGATTACTCACATTTAATTTTTCTTCCCAATGTGCCCAGGCCGATTCAGATGTCCCTTAGGTGTGGTGCGTGTCCCCTGGTGGCTGTGCCCGGAGGCGTCGGGGCCCCTGCCCCTGAGCACTGGCCCCCGCCAGCGACTTCATCCTCTGAGCAGAGGGGAGGTGTTAAGCGGCAGGGTCTTTGGAGGGAAGGGGCGTGTGGGAGAGGCAGCACCAGCCGGGGCGCACTTACTCTAGGGCGGGTGCTGCCCTGCAGCGCCCAGGCCGCGACCCCAGTGGCCGGATGGGCCGGCTCGTGGGATGGGCCGCGTGGGGGACGGGTCCTGGGCCCGGGTCCTGCGCGGGAGCTGAGCGCAGGTTGAAAGCAAAGCCCCTGTTCGCCAGGAGCAGCGTCACTGGGCTGGGCCACACAGAGGCAGGTGGAGACCCCGCCCCACCACACTCTGCCCTTTGGGGTCCTCGACACCCCCTAGCCCAGCGCTTCGCCTGCAGTAGCGCCTGAGGAACATCGTTCCAAGCAGGCACTGGTGAGCTGCTCACGGCGGTCGGGTCCTGACGCTCGGTGGTTTGAAGCGATCGTTAGCTGCACGTGTGGAACTGCCAGGCTGCTCTTCCCGACAGCTGAGCCGCTTCCGGGGAGGCAGGGCCCGCCTCTCCGCTGCCCGCCGGCTGTGTCTCGACACACTTCTCTATGGGCGTCAATGTTGTGTTTCAGAGGGGTTCCTAGGAACAGTAAAATGGTTCTGTTTTAGAATACAGTCCGACAACCCTTGTGTTTTACCTTCAGAGTGTAGTTAGTTTATTCTGGTTGAGTTGCAGTATTTTTTAAATTTTAATTAATTTATTTTACTGTATTTTTTCCATTACCATTTAGCCCCTATGCCCTTCTCTGCCTCCCGCAATCACCACGCTGTTGTCCATGAGTGTGTTTTCCTTTTTGAATTGCGGCCTTAATACCAGTATTGTTTTTAATCAGGTTATTTTACACGTTCTGAGTTTTCTTTCTTATATCATAATATTTCAGTCGGACCCCCTCCCCTCATTTCATTAGCTTCTCTACTTTGCGGAAGTCGTGCCCCTCTTTCCCTGGCCGCCTGAAAGACGTTAACACGCACGTTGACGCTCGTCATTCATGAAGATCCCTCTTCGCCTCCCCTCCAACCCTCAGAACAGCCCCCACCCCCCGCCCTCCCGCTCCATCACACCTCCCAGGTTTAGAACCTGCTGATGCCAGATGCCCGCAGCTTGGCCACTGTTACTTTCTTTGTGAAAGTCCATTCTGCACACTTGTCATTTGGGACATATCTGTTATGCTTCAGTAAAGGTGTGCTTCAGCCCTGGCTGCCGTGGCTCAGTGGGTTGAGCACTGGCCTGCAAACCGAAGGGTCGCTGGTTAGATCTGGTTGGATTCCCAGTCGGGGCACAGGCCTGGGTTGCAGGCTGGGTCCCCAGTAGGGGGTGTGCAAGAGGCAACCACACATGGATGTTTCTCTCCCTCTCTTCCCCTCTCTCTAAAAATAGATTTTATTTATTAAAAAAAAAATAGTTTAGAAGTCCTCACTTCTTACTCCTTGCACAGCTTTCCACCTTCTCCCAAAATGCTCAAATTTGGCCCTGGTCCCGCCCCACCCGGTGGCTGTCCGGACCGCTCCTGGGGGGATGGCAGGGACCCTGCAGGCCTGGGACGTCCAGCAGTGGGAGGGACAGTCCAGGGCCCCCTCTGTCCCCTCCCTGCCTGCCTGCTGCTCTGTGGCTCCTGCCCTAAGTTACCGCTGCTCATCAGGTGGGCGCCGGGGCTTTCCTGACTCTGCTGGGAGCCCCTCCCCTGGACCTCCAGGCCACAGGTCAGAGCAAGCCCAGCCGCAGCCGTGTCCGCTGCGGAGAAAGAGCCACTGCTCCGGTTCAGCTCCCAGTCACCTCAGCAGGGGTAGGAGGGACACCAGGCACCAAGAGACTACGAGGAGGGCCTTCAAGGGCTCAGGCAGAGCTGGGCTAGAGTACCTGCCCACGGGCAGTATCGCTAGGGCAGGGCTGCGGCCGGTGGATCAGGGCATGGGGCGGCGGCGGGGGGCACCCCGCCTGCTGAGGAAGGCCGGGCGGACAGGGATGGAGCCTGTCTGGTCCTCCCTGCCTTGTCGAGAGGACAAAGCGAGGGTGCAGGCACTCAGGCCAGGCCTTGGGGGCCTCCCCGAGAAAAGCCATCCCCAGGCAGAGACCACGGAGGAGGGACACCGCAGGGCAATGGGCTCCCCCGCGCCCCGCTGGCCTCCAGCACTGTCGGGAAACGACTCAGTCCGTGCCCGCGTTGGACTCACGGCAGCTCTAGCTGACTCAGCACCTAAGAATCAAGTGTATTTTCAAGCTTTCTCTAACATCTACAACAGTCTTACCATAAAAGGACCATATTTTCTTTTTTAAAAGTTTTTATTTTTAAAAAAATTTTACTGCATTTTCCCATTACCATTTAACCCCCTTATGCCCCCCCTCCCTAAGAGTTCTTGATAACATCTTTTTAAAAAATTGTTCAAATACATTTGTCTCCATTTCCCAGCCACCACTCCCCCCTGTCCGACCCTCCCCCTTTTGAACAAATTTTTATTTATTTTTAGAGGGGAAGGGAGAAAGAGAGGTACATCAATGTGTGGCTGCCTCTCGCGCGCCCCCCACTGGGGACCGGGCCGGCAATCCAGGCCTCTGCCCTGACCGGGAATCGAACCGGCGACCCTTTGGTCTGCAGTCCGGCACTCAATCCACTAAGCCGCACGAGCCAGGACAAGCCACATTTTCTTTTTCCTCTCCGCTCCGTAAGAGAGAACTGGGGATCAGGTACATTGCTGAAGCCACTGCCGCGGGCCCCTCCAGAGGCCAGCAGGGGCTGGGTCACGGGGCGGCCTGCAGGGCACAGGGGAGCCGAGCTCACCTGGGACAGGTACCTCCATGGGAACAGCAGCAGGGGCCCTCCAGGAGACGGAGGAGCCCTCTGGGGACAAACGGGTGCTGGGGAGCAGCTGATCTGGGGAGACAGAGTGAACAAGAGATGGAGCCCGGAGCTGCGTCCCCGCAGTGAACCGGGGGCTTCAGGAATACCCGGCAACACCCGGGCTCGCGCCCGCACAGGGTGTGCTCGGCGCCGGAAGGAGAGTCGCAGGGCAGGCGCGGGGCGCTGGGTACCGCCCACCACGCTCACGCAAGTACCGATGGCGCAGAAAGCACGCCACCGTCGGTCCCCCGAAAGACGGCGGTCCGCCGATAAGAGCTGAAAGCCAGCGGCTTTGCTGCAAACAAGTGACTGGAGAACGTGGAGCAGACAATCTTACGGTCATGCATTAGAAAGAGGGCGGCCCACACAGGACAGCGAGACGACCCCTGAGAGTGGAGGTGAGGGACGAGGACTGGGGTAAGGGCAGTGAGGGTGGAACGGGGACGCGGAAACGCTGCGACCCACACCGGGTGTTGTGACTGAGGGGCACGCGCAGGCGGAAGGGGTCCCACCTGGCGAGAACCGCCTTCCCGGCGGGGTCGCCTCGGAGGCCGGGCTGGAGCCACAGACCGTGGCCGGGGCCACCAGGCAGCGTCCCGCCACTAAGGGAATACGCACTGGGTCCTCGGAGGCCCAAGGGCGATCCTCCGGGACCCTCGCCCCGCTCGCGCAGTGCCGACGGGCAGGTGGGGCCCCCGCAGGTAACCTGACGGTTCGCACCTCCGAGGACCCCTCCCGCCCGCGGCTCCGCTATCCCAGCGGAAGTGTGTCTGCCGCCGCCGGAAGCGGAGCTCGCCGCTCTAGGGCGTCCGTCTCGGTGGTACGCGCGGGCGGTGTAGGGCGCTGTGCTCGGTGTTGGCCCCACGTGCCGCATCCTCCCAGCCGCCCACCGCCCCGAATCGGCCTGATGTCGCCCCTGACGCGACCTCCGCCTTGGAGCCTGCGGTGCCCTCCGCCCGACTTGTCCAACGTCGACTCCTTGCGCTGTGCATTGCCCTCACCAGGTGTCCCGGGTGCGCCGAGACCGGGGGCGGGGGGGTGCCTAAACCGGCTCAGATCCCACGCCTTCCCACGGTCTGTCGTCTGGTCTCCATCAGGTGCCACGTCCCCTCCGCTGGTGCAGCCCCCTAGGCCCCGGTGCAGCCCGCGCTTCCGCCGGTGGGCCGGTAACCACCTCCCTAGAGACCAGGCCGCAGAGCTGGGTTCCCCGGACCCCATCTCTGACCTCCAAGGCTGGATCGGGGGATGCTCTTAGCCCCGCTGGCAGGTGTACTTGCTTAAGTTTATTTTTATATCTAACTGTGGTAAAATACACACAAAAAATGTACCACCCTAACCATTTTTAAATGTATAGTGCAGCAGTGTTAAGTACGTTCACATTTGCAAAACAGAAACTGAACCCATTAAACATTAACCATTTTTCCTCTCCTCTGGACCTCAGCCATTGACAACCCTCTGTATTTATGAATTTGGCTTCTCGAAGTGCCTTATTAAAGTGGAATCTCACAGTATTCGTCTCTGTGACTGGCTTATTTCCCTATGCATGATGTCATCATGGTTCATCCATGTGATAGCATGGGACAAAATTTTTTTTCTCTTAAGTTGAGCAATACCCTTTTGTATGGGTGGAGCACATTTTGTGTATCGATTCATCTGCTGATTGACACTTGGGTTGTTTCCACTGTTTGGCTAAAAAAAAAATGTGCTGTTTAGGGAAACGAAAAAATAAATGGGACTACATCAAACTAAAAAATGTTTGCACAGCAAAGGAAATCAACAAAAAGAAAAGATAACCACTGAATGGGGGAACATATTTGCCTATACATCTGACAAGGAGTAAAGACCAAAATTTAGGAAGAACTTACAAAGCTCACCCTGGCTGGTGTGGCTCAGTGGACCGAGTGCTGGCCTAAGAACTGAAGGGTCCTGGCTAGATTCCCAGTCTGGGCACAGGCCTGGGGTGCGGGCCAGGTCCCCAGTGGGGGGCACGTGAGGCAACCACACATCGATGTTTCTCTCCCTCCCTCCCTTCCAGTCTCTCTAAAAATAAATAAATTCTTAAAAAGAAAAGAAACTCAAGGAAAGCAAAAGCTGCTTCTTGGGAAGAACCAGTAACCCTGGAAAGTCTCCATCTCTGATCAGAAAACCAAAAGATGACACATGTCACCAACATCAGGAAGAAAAGAGGGGACATCATTTAAAATATAATTTAAAAGAATGCACAAAAATATAATACTGAGATTTTTAAAACCTTGTCAATAACTCAATATATTAGATGAATACTCCCTTGAGAGATCTACAAGTTACCAAAATTGACACAAGAAGTAATAGAAAAATCTGACTAGTGTTATGCCTGTTATGGACATTGAATTTGTAATTTTCCCACAGACATCCCCAGGGTCTTACTAGTGAAATCTACGTACACTTAAGAAATATTATTATTACAGAAACAACTTCAGAAAATACATATGGGTACAGTAACTCAATGCTATGCGGGCAACATGATATCAAAACACAAGGATGTCCTCTTGCCCCTTGTAATGAAAACTGTACAAGACGCCCTGGTCAGTCCCATAAAAGAAGAAAAAGGAACAAAGTCTATATAAATTGGAAAGGAAGTAAAACTCTGATCTACACAGAAAATCCTAGGAGGAAGGGCTGGAATAAGTGAATTCATCTAGGTTGCAGGACACAAGATCAATACATAAAAATCAAATGTATTTCTGCACATTCGTAATAATAACTTGAAAAATGGCTTTAAAAATGTAGGCACAACTCAAAGAGCATAAACTATAAAAATTCTTGACAAATTGGACTTAATAAAGTTTTATTAATTTTTAATCTGATCTTTAAAAAAAATCATTAAGAAAACAAAAAGGCCAAAGACTGTATTTGGAAAGACTTTCATCTAGAAAAGAGCCTTCCTCGTCAATGATGAGAAGACAGACCGTCCGAGTTACAGGGGGCAACAGCTGTGAACACATAAAGCACAAGGGTGGTCCCGGAGGACGCTGTGCACGCGGAAAGGCGTCCGCCCTCCTGCAGCATGAGATGCAGACACAACACACCCCGCCTGGCGGACTGAATTTGAAGTGAGCGACGACACCAAGCGTCGCTGAGGATGTGGAGTGACTGGCACCAGGACACAATGTGGCAGGAGTGTAAAAATGCGGCAGCCAGTATGCAGAAAGTTCTGGCAATTTTTTGTGACGTTAAAAACACAGTAATCTTATAACTCAGCAATTAAATTCCTAATCATTTACCCAAGAGAAATAGAAAGGAAATTCAAATAAATTGTTTTACACAAATGCTCATAGCAGTTTTATTCATAACACTCCAAAGTGGACACACAAATTTCTATCAACAGATGAACAGTAAGTGATGGTTTATCCATACAATCCAATATTACTCAGCAAAGAGAAAGAGCTACTGCAACACGTAAGTGCACTGGGGTGAGTCTTTAAAACATGCCCGAGTGAAAGAAGTCAGACGCACAAGATGACATACTATACGCACCCACTTAGGAAGTCCTAGAACAAGCAAAACTCATCTACACTGACGATGGTCACTTGGGGCTGGTGTGGGATTCGCTGAGGAAGGGCAAAAGGGAGCTTTTGGGCGCATGTTAAAACTCTGTCCACTCAGAAGAGGCGTTGTACTGTTTGGAAGCTGGACCTCGGCAACTCTGACTGAACAATCTGGTAACACCCGCGTCCACAGCCCCAGTGGCGCGTCCCCGGGACAGCAGGCCGGAGGCCCTGTGCGCGTGACTGACTGCCCGAAGTCGTCTAGGGCTGCTGGGATTTGCTAGGAACTCAAAATATGTTTTTATGGGCAAAAACAAAAAGTTGTTTTATACAATTTCAAAACTGGTTATTTTGGTTAATGTTTGGAAAAGGAAATGGTCTCGCTTAAGACAGTTATCCACTGTGCAAAAAAACTTGCCTGCTTTTGAACAGCTCGACCAAAGGTGGAATCTGCAACAGCCCATTTCTGCTCGTTTCCTCTTTTGTTCCTTCTTCCCTGACAGACAGATGTCTACTTATCTCTGTAGATCAGTTCAAATGCCACCTCTTCGGAGAAGCTGCCCCAGATCTTCCCTGCTACACTAGTCACCACCTTGCCTAAGCGCCCGCACAGGTGGGAACAGGTGTCTCCTTCTGCACTTGCGTGGTGTGCTGTGACTGGTTACACCTACCAGACTTGGAATGGCCTCAGTTTGGTCGGTGTCCTCATCAGTTTTCCCAGGACTTCGCGCTGGTCCTTACGGGTCAATACATTTCCAAGTAAATGACACAATGAGCCCAAGAGCAGGACAAAGTGACAAGAAGAGGTGAGTTAATCCTGGAACTGCTGAGACAGAAGTTACGTGGTGCACTGGAACGCGCCAGAAAGATGCACTGACCGCTAGTGAAGGCCAGGCTTCCCAAGGTCATGGCTGAGCTCTAGCTGCAGCAACAAGGACACTGGGCTCACACTGGCCCTTGCTTGCGACTTCTGGCTTCAGGAAGAGCAGGAGACACCAACCAGGCAAATAACAAATATATTTCCAGAAGACCAGTAGATACAACACAACGACAAAATCCAAAGGTTTGGAAATAGCAGTACAGAAGGGACAAAGCTGGAGAGTCACCATTTACATGGATTTGGGGTTTGGTTTCTATTAGTCTCTGCTAGATGCCAGGGAAAAATAAATCAATGAGATGTGACAGCTGTCCTCCCATCAGCAGTGTAATAATGAAAGAGAGAGAGAGAAAACACCAAAGTCAGTCCTGGCTCACCATGAGGAGTTAACCAGGTGAGGAGAGGAGCGCATTCAGACAGGCAGAGGCCAGGAGGCAGGGGCAGCCAGGCCACGGGGAGCGTCAGTCAGCGCTCCTGTAACACCGACTCCGGGGCAGGGATTAAGTGGTGGGAGACAAGGCCCCGGGGTGCAAACCCGTAGGATGGATGCAAGTGAGGGAGCTTAGAATGTATCCTAAGGACCCCAGGGAACCAAACTGGTTTTAAATAAAGAGTTCTCCAACTTGCCTTTTTGATAGATCAACATTTGCTACATCATACTCTTTAAAGGAATAAGATTAGACAAATGTATCCTTTAAAGGGATTTAACTCGGGGATGAACTGTAATTGTTCAATCAAGTACAGAACTCTTTTTCCAGACCTAGCTTCAGGCCCCAAACTGCTCCAGCTCAGAGTCAGCTGTCCAGTCTTGCTGCCCTCCCAGGGACACGCATTCCTAGCTGAGGACAGCAGTCCTGCACTGCTGCAAACAGCAGATGGCAGCCCACGCGTAAAGCTGCCCCACCTGTGCCTTTGGGACGCGCCAACACGTCCAAAGACACTGAATGAGGACTCATGGCCCCCCGTCCAAACATCACTCACTGAGTTGGAGGATAGTTAACTTCATGAGCTGCCTGTATGCTCCCCCGGACTGACAGATTTCTCACTCAAATGTATGGGGGCCTTACTCAAGGGAAGTCCCTCTTGGTGAACCCCTTGATTATTTTTAAAGTTTGGGGTAGAATTGAAATCTTTCCCATACTCACTACATTCATAGAGTTTCTCTTCAGTGTGAATTTTCTGGTGTTGAAGGAAGTTGGACCTCTGAATGAAGCCCTTCCCACAGTAGCTGCACACGTAGGGCTTCTCCCCGGTGTGGATGATCTGATGGAGAAGCAGCTTGGAGCTCTGGATGAAGGCCTTCCCACAGTCCTTACACTCGAAGGGCCTGTCCCCAGTGTGAATTTTCTGATGTTCAGTGAGATGAGCTTTCTGGAGAAAAGCTTTCCCACACTCCTTACATTCGTATACCCTCTCTCCAGTGTGAATTTTCTGGTGTCGAATAAGGTATGAACTCAGGAAGAAGGCTTTCCCACACTCATTGCATTCGTAGAGTTTCTCTCCAGTGTGGATTCTCTGGTGCTGAGTAAAGTTTGATGTCTGGCTGAAGCGCTTCCCGCACTCATTGCAAACGTAAGGCCTCTCTCCAGTGTGGATCCTCTGGTGCTGGATGAGCTTGGAGCTCCGAATGAAGGCTTTCCCACACTCGTTACATTCAAAGGGCCTCTCTCCAGTGTGAATTCTCTGATGTTCAATGAGGTCTGAGCGGTGACGGAAGGCCTTTCCGCATTCCTTACATTCGTACTGTTTCACTTCTGTGTGGATCTGATAATGTCGAATAAGGCTTGAGCTCCTAATGAAGGATTTCCCGCATTCGTTACATTCGTAGGGTCTCTCTCCTGTGTGAATTCTCTGATGTCGGATGAGTAAGGAACTCTGACTGAAGCCCTTCCCGCATTCTTTGCATTCAAAAGGCCTCTCCCGGGTGTGAACGCGCTGGTGTCGAATCAGGTCCGAGCTGTGACAGAAGCCTTTCCCACACTGAGCGCACTTGAACGGCTTTTCTCCTGCGTGTGCTCGCTGATGCTCAATGAGGTCCGCATAGTGAGTGAAGTCTTTCCCACAAGCATTACACACATAGAGTCTTTCTCCGGTGTGGACATTCTGGTGTTCGGCAAGGTGGGAGCTCTGGCTGAAGCTTTTCCCGCTCTGGTCGCATTTGTGAGGTTTCTCCCCAGTATGAGAAATCTGATGTCTAATTAGGTCCGAAGTAAATGGGAAGCTTTTGCCGCAGGTCTCGCATGGGTGGGCTTCCCCTCCTATAAGCTCTCTCTGAAGTATGAGGAGGTTGGAGCCCAGAGCGGGACCTCCTCCTGATTCACTGCCCACCTGGGCTGCCTCTCCTGTCTGGATCTTCCAGTGCGTAACTGTCACCTGCTTGAAACTTCTCTCTTGAGACAAGGAGCTCTGAAGGCTCTGCCCTTCCAGGTTTCCCAACAGCCCCCCTATTCCAGGTTCAGAGACCCCCACAGACTCAGACTCAGGGGTGGGGGGCTCCATCACTGTGAGTGTTTCTGACATTGTCGTGTGTGGATTTCCATCAGAAATTCAGGCTCCTGAGTCACCTTCTTGTCACTAGTTCTACATTGGAATCTGAAATAAAACAGATAAGATCATCTTTCCCATCATTGAAAGGCAGGAATCCACTGCAAAAAGTGGGGGTAGAACACATCCAGAGAGGGCAGTGTGCCCCCGCCAGCCGCCCCTCACTGGGGAGGCTTCTTCGGGGCTCCAGCATCCAACTCCAGGGGACAGACTGCTCGGGTGGCCGAACGGGTAGGCACACGGCTTGGACTATCAAAATCAAGACATACTTCCAAAGAAACACAAACTTATCAACCTTACCACCTCTTCCTTGTCCCCTGTCCCTTCATGTGCTCCCTTCCCTCCTCTCCAGCTTAGATCCCACGGTCAGGGGTGCACATACCAAAACCATTCTCTTGTACACCAGCCCTCACTCCCCTGCCTCTCTGCCATCACACCTGCCTGGGAAAACCCTGCCGGGGCTGAACTCTGCTTGCTGCTTGTGTCGGTGTCGCTGCTGAGCTCTGGAGGCTCCCAGCAGTTTCTCCAATGCCTGGCTCTCCTCGGAGGCCACTTCCCGCTTTTCAGTCTCTTCTCAAGTGTCCAACCTCTCCCTCCTCCCCACTGTCAAGCAAGGAGATGCGAACGTTCACTTCTTCCCACTTCTCTGCCAGCCCACCTGTTCCCATACCATGCCCTCCCTGTGACATGAGTTAAAGTGTCCTGGAGCCAGCCTCCAGCAACCCTTGCCCCGTGCACTAAAGCCCCGTCATCTGCTCGATGACACCGAGCCTGCCCTGCACAGCCCAGGACTCTGACAACAGGGACCCCCACGAGGGGGTGCGGCACACAGCAAGGACGCGGAGCTGTCACACCCCAGCACATGTGCACCTGACGTGCTGTCGAGCCATGAAGCCAGGCACAGAGTTCACAGCGTCTGATCCCATTTATACTGAGCTCAGATGCAGACAGAGCCGTCCACGGAGGGGAACGTGAGACCGCGATGGCTGCAGGGTGTCAGGGCGACGCCCTCCCTGCAGCTCTGGACTTCTCGCCCTGGGAACTGCCCCAGGGCCGTGCCCTCTCCTGGGGAGGCCCCACGGAGTTACCTGTCGCTGTGTACCAACTCACCACGGGCAGAGGAGCAGAAAGCAGCACGTGCCTGTCACCTCAGTGCTTCAGGCCGCTCCAGCCCAGCACGACCGGGACTGGGCCACACGTGTGCCCCAGGTGAGGGCTCATCTGGACACTCTGGGGAATCCCATTTCCAAACTCAGATCGCTGGCAGAGCTCAGTCCCTTGCAGGTATGGGCCGCGTCCGCTTCCTTACTGGCGGTTGGCTCCTCAGGGCCACCTGCATCCTCCAGGCAGGAACTCGCTGACCCCTCTGCCGTGCCTGCTGCAGAAGACCCTGCTTCCCAAGGGCTCCCATGGCAGCCGACCTGGCCCCTTAATTACAGCCACAAAGTCCCTCCACGACAGCTGGGAGGTGCGCATGTCAGGGTGGGGATCTTGGAGCAACCCCCGCGCCCCAGCGATGCCTGCTCGCACCTACCCTGGGATGGGCCGCGGCCTGTGGGGCCCCGCCCAGCGGCGCGCGCGCACGTCCGGAGGAAGTGCTGCCGTGTCCCGGGAGCCGCGGCGGTCAGCTGCCCTCCCGACAGGCTGCTGCTGTCGGTGGGTTCTGTCCATTTTTAAAGTGCATATACATGGAATTGCACAGCGTGTTCTCTGCTTCTTGGCAAACTGTCCATTCTTTTTTTAAGGTATATTTCACACACCATAAAACTCACCATTTTAAAGTGCACAATTCAGTATTTTCTAGACTATTCCTGATTGTGGAACCACTGCCACTGTCTTACTGAGTCCAGATTTTTGCCCCAGAGGCATCTGCTCCTACTCGATATTGTGCCTCTGGAAGCCCCTCCTCCCCTGGCACGGGGGTCCCACTGCGCAGACCCCCCACCCCCAGTCTGTGTGCACCTTCCCAGGCACCTGCGAGCGGTCTGCAATGAGGGGCCATGAATAAAGCCACTGTAAAGGCTCCTGCCCCATCCTCAGGAAGATGGCCCTGCGCTCTGCGGGGTGCCCACTGGCTGCGGGGCTGCCGGGTCACATGTCCTAGCCCTAGGCACTTCAGTGGCACACCCCCCCCCCCAATCAGGACGCGTTTGCAGGCCGAGGGTCGGGGCTCTTCCCCCTGCTGGGTGGGAGCATCTGTGGGGCAGCCCTGGTCACCCAGCCCTTTCACTGGGAGTTGGGGACGGCGCGGGGGAGGCCAGGGCTGTCTGAGTTGGAACTGTGACTGTGTGAAGTGGCGCTGGTGCCCCTGCAGCGCCTGGCTTGCACAGAGGGTGGCCAGGGGGCAAAAGAGTGGCAGAGACCGCAGACTGCCCAGTGTCCCCGCTTCCTCGGAGCGACAGCAATCCCACCTGAAACTCTAGGAGGCACAGGGCTGCCCAGCCAATGACTACGTGTCCTAGCGTGCCCTGAGGCTGGGTGCGACCCTGTGAAGGAGGTCCAGCAGGGGGACAGGGACGGAGGGGTGTGTGCACTCGGCCTGTCTCCCGGCCGCCGGGACTCGCCAGGAGGCACAGCAGCCTGCAGAGAGAAGCAGCGGGAGAGAGCGAGTTTCTTGTTGGAAACACTATTTTTGAATCTGTTAACAGCAACTTGAACCCAGGCCGAAACAGGCCCACAGGCCCCGGACCATCCAATGCGGCGGCGCCTGCGGTGAATGCGCTCGGCCCGCGCTCCCTCCCCTGCGCCAGCGGTGGCGTTCGCCGAGAATGCCCTTCTGAAAGGAAGCCCATTAACCTGGCTTACAAAAATCTTCCTCCGGTTTATAATTACCTTTAACTAGTTATTTTTCAAGATATAAAGGTAAATTATGCTAGTTGAGAAAAAATTTTAAAATGACCAGTTAACATTTTCACTCTGGTTCTTTTCTGCACCGTATTTTATGAAATCACATCTTCTGTCTTGTATCCTGTTTTACTTTATGTTTTAGGGGTTAAAAACGTTAAGATACATATTGTGACCACATTTCCAACGATAAAGAAACATGAGACAGCGGAGTCCTCGGCGGCTGAGCAGGCAATGCTGTTAGCTGGGTGCCCCTGCCGCCTCTGCTTGAAAGGACACCCGCCCAGTCACGGGACGGCCCCACCCGCACCACAGGGCGTCCCAGCGGACTGACTGCACGTCTGGGACACTCCCCCGCACCAAATGAGGCAGATGTCACTGCTTTTACTTCATTTTACAGGCGGTGGAAGAGCCCAGGACAGTCAACCCCGCCAAGGTGACTCAACCAGTAAGTGGCCGAGTTAAGGTTCAAATCCAGGTCTACCATTGTGACAGGTTTCCCTTCCCAAGTGTGACCCGTCACTTCCACAGGGCGTTTCGCTTAGACCCGCTGGAATCAGCACCCCAGCGAGCGTCTGTCGCCCCGGCGCGGCGCTCGGCTGGTTGGAGGGCCGTCGCAGCACGGCCCGGCTTCGGGTCTGACCCCCAGCAGGACGTGCGCGAGAATCAACTGATGGACGCAGCGACGTGGACAACAAGATCCATGCTCTCCCGCTGCCCCTCTCGCTCTTTAAAATCAGTAAGTAAAATTTCAAAGTTTATATTTTAAGCCTTGTTATTTTTCTTAATTTAAAAAAAAAGGGGAGATGCCCTGGCTGCTGTGGCTCAGTGGGCCAAGTGTCGGCCCGTGAACCAAAAGGTCCTCAGTTTGATTCCCACTCAGGGCACAGGCCTGAGTCGCGGGCCAGGGCCCAGGTAGGTGGCGTGTGAGGCAACTGATAGGTGTCTCTCACATCACTGCTTCTCTCCCTCCCTTCCCCTCTCTCTCTAAAAAATAAAATCTTACAAAAAAAGGGGAGGTAGGCCCTGGCTGGATGGCTCACTTGGTTGGAGCTTTGTCCTGTGCACCAAAAGGCTGCAGGTTCGATCCCCGGTCAGGGCACAACCTATCGACGTTTCCGTCTCTTTAGGATCAATAAACACATCCTCCGGTGAGGATCAAGGGGGGGGGGTGGGGTGGGGGGGGGTGGGGGGCAGGACTTTGGTTTGTTTTGAAAGTCAGTGGCATCTTCAGATGTTTGTGTATAAGATGACTTATATTACCCGAAAACAGTTTGCATCTGATAACAAGAATACAGCTTCAGATACATGGATGTGCCTCTTATTTTCGTAATATTTTAACTTTAGAGGAAGTTTTCAAAATTAAATATACCTCGCTTTGAGTAAATATTTACCCCAAAATCAGCAATCTTGCCCTGACACGTGTCGCTCACTGGGCTGGGCATCGTCCGTTGAACTGAAAGTTTATCAGCTGGATTCCCGGTTGGGGCGCATGGCGGGGCTGCAGGCTAGGTCCCCGGTTGGGGGTGTGAGAGAGGCAACTGATCGGTGTTTGTCTCTTGCACATGGATGTTTCTCTCCCTCTCTTCCTTCCCCTCTCTCTAAACATAAAATAAAAATCTAAAGCAATAAAATGAACAAAAGGAAGTAACAAAACACCAGACTTCTGGTTTCATGAGATACTGAGCTAACATGCCTACCTTCCTGTTGTAACAGAATTTGCGGGACAACACTTAACAAGCACTGTCTACACGCACAGCTGGTGGGGCAAGGTGGGGACAGTCCCAGGGCTGGGAACAAAGCAGGAGCCGAACCTGGGAGTGGGAGCCTGGGAGCAGCCCCGAGAGGCAGGTGGGGAGCCGGGGGAGGCACAAGCAGCTGCTCTCCTGTCTGCACGTAAAGGGGCGTCACGGCCTGGGGCCCCAGGTTGGTCAGAGTCAGGTGCGTCTCTTGTGGCCCAAAGGAGGGAAGCAGGGGGGTCTGCCTCAGCCTTGCGCCTAACAAGGAAAGAGGAGCGGGTCGCGGTGCCACACGGACTGGGGCCCCCGAGAACCCGGGCCCGTCCGGCCGCGCCTGCCCCTGTCACCGCCCGCGCCCCTGCCCTGCGTGAGGGAGGGACGGAGGGCCTGCGTGCGCTTTCCTTGCTTTCGTACGCTCTCCTCGCAGCCACCTATGAGGTTCAGAGGGGTGACTCACTCAAGGCCACACCAGATGCTGGTGCCGTCCCCTCCGGCCCGGTCCCCGGCAGTGTGGCTTCCGCTCCCAGGGCTCTGCCCAAGGATGCCCACAATCTTCTTCCTTTCTGACAAGTCCAGTGTCCTTCCCCTGTCATCTTCCATGACCTGAGCCAGCCCTGCACATGCCTGACAGCTCCTTGGACTGCTTCCGAGGCTGCGTCCTGTCTTGGGCCAGCTACTTCCCCGACCACCCTTCCATCTCTGGCTCCTGCAAGTGGTCTGGCCCTTCTCAGCTATGCCCCGACCCTATCATTCCCAAGGCCCTTCCAGGAGGGTCAGGAATGCACCACCACCCGTCCAGGAGAGACTGGAGCCACGTCTGAAAACAGGGCACCCCCTCCCATAAAAGGAATAGTGTGGCTGCTACCGGAATTTAGATAAGATACTGCTAGGACAGTACAGCCACAACAGGGAGAAGGCCCCATCTCGGTGCGTAGGAGCGAGGCCTGCCTGAGAACTTGCTGAGACTGGCCTCTCTCAGCTCCCTCTGCCAGTCCCTGGAGGGACTGGACCTCAGGGGCAGAGAAGGGCTGCAGGCTGATTACGAGCTCAGCTCGGCAGACAAGCGGCTGGGGTTCAAAGCCTGCTTCCGGCCAACATCCTCGAGAAATAAGTCTCAGGCCCTGAGGCCCCCACGACCACGGTGCAGCCAGTGTGTGACGTCCCTGACGTCAGAGAGATGGCCACCGGGATTGATGAAGACTTCTAGGGACAGGGAAACTTCAGGAAAGAGCTAGGACAGCGCAGCCGCACCACCTCTCCCCACCTGGCAACTCTCCTTCAGGTCCGAGGAGGGGAAGGGGCTTTGTTCACGTGTCTTCTTGTCCACCTCCACCCCCGCCAGGGTAGGTGCGGCTCAGCACCTCCTCCAGCACAAAGCAGCTCAACGCCGCGGCCCCCGTCCCAGCAGCATTTGCAGCGCTCCCTCGGACTCCAGGGAGAGGGGGCTGGTTTAGAGCAACAGCAGGACTACCGCCTCCGTCCCCACCCCGCGACGCCCAGGCCACCCGCAGGGGACGAGGCTAGAGGCTGCACGGCCGGGTGGGTGGTCCTGGAACCTGGGGAGCCAAGAGAGTGGAACGGGGTATTTACCGACATGACATTCCTTAGGGAGGGAATCTGCGGGCCGCGGGCCAGAGTGGCAGCCCAGCGGGTCGGCCGTGACGGTTGCTGAGACGGCTTCCCGAGGCCCAGCCTCCGGGACACCGGTGAGGGGCAGGCCCGTCCGCCCCACCCACCCAGAGGGCCCTATCGTCCCCGCCCGCGGCCCGCAGCCCGGAACGCGCCACTCACCCGGCGCCCAGCGGCCAGAAGACGGCGCGCGCCCCGCCTACAGCCCCAGCCGCCCGCCCCGCAGGCCCGCTGACAATGCCCGCACGGCATCCCGCACACCGCGGCCGGAAACCGGCCCCAGGCCCCGCCCTGGGAACTTCCGGTTCCGCTGTAGGCGTGCCAAGGTCGGCCCGCCTCTTGGTGGTCTGGGTTTCCGGACGCTCGCGGGAGGGGCGAGGAGGGAGTGAGGAGCGGGCGGAGGCGCAGCCTGGACCGCGAACCCCAGAGCGTGGCGTCCCCCGCACCGTAAACGGGGGGTTTAGTTTCCGGTGAGCTGCCGGAGCCGACCCTGAAACCGGGCGCAGCTCCGGCGTTGCCGCAGAGCCCCGTGCCCGCTCAGTGTTGGTCCGCAGGCACGACCTCTAGACGTACAAATAAATGTGCATGCTTACAGGACTGTGAATTATTTGATAAGGCAAAACGTACAAACGTGGTGAACGCTCCGCTAATACGTGAGAACCCTTCAAGTCCCGAGCTGCTGCTTAAAGATGTAACAGCCTCTGTTTAGACGGCTTACTGCTGCGCCTTTGGAGCCTCACCTCTCCCCCTTCCCTTGGCCACTCCTCTGGGCACGCTGATGAGAAAGCCTGGCTGTGCCCTGGCCCGGTGGCCCAGTTGGTTGGAGCGTGCTCCCCTGCAGCAAAAAGAGTGAGGGTTCGATCCCCAGTTGGGGCCCATGCGAGAGGCAAGTGATCAATGTTTCTCTGTGTGTGCGTGTGTCTCCGTTCCTCTCTCAAACCAATGAAAATATCCTCGTGTGAGGATTAAAATAAAAACAAATACAAAGCCCGGCTGTTCCCTCCTCGTCCTTGCCTGCAAGTGGGAACCCCCATCCCCGCCCACAGTCTACTTTCTGTGCTCCCTCCAGCCATTTCCGAAGGACTGCCCTGCTGCCCCGGAAAAGCCTCCTTATATAAGTAGGAAGTCTTCTCAAACCCTCTTGGTGCGTGTGTGGGGGGGGGGGGGGCATCACAAGTCCACATCAGAACCACATTTTGGGTGAGGGTCCACCCTGTTTCCGCAGGATGATCTCAACAGAGAAGCGAGAAAAGGGACCGTCCTCACTACTGCGAACTGCTGCCTCCTTGTGCAGGATCCACTGCACACGAAGGAAGAATGCGACGACTCGTTCATCTGTCTTTCCTCTTCCCTAAGCAGCACGTTGGCTACTCAAGTTCTGGAAGCAAGTGTGTTTCCGACACCAGCTGGTTTAGAAGTCAAACAACTGCAAATGTTCCTGGCATCTGGACCAGTCACCTCTCTCTTTTTTTCTTTTTAAGATACATTTGTGCCAGCGCCAAGCACAGATCCTAGGGGACAGAGGCACCCGTAAGTGTGTTACTTGAGCTCCCCTGCAGTGAGGGCACAGGGCATCACTGCCCATGCCGTGGATGGGATGTGGACTGGGGTAGGAACGTTAAGAACCTTGTCCGGGACAAGGTTCGTAAGCCTGCACTCAACAAGTCTCCAGCAGAACCTTTTCAAGTTCATTTCCTAGTCTACCCAGACACGCAGAACCAGAACATTCACGCCCCAAACCCATACTTCGCGCCTTAAGCAAGCATCCCAGGTGAGCCAGGGCAGGTAATGGAAGAAGGCGGGACCTACGCGCGCGAATACTAGGGAGGAGGGGCCTAGTGACGGTATGGGGCGTGACCTGAGCGCAAGCACGCAGGAGGCGGGGTAGAGAGCCGGCGAAGGGGCGGGGCCTGAGCACGTGCGCCAGAGAGAGGAGGGGCCTGTGGAGCAGTTCTGGGGGAAGGGAGGGAAGGGGACGAGGCCTGTGGGGACAGAACGGAGGGAGGAACCGGTAGGGGACCCGCCTAGCGCACTTCGGCGGGTCGGCTGGGCTGGACATTCAGGGGCGCGCCTCAGTCCAGTGCAGATGCAGCTCCCGGACCGCGGGGGGCTCACCTCGCGTACCCGCTGGATCTGGGCAATAGGCGGGCCAGCACGTGGGCTCCACGCCTGCTGCGGTCCCTGTCCTGCAATCTGGCCCGCGCTGCGGCCACCACCAGCGGCCAGTCCCAGACGGCGTCCCTCGGCGTCTCCGGCTGGGTCCACACATCGCCGGCCCAGCTCCTCAGTTTTACTGAGTGCCGATAAGCCGCACGCGTGCGGGCAGTGCGGCCGCGCCGTCACGCGCTTCTCCATGCTGAGGCTGCACCGCCACCCACGGGTCCACAGTGGCGAGAAGCCCTTTGGGTGCGAGCGGTGCGAGTGGACAGACCTTCAACTACAGCGTCCTCCTCGCCCAGCACCAGCGATTCCATACCCGGTAGAGGCCGTTCTGGTGCGCGAGATGCAGAAAGAGTTTCTTTAGGAAGTCCAGCTTTAGAACCAGCCCATCACAAACCCCAGTGGCGCAGTGATGCTGCTTGGACCTCAGTGAGTTAAGCTTTGAGAGTTGCAGCTGGAGGGCAGAAGGCTTGGGACCAGCTCCAGGTCTCTAGAAACAGGAAAGGGCCCCCAGGAGGGTGGCTCGTGGCCAACAGGGCAGCGCCACAGCAAGACCATCCCAGGGCGATCCCAGTCATCATTTGAGTCCGGCGTTTTCTTTTCAGATTTGTGGCAGTGGGATGTTACTCATGCATCCTGGGCCGCTCAGCCCTGATGCTGTTCGGCACTAAAGGCCTCACCTGCTCAGCTTTACTTCCGGGGATGGCTTTTGTTCGACAGGCAATATGAAAAGAGACTGCATTTTATTTAAATTGTTTTTTTTTCAGCCAGTCATTCTACAAAGAATAAGCTTGCACAGTACGAATGTTTCTGTACAATAATAACATTAAAAACTATTAAAACACATGGTCGAAACATGAAACCAGCTATATGAAATAAGCCACTGAAATACGTAAGATCGTTATGAAAGTTAGTTGGCCAATGCTGCCCAAGCATCAAGAAGCCGGGCACATCGTGCCTTTGCGTGCCCAGATCACCCACTGAGATCTCGGCAATCCTGGGGTCTGCCCGCCTTTGGTCAGGGGGACGCGGGGAGGCGACACTGTACGGGAGTCCCGCGAGCCTCCAGCTCGTCCTGCGGCTTCTCCCTCCTGGAAGCCCGCGGCGTGTGTTAACTGCCGCTCCTCCTAACTCAGGCTACGGAGCTACGGCGATGCACAGCCTTTCCTCCCGTATTCCCGCATTCTCCCCAGCAGGGGCATACCCCGCACCTTTGGCTTGGTTAAGGCGGTCGTCCCCCAGGCACCCTGCGGTCACCGCGCCGGGATCAGCCCCCCAGGATCCGCCTCGCGGACGCAGAGCCGGCGAGAACTACATTTCCCAGGGTGCTGCGGGGTCCCGGGTTGCACTTCAAGGCAACGCCGGGGCCTCTCGAGGACTCCATTTCCCAGAAAGCCGCGGGAGGACCCTCCCCCGACCCCGCCCCCTCCACCTGGCCCTAGGCGCGCGGCTGGAGACTGAGCCAGCGCCGGAAGTAGCGATCTGAACGTAGCAGGTGTTTTTGGGTACAGGTGAGACCCCTGGCAACACCGAGGGAGCCCAGGGAGGGTGCGACTTGGCGAGCTGGGGCCTGAGCCCCGGGCGCTCCATGACAAGCAGAGCCCTGAGGGGTGCCGGGACCCCAAGAGGCATGGGACAGGGCCCGAGGGCGCGGGCGGGGAGGACGGGCGCAGGAGGGTACCTATCTGCAAGATGCCTCTGGGCGTGGAGCGGGCCGGGGAAGGACCTGGAGGCGTGGGAGGAGACACGTGGGCTTGTAAGTGGTCCTGGGCCTGAGGAGAGGTCGGAGGGAATGGTAGAGAGGTCGGCTGAGGTGAGGTCTCCCGCCGGGGCTTGCTGCTGGACCGCCTGCGCCGTGAGGAGCTGCAGATCTCTGGGCAGGGCCCCTCCCGTTGGGGTTGGGCACGGGGCCCTGCGCGTAGTCAGGGCCTTCCCGCAGGGGCTCAAGCAGATTTCCAGACCCCAGGACAGGGTACCCGAGGGTGGAGGCGCCCGCCGGCTGGAACTTGGGACAGGCTCCCTTGGCTGGGTGGTAGCCCCCAGGCCCCTGTGCAGCTCTGGGCGGGCGGGGGGTCGGGGAGTCGGGGATGACTCAGGCCAGCTGGGTGTCTCCGCTCCCCAGCAGCCCCCCCAGGGGGCGTCGCCCAGGGCCAGCCTGTGGACAGCTGCTGCGGCCGTGCTAAGGCCTTGACTCTAGGCCGGCCGTCCGAGGGGAGCGGGGCTCTGCTGGGCGGAAGCGCGGGGGCCTCAGCCTCGTGCCCTGTGACCCCGCAGGTACAGCCGACATGGGTGAGCCCCAGGGGTCCATGCGGATCCTAGTGACAGGGGGCTCTGGGCTGGTGGGCAGAGCCATCCAGAAGGTGGTCGCGGACGGGGCCAAGCTGCCGGGGGAGGACTGGGTGTTCGTCTCTTCCAAGGACGCTGATCTCACGTGAGTGGGCCCATCTCCGAGCACCCCTGCCCTCTCTGGACAGAGCTCTGGCCAGGCCTGTCCTGAGCCTGGTGGCTTCATGGCTGTACCCTCCCTGCCAGGTGGCTGGAGTGGCCTGGGTGTGCACAGCTCTGCTCCTAGGCAAACATCCGCCTGTGTCTTCCCGGAAGCCCACACCCTCACAGCAGCCAGGGCCTGGACCTCCACTTTCCCTCTTGGCAGCCCATCCCACCTCTGGCCCTGCCCAGCACCTGTCCCCAGTACCCCAACCCCAGGGTGCTAGTCTCCTCAGGCCCTCAAGGGACCCCTGATGGTCTGGCTACCCCCAGGGATGCTGCACAGACCCGAGCCCTCTTTGAAAAGGTCCGGCCCACACACGTCATCCATCTGGCCGCAATGGTGGGAGGTCTGTTCCGGAATATCAAATACAATCTGGACTTCTGGGTAAGTGAGGGACTCCAGTGAGCGCTGGGAGCCGGGAGCCAGGTTCTGAGGACTTCCTGGCCGGCTTCCCACATTCATGTTCTAGCCTCAGGAAGTCCCTGATGGTCAGAGCTTGACACAGGCTGCTGGGGGGCCCCAGTGACCCCCACTTGCTCTGTGTATAGGCAGAGGGGCATGCAGGTGGAGCGGGGGCATTCGGCCTAGGAGAGAGCCACGGAGCTGACCAGCGGGGTAGGGGCGCCGAGAGAAGCCAGCGCTCGCTGTGTGCCCTGGGGCTGGTTCCTGGCCCGGAGCTCCCAGACTCTTTGCTCCCAGGACCCGTCTGGTCCAGCTGCCCTGACCCAGGCCCACTGGTGCCAGGGTGCGAGCCGGGCTCTGGGCCTGTAGCATGTGCCCTGGGGGCGGGGGCGGGGATGTGGTGTAAGGCCTAAGAAGAGAACGGGGCGCTTCCAGGCGGTGCCCGAGGGTTGGCCTCACCTTCCCGGGGCTGCTGGCCTTGGCACGGGTCAGCCCTGCGCCAGGCACTGAGATGGCAGGAACTCAGGCCAGAGCCCTCTGGGTCTCAGTTCCAGCCTTCCCAGCAGCCTAGCCCCACCTCTCCCTTCTCCTTGGGCCAGTCCACTTTCCAGAGGGGCAGGTGGGACCCTGGAAGGGGTGGAGCTGGCCAAAGGCCTCCCTGTTGCTGGGTAGTGCACCAGGTGAGCTCGCCTGGGGCATGTGGCTAGATGGGCCCTTTCTGCTCCAGGGCCCGGTTGGACTTCTGAGTGCCTTTCTGCCCCTGAGCTACTTGCCCTGCCCTAACAGCCCCTGTGGCTACAGCCCAGCCCTGAGCTGAGGGGCAGGCAGGCCCAGACCCCCCTGCAGTCCAGGAGGGGCAGAGCAGTGAGGAGAAGGGGGCTCAGGCCCTGGCCGGGTTGGAGGGGCCCGGGTGTGTCCCCGCCTCTGTCCTCGGAGGAGCAGGTCAGGGCTGGGGTCCTGCCTGGAGGGGCCTGAACCCTCCACCACCCCCCAGAGGAAGAATGTGCACATCAACGACAACGTCCTGCATTCGGCCTTCGAGGTGGGAGCACGCAAGGTGGTCTCCTGCCTGTCTACCTGCATCTTCCCCGACAAGACCACCTACCCCATTGATGAGACCATGGTGAGGGGGCGGGGCCGGCCTGGGAAGGGGCGGGGCCGGGGCGGGGCCAGGAAGCTGCAGTCTCCTCCGCTCCTCCAGATCCACAACGGCCCCCCGCACAGTAGCAATTTTGGCTACTCCTACGCCAAGAGGATGATCGACGTGCAGAACAGGTCCTGCGGGAGCCTGCCCGGCCGAGGCCAGCCAGGAATCGGGGAGGAGGGCCCGAGGGTGGGGGGCGCCCAATGCGTAACCCCCGCAGGGCTCGGGGGCCTCATCTCCCTCCTTCGCCAGCCCCTAGTTTTTCCGCCTGTGAGAGGCCAGGGCGGGGTGGGGTAAGCGGCCCCAGAACCGGGGCCGGAGGAGACAGTGCGCCTCTACAGGGCCTACTTCCAGCAGCACGGCTGCACCTTCACCGCTGTCATCCCCACCAACGTCTTCGGGCCCCACGACAACTTCAACATTGAGGACGGCCACGTGCTGCCCGGCCTGATCCACAAGGTGCACCTGGCCAAGAGTGAGTGCCCGCCGCCCAGCCCGCATCAGCCTCCCGTGGGGGCCCCTGGGGCTCGGCTGGGAGGCGCCGTGGCTGGCCCAGCCCCTGACCGCGCCCCCTCCCCATCTGCAGGCAGCGGCTCAGCGCTGACGGTGTGGGGCACCGGGAAGCCGCGGAGGCAGTTCATCTACTCACTGGTTGGTGCGGGAGGCACGGGACAGCCGGGGGGGGAGGGTCTGGGCTGCCACCCTCGCTGAGTCCCTGTAGGCGCCCAGGCTCAAGCGGGTTGCTGGGTGCAGCTCCGACCTCAGCGCGAGAACGGATCTGGTCCACTGGGGCTCAGCCGGCCGGGGACTGCCCAAAGGGAGGGACCCCGCTCTCTGGGCCCCCCCCCCCGGCCCGGGTAGGGGTGTGTGGGAGGGTGACCGTGGCCCCGTTCGGCCTGCCTGTCTGACTCTAGGACCTGGCCCGGCTCTTCATCTGGGTCCTGCGGGAGTACAACGAAGTGGAGCCCATCATCCTGTCAGGTGGGCGCCTCGCAGCCCCCCACGGCAGCGGCGGGCACTCCGTGGGTGGCTGGACGGCAGCGGGGCCGGGCGGGGGGCTTGACCTGGCCTCCGGCCCCTCGATCTGCACAGTGGGCGAGGAGGATGAGGTTTCCATCCAGGAGGCGGCCGAGGCCGTGGTGGAGGCCATGGACTTCCACGGGGAGGTCACTGTATCCTTCGGCTCCTGCGGGCCGCCCGGGCCTCGGGAGGCCTCGCGTCTGGGGGCAGAGGGTGGGTCTGCCGCTCTCCCGGAGGCTCCCCAGGGAAAGGCAGAGGAGGTGCGAGGGCAGGCTGGCGGGAGGGTGGGGCTGCCCTTTCTGCTATGGCCTTGACCAAGCGCCTAGTTTGATACAACCAAGTCAGACGGGCAGTTTAAGAAGACGGCCAGCAATAGCAAGCTGCGGGCCTACCTGCCTGCGTTCCGGTTCACACCTTTCAAGCAGGGTGAGTGCCGGCCCGCCCCCAGCCCTCCCGCCCTCGTCCCCCAAGGCCTCTGGGCCTCTCCTTGGCTTTGGGCAACCACTGCCTTTCCTAGGCCTCAGCTCCCTGCTGCCAAGTGGGGGTGGACACCTTGCAGGTTTGATCCCTAACCCTCATCAGGCAGCGGGACACAGGTGCTGCCCTACGATGTGGGAGCCTCGCCCTCTCCCCAGCCCACGGAGGTCAGTGCTGGCCGGGCCCTCACCTGCCACCCCCTCACCTGCCCCCTGCAGCTGTGAAGGAGACGTGTGCCTGGTTCACCGACAACTACGAGCAGGCTCGGAAGTGAAGGGCCACGAAGGCCCAGGTGCTGGCTTCCCCGCCCCCGACGGAGGCCCCGGCAGCCGCTCATCTGGCAGAGCCCGGTGGCAACCACCCTCACCCTTGGACCCTTTCAGGAGCCGAGGGCACTGCCCAGCAACTTGGGCCGACGCTCCACCCCTCCACCAGGGCGGCTCCAGGCAGCTGTCCACTGGGGCCGCCACCGGCGTTGCTCAGGGAAACCACAGCCAGGCCAGGCCTGGCACCGTGCTCCTCGATGCCAGTGCCCGGGTCCTGGCTGTGCCCACCTCTGATCTTGCTCTCCCAGTCCTGGGAGCAATAAAGTGCATTTCACAGGCCTGGCCCTGGCGGCTCTGTGCCCGCTGTCCCCACACCAGGCGCTGCCTCCCTGAGCCTGGCCAGCCCTGGGACGCACTGCCCCCCTGCTGGCTGCTCAGGCCGAGAGCTGCTGGGCCAGGGTGGGCAACTGTGCCTGGGGTGGCAGAGCGCAGGCACAGAGAGGCGGGTGTGTGGGCAGGAAGCGGGCGGACTGTTGGCGGGGCGGGACATGCCCTGCTGGGGCCCTGGCCGCGAGCAGGCTGGTGGCCTGGGCTCCCAAGGGCTTCTCTCCTCGGCCCAGGACTTTGGGGAGGGAGGCTGGCCTGGGTTTGGACAGGCCGAGTGGTGCAGATCTGAGGGGAAGATGGCAATTGGGTGGCTCAGCCTTTCCCTGGACCTCAGGGCAGGCCCTCCTCTCCCAACCCCAGCTTTGGCGACAGCTTGCGGGGTGGGGCTCAGCATGCCCTTCTGTGGACCGTAGCAGGAATTCCCCAGGGGGCCTCCTGGGCCTGGTGGGCAGGGAGGTGAGTGGCCTGGGCCCCCCCATTATCTGGGCTGGGTGAGGTCCAGGCACATTGAGTGACAGGTTCCGTCCACCAGCCGGGCAGTGCAGGGGTGCAGACCCAGCAGCACCCAGCTCCAACGCCCCCCCTGGACTGCCTTGCCCAGGACCCAGGCACCTCCCCGGGCCCTCTGCCACCTTCCGGCCGAGGGCTCCCAGCTGTCTCCTGACGCAGATGTGGCTGCCATGCCCACTCCTTCCTCTTCACGCGGCCCCGTCTGTCTGCCAGGGCCCGGCATGCGCATCCCGGCCTATCTCCCAGAGCCCAGCTGACTTCTTGCTGTGCTTGTCACCACCCCTGTCTCAGGCAAAGCCTGGGGGTGTATCCAGCGGCCGCCCTGGGGCTGGCCCCAGAGCCGCTCATGTCAGCGCCCCCGCCTTTTAGGTCTCGGCTGCAGCGGTCCTCCCCTCTGAACGCCCAGCCTGCCACGCAGCACTGTAGCACCACCTGTTTGCCTGTGTGGGACCACCTGGGAGGCCCCCTATCTGCCTGCACCTCGGAGCTTCAGGACCTGGGCCTGCCCTTCCGCGTAACCCTGTCAGGCAGTCCTTGGGAACAAAAGCTCTCCATGTTGGGGTTGAGGGTAGGGCGGAGGGCCTGGCGCCTGAGTCGGCGCTTGGGCCAGCGCAGAGCAGGCCTGGGCACACCTGGCGGGACACAAGTCGTCGTCTGTCCCGAGTCCCCGGCTTGTCCTGTGTGTGTTTACCATAGAGGGACTGTCTCCCTGGGTGGAGTGCAGGTCCTCAGGCCCGGGCTGCAGCTGTGCAGCTGTCACGTCAGCTGCCGTGTGGCACCTGTCCCCGCCCAGAGCGTGGCCCCACACTGCAGGGGCAATGTTGAATTCCATTGTTGGAGAGCTTAGAAAACCAAAGTAGAGTTGAAAAGAAAGAAAGATATCCTTAAAATGCTATTTTAGCCTGGGCGAACGGTAAAAAACAAACACACACAAAAACCCTTCAACCTGGGATCTTCAAGCCTTATTTTTCCCACGTCAATTAAAAATGACAGGAACACTCCCCACCCTCCCCGTCAGTCTCTGCGGTGGCCCCTGGCCCTGGCTGAGTGCTCCAGAACCAGTAAGAGGAGCCAGCTCGCTGCTGGGGCCCCAAAGAAGGCCTGCTGGCTCTGGTGTGGCTCAGTGGATTGAGCACTGGCCTGGGGCCAAAAGTTCCCTGTCGGGGCACCTGCTGGGGTTGTGGGCCAGGTCCCCTGGTCGGGGCATGTGAGAGGCAACTGATGGATGTGTCTCCCTTTCTTTCCCCTCTGAAAATAAATACAATCTTAAAAAAAGGCCTCCAGCCCCCTCCCTGCCGTGCTCCAGGAGGCCCAGGGAAAGCTGGATGCGGGCTGGCCAGAGGGGCTCCAACGCAGAAAAGTGAGACATCGGCTCTCACGTTTCACTGGCAGTGCCAATTTGACGCTGTCACCTGGAGCTGCCTCAGCTTGGGAAGGAGCTGCTCACAACCTCCGACCAGGCAGTCCTGTCCTTCCCACCCGAGCCCACTCGCTGGCGCCGCACGGAGAACCAGAGCACTCAGCGCTGCTCCCACCGGCAGAAACCAGCCTGAGGCTGGCAGGGCCCCGTGTCCCAGCACCTGACCTCTAGGGACGACAGGCCAGAGTCTGGACCCTGCCCTGCCCGCCTAGCTCAGTCAATTGCAGCAGCAGCTGGGTACGCCAAGGTGGCCGGTTTGATCTGCCAAGGTTGTGGGTGTGGTCCCTGGTCAGGGGACACACAAGAATCAACCAGTGAATGCATAAATAAGCAGAACAACAACCTGATGACTCCCTTCCTCTAACCCTAAAATCAGTAAATTTTTAAAAAGGGGTTTGGGTGGAGGTAGAAGGAGGATAAATGGTAGTGGAAAAAATACAATAAAAAATAAACTTAAAAAATAAAGATGTCATTCCTGGAAGCTCAACTGCCCAGCGACCACCAATCAGTGGCCTCCCGGGTTCTGCAGCGACCCGACGAGAGACACGCACCGGGCACGCTCCAGGACACCGGCCTCCGGGACGGGGTCCGAGGAGACCCCATGCTTTCCGACCTTTGACTTTGAATGGAGCTTTTCAAGCTGCCCTTTGGAAAAGCAGGATCTGATCTGCACACGCGCACCCAGAATTCTGCCACGGCTCGCCACCGTCTTCAGCACCCGGACACTAGTCCTCTTCGCTCGGCAAGATTGCCGGCACCGCCCCTCGCGGTGTCCCGCCCCTGTGACGCGCCCCGCCCAGGCCCCGCCCACCGGGGGGCCAGACGCAGACTCTCGGGCCAAGGAACAGAGAGGGGGTGGGACCCACTGCCCCACGAACTGTAAAGCGAGAACCCGTGAGCCCGGTAGGAGCGGGGTGGAGCGTGCGGTCCCGGCAGCCAATGACGAGGGTGGGGGCGGAGCGGTGGAGCCCGTTGGCGGGCGGAGGATCGGGGCGAGACGCTACTGGGGCGCCTTGAGGCAACATGGCGGCGCAGGCTGTGGAACCCGGCCGTTGGCAAGTGGGCTTCGTGGGCGCTGGCCGCATGGCGGAGGCCATCGCGCAGGGCCTCATCCGAGCAGGTGGGGCGCCGCGGGCGTGGGTCGCACGAGGGCGTCCGACTCCGGTCTCGGGTGGGAGGGACGGGCATGTCTGGCCGGAGCTCTCCAGCCCAGATTGATGAATCCTGCAGAGCCCCCGGGCGGAGCTTGGCCAGCCAGGGTCCTGCGCGCACGGGTCCCAGGGTGGTGCAGGCCCGGGCGGCCGTGGGCCGGGGCGAAACGTGGACCCTGCCCTCGGGACCGCTTCCCTAGGAGAACACGGCAGGAGCCTTGGAGTCGGCTGTCCGCACAGCCGCCTCCAACCGCTTGCGGCCACGCAGCTCTTGAAATGTGACTGGTCCGAACTGATAAGTGCTGGGAGTGTGTAGAATAAAATCTGTATCTGATTTGGAAGATTTAGCCCATAGAAGGGAAAAGTAACGCATCTAGTAGATTTTAACATTGGTTATGTGTTGGAAGGATACTATTTGGGGGCTAAATAAAATATAATACCGTTAACTTTACCTGGTTCTTCTTATTTGTTTCATGTGACTACTAGAAAATGTAGCTACACATGTGGCTCCAACGATACTTCTCTTGGGCAGCGCTGGCCGAGAGCCTGGGCTCTCCAGCCAGGTCTCTGGCCTTGGTCGGGTCGCCTGACCTCTGGGAGCCTCCGGCTCTTTCTCCTCTTTCTGTGCCAGCTCCACTCCCGGCGGCCAGATTGGCCCTTGTGGAGAAACTGGTTTACTGCAAGGGCTGACAGTACCGTCTCAGCGCTACTCCGCAGTAACCAAACCTCTGTGTGTAGGTAACGGTCTTTCTGCTTTCAGCCGCATCGCCGAGTCCCAAGGGGTGAAAACAGTCACAGCATAGCTTACCGCAAGTCTCAGGTGTTTTACCAGTAAAACCCAGCAGCATCGCCTGCCTCCCACGCTGCCCCGGCGGCGTGTTGAGCGCGGTGCTGTATGGGTGGGCCGTGCACGGTGGACATCACTGTCTTGATGCATCAGGTCTTGGTCCGGGTTTGGGGTGCGCTGCTGCTGTCCCGTTCGACGTTACAGAATGCGAACCTGTAGCCTCGCGGTCCACAAGCACAGGTGGCTTCTATGGAAGGAGCACACATCCCAGCACGAGAGCACCCTCTCCCAGCGCGGCCGGCCCCGTCGGCCATCCCTGCCCCGCGTGTGCCCCTCCCCTCCAGGCCTTCAGTCCCTGGAGGCAGCGGCCCTGGCGTCTGTGTCCTCTCAAGAGGGGGCAGGTGCCTGGCCCCTGGGTCCAGCAGAGCCCCTGGCTCGGCAACAGCAGCAGGCGGGGGTGGTAACGGCCCAGTAGAAGGAAGTGGATCTGACTGCTTGGTCCTGGCTGCAGGGGCACCCCTGCTGGGCACCGGGGTTCTTAGAGACTCTCAGGCCAGCCAAGGCCAAGATGGGCCAGGAACCGGACAGCCTTCAGTAAGGGGCCGGCCGGGCTGGTTCCTCCCCGTCCTCCTCCCCAGCCTGCTCGGTGACACCTGGCATTTGCCTTTCCAGGAAAAGTGGAAGCCCGGCACGTGCTGGTCAGTGCACCAACGGACAGGAACCTCTGTCACTTCCGGGTGAGCTGGGGACCAGCTCTTTTGAACGGAGGCTTCCTGCAGGGGCCTAGGGTGGCTCTTGGCTCCTGTCTCTCCGAGATACTTCTCGAGGCCCGGGAAGTGCTGCTTATGTAGCTAAAGTCTGAGACCGGCTGGGCTGGGCTGGGGAAGGGAGTCAGAGGCGGCCAGAAGGGACGTCAAGGTTGTGAAGGGCTGTGGGTGTGCGCACGCGCGTGTGTGTGCACACGTGGGTGTATACGCGTGCGTGTGCCTGCGTGCGCGTGTGGGGGGCGGGCAGGGGTGGCCCTGGGCACGCACTGGGGCTGGGGGGCTCGCGCAGGGGCTGATATCAGGGTTTCTGGGGCTCAGGGCTAGGTCCTGAGCAAGACTGGGAGGTCAGGTGAGTCCCCGGGGAGGGGGGTGCAGTGGGAGAGCGCCCCGGGGACGCGTGGGAGTGCGGGGTGCCCTCCGGCCAGAAGGGCGGCGGGCGGTCTGGGAAGGCGCCCGCTTACCCCGTCCTGACCCCCGCGTTCCCGGGACAGGCTCTGGGCTGCCGGACCACCCATTCCAACCGGGAGGTGCTGGAGAGCTGCTTGCTCGTCTTCTTTGCCACCAAGCCCCACATCTTGCCAGCCGTCCTGGCAGAGGTGGCCCCTGTGGTCACCTCTAAGCACATCCTGGTGTCCGTGGCGGCCGGCGTCCCTCTGAGCACCCTGGAGGAGGTGAGCACGTGGGATGAGCTGGGGATGAGCTGCGACTCTGGAGTCCGGCCAGGGGCGGCTTTCCAGCCCCTGCCTCCCTGACCCTAACCCTCTTGGGTGCAGGAGGGGTGGGGCGAGTGGCAGGCAGCCTCCTGGCCAGTCTGCGGAGGTGGCCAGGGGGCTAAGGCGACTGGGGTTTGGGTTTCCCCTGGCACCACCCCTGGGAAGCAGGGAAGGGAGCCTGGCTGAGGCCGATCCCACGGGCTCCCTGACGGCAGCCGCTCTCCGGCCAGCTGCTTCCCCCGGCCTCACGGGTGCTGCGGGTCTCACCCAACCTGCCCTGCGTGGTCCAAGAGGGGGCCATGGTGCTGAGCCGCGGGCGCCATGCCGGGAGCAGCGAGGTGGAGCTCGTGCAGACTCTGCTGGAGGCGTGTGGGCAGTGCGAGGAAGTGCCTGAGGCCCAGGTGGACGTCCACACTGGCCTCAGTGGCAGTGGCGTGGCCTTCGTAAGTGTTGCCTGGTCCCTCCGCCCCCTGCAGCCGACCACTGGCCAGGTGGGGCCGTCCCAAATCCCTGAGAACACCCCTACCCCCGGGACCCGGCGTCGGGCGGCTGGGTCCCCAGCTGCCTGTGAACTCTGTCCTGCCCCACCCCATCATTGCTTTCCTGGGCCGTGGAGCTGGCTCTTGGCAGAGCCCTGGGCTCAGGCCTCGGCCCTGGGCCCTGCTCTGGTGGCCTTCCCAGGCGGGGTGCGGTGTCCAGGGGAGCCTCGGCTGTGATGCCGTCGCCCCCCAGGTGAGCCTGTTCTCCGAGGCCCTCGCCGACGGCGCTGTCAAGATGGGCATGCCCAGCTGCCTAGCTCACCGCATCGCCGCCCAGACCCTGCTGGTGAGTGGCTCTGGCTCCAGGGGAGCCGGCAAGGGGACGGGCCTGGCAGCCGCGGGGTTGTACGACAGAGCCGGCTGCACAGGGGGCTGAGCTGGAGAGCGGGGGCGGGGCTGCCCGCCTCCCCTGAGTCACTGGCCTCCGACACTCCTCTCCCCAGGGCACGGCCAAGATGCTACTGCAGAAGGGGCAGCACCCGGCCCAGCTGCGGGCAGACGTGTGCACGCCCGGCGGCACCACCATCTACGGCCTCCATGCCCTGGAGCAGGGCGGGCTGCGCGCGGCTGCAATGAGCGCCGTGGAGGCCGCCGCCTGCCGGGCCAAGGAGCTCAGCAGGAAATGAGGTGCAGGCATCAGCCAGGGGCCGCAGCCCTTGGGTGCCCAGAGCGGCCCCGCCCCCTCCATTCCGTTCTCCCTGCCCCTTCCTGAGGACCGTGGTTCTCCCTCTAACCCGCAGGCGCTTCCCTGGCGGCACCCCGCTTCCCGTACGGGGAGCGTGAGGGGTAGAGCTGGAGGGGTCCCTCAGCAGCGGGAACTGCCTGCCCTGCAGCCCAGGCACGAGGCCTCGCCCTGATGGCCCACCGCAAGGGGACGCATGGGTCCCACGAGCAGCTGCGTGGCTGCAGCTGGCTTGGCTCTGGGGACTGTACACGAGAGGACCGCTCCTCTCAGTAAAGCCCGCGGGGCCAGGCCACCACGTCTGTCCTGTCCCTGGGCTGGCCTGCTGCTGGGCTGGGGGCTGCTCCACGGTCAGGAGGATGGGTCTTGGCCAGCAGGGGCCACACGCGGGGCTCGGCTGGGTGTGCGCCCCTCCCCCAGACCCGAAGCCCCTGGCAAGCGGCAGGCGGAGCTGGGCCTGATGACCCTTCTCAGTCAAGAGTCCCGGAGGGTCCTGAGGCCTGGCCTCTGAGTGCAGGACTTTCCAGTGTGTCCCTGAAGAGACCAACAGGCCGGGAACGGAGCCCAAAACAAGGCTGGGGGGCCTCTGCATGGGTGGGGCGCCTGTGGCTTTGTCCCTGGCACTGCCCACAAGGCCCCCTGGGGCCTCCTCGCTGCATGGTTGCCGCTGCCACTGACCCGCGGGGGCCGGAGGAGAGCGCCCTGTCTGCGCATCTGTGGCCTAGCCGGCCCCGCCCCTCCTCGGGCTTCTGGCCGCCACCCTCTCCCCACCTTCCTTTGGTCTGACCTCGGGTCGGCCTGAGTCTGTGTCCACACCAGGTTTCTTCCGTGAGGTGGGAATAAAGCCAGTATCCTGTAGCATGGCGTGGCCGGCATGTAACGGGAGGCCAGCAGAACTGAACCCCGGGGGCCTGGCAGCGTGAGCCAGCGACCCACCTCACCACCCCAGAGCCCGCGGCCGCTGGGCAGTGGGTCCCAGCAAGGCACCGCCTCACAGTCCGTGGGGAGCCGGTGGGCTCGGCCCAGCAGCACCTCGGTGAGCCCACAGCCCCGCTTGGGGCGCGCTGAGTCGGGGGGATGGGGCCACAGCCCAGCTGTTGGCTGGCAGGTCTCCTCGCCTCGCACCCCAAGGCCAACATGGCTTTCGGGAGACGCTGGTGCATGCAATAGCGGTTTCTCCATCTTCAGTGCATGAGATGCCCTAGGTCCAGGCCCTGGGCCAGCGCTGCACAAATGAGACTTCGGAAGGGGACGCATGGGAAGTGAGCGTGTCCGGCCTTTATTGTAGGGCACAGTGGGCCCGCTGACCGGGCGAGTCCGCCGTCAGCGGGGCTGGGCGTGACGGCCCCTCCGGAGCCTGCAGCCCCCCAGCCCACGTCCTCTCACGGGTACGCCCCTGGTGCCGAGCCTCACTTGTGGCCACCCTCACCGTGGGCCAGACTGTGTCCAGGGCCCTGCTCCTGCCCGCCTCTCCACAGCAGTCCCTGCCTGCACTTGGGGCCCCTGGACGGCAGGCCTCTCGGCTTGAGGGTCCACCCCTTCGCTCAGACTGCACCTGCGGCTGGGGGCCATGGTCCAAGCACACAGCCCCTTCAGGCAGGGTGGGTCCCTGTTGAAGTCTAGTCTTGCACCCCCCCACGTCAAACCTGCAGACCAGGGGTGCTTTCAGCTGAAGCCTGGGCGCACACTTCCCTGCCCACGGGCCACTGTGTGGAAGGCCCGTGACTTCCTCCACCTGGACTGCTCCTCGGGGGGCTCTGAGCAGGGCAGGGAGGGGCTGGCGGCTCGTCCCCAAGCATCTCCTGCCACAGGGGTCCCCGCACCCTGGCTGGGACTGGGTGACCTTCCAGGGCCAGCGTCTGGCTTGCAGACAGCGGATGAAGGAATTCTAGCAGCACCACCCAGACCCCTCCCCAGGGGCGCTCACCCCTAGTTCGCAGGTCGGCACAATCCAGGGTGGCAGAGCTCTGACGTCCACGGACCAGCAGATAGCAGCAGTGGGGGGCGGCCGCGGGTGAGGCCACCCGCCGGGCCCGCGTCCGCCGTCTGCTGCGGAGACAAGCCCAGGGACTCCCACCAGACGCCGCCTTTGGCCAGGCTGCCCCTGACTCCACACTGAGCTGAGCCCAGGGAGGGCAGGTGGCTGTGAGGTGGCAGCACTGAGGTCACGGTGACCCGTTGGTGGGACTGCCCACGGGGCCTGGCGCCTGCAGCCTCTGCCCCAAAGTGCACACACCACCAGTGCCTCCATCCCAGAGAGGAAGCCTTCATAGGCCCTCGTGAGGTGAGGGGCCCCTGGCCCACACTTCACTGGCATTCAAGCCGGCCCCGGCTGGCAGGACTCAGTGGGTCAAGCACCGGCCTGCGAACCTCACCGTCGCCGGTTTGATTCCCAGGCATTGGGCACATGCCTGGGTTGCAGGCCAGGTCCCCAGTAGGGGGCGTGCAAGAGGCAACCACATTGATGTTTCTCTCCCTCTTCCTCTCTTCTCTTTAAGAATAAATAAAATCTAAAAAAGAAAAAAGCAGCTTCTTAAGGCCCCAGGCCAGCGTGGACCAGCCTCATTTTATACAGGCCACTGGGACAGGCTGGAGCTGCCTCCTGGGGTGCAGCCTGAGCCCCCAGACAGGAGGGGCTGGTGCACCATAAAGCAGCTCGAGGAGCAGCAAGAAGTCCCACTCCTGACACAGGCCTTGTCGCTGACCCCAGCCCCCTGCCCAGGCCCGTGGGGGGCTAGGCAGGGAAGAGAGTGGGGTGGACCTTGGCCCGAGCAGGCAGTGCTGAGGCAGCTGCACGGGGCCATGGGGCGCCCTCGCTGGGTGCCCGTCTGGGCCAAGGGCTGCCTCCCACACGCCCAGTAGGCCCGCAGCCCTGGGTCCCTATCAGGAGTGGCAGGGGGTGTCAAAAGCAGGATTCCTGAAGCTCCGGACCCGAGGCCCGGGGCCAGCCTCAGACTGCAGGCTCTGGACAGCTGGCAAGGGAGGTGTGCGCTGGGCCTGGCTAGCCAGGGCTCACTTCCCTCGCCCCCAAATTCTCCACAGTTTCCCTCGGCTTTCAGATTTGAGGTGTTTGTGTGCTTGTATGTTTTGAAGGGGAGCGGTTCTAAAGAACAGGTAACACTTTTGGACTTGGGTGGAAATCACTCAGGGACGCCCTCTAGCGCCTCCCTGAGGTGCAGCCATTGTGCAAACACCACCTGTCTGCTTGTTTCGGCCACTTAAGACCACTTGGGCAAGGGGCCAGTGCCGAGGGGCAGGGGGCGCCTCACTGCCAGTCCCCTGCCCCTCGTGTGGGCTCTGGGCCGCCTCTCTGCGAAGGCAGCCCCCAGGAGGGACAGGCATCTCCGAGCCTCAGGCCACCGGCAGGGGTCTGAATCCAGAGCACACAGGGCAGCGGACTGACTGTGAGAGCTGGCCGAGACCTGGGGCTCTCCCCTTTCACACTGGAGCCCAGAGGCTCCCTCCCGGGGCAAGGGGCCGCCGCTCAGCCACGCCAAGCCGTGCCAGGAGGAGCCGGGGGTGCAAAGGCCCCGTGGGGCTGTCCATGCCGCGGGGCCTCTGGGCAGGTTGGTGGCCCTGGGCCCTGAGTCTGGACATGGTGGGCTGTGGCTGCGGAGCTCGTCCAGTCCTTGGTCAAGTCACCAGGGCCCAAGGCCAGCTGCACAGCAACGCCAACCCCACAGAGTAAGAGTTCAGAAAATGTATTTTCTCAAAAGGAAAATTAAAAGTCCGAGTGGAACAGAAATCTACACCCGGACGTCAGGAGGCCCACGAGCGACTGACTCCGTCCTCCCGCCCCAGCCCCCCCCCAGGCTGGGGGCTGAGACACCACCCCACCTCCCGCCCCTAGAGTATCTGTAAAAGTGGACTTAATGCAATTAAAACCCAGGGGTGTGCTTCCCCACGGGGATCACATGGCACAAGAGCCACACAGCACCAGCGCTCGGGGTGAACAGGAGAACTGGCCTGCACCCAGTGCCAGGCCCCCGGCGGAGGGGGGGCGGGCTGGAGGCCTCAGCCCCACGTGGCCCGGGCGGGAGCACAGCGCACTGCGCTGCACTAAGTGCTGTGGCGTGTGCGAGCCAGGTGTGTGTGGGAGGGGCCCTGGCTGAGACCACGGACCCCACATCCTGGCTCAGGGAGGAGCATGAGCCCAGGGCCTCTCTGCCAGCCCCCCCAGGGGAGACTGGGCAACCAGTGGAGCAGGGTGACCCTTCACCAAGAGCCCCTCCAAGCCAGGCTGAGCTCGGATCCCTGTAACCCCTCACCATGGGGAGGGTCTCCCCTGGGAAGGGGAGGAGGGCAAAGGCGAGACTGTGCGTCCCCTCCCTCCAGGAGCAGCAGGACAAAGGCCCCCGGGGGGCCAGGAGGGCGGGCTCGATCACACCCCATCATCAGGGGCTGCAGGCGAGGGCCCCACGCCCCCCAGCCTCCGGACCATGCTGATCAGCGAGCGCAGCTGCACCAGCTTCAGCGGCCCCACCTCCTGGGGGTCCTGGCTCTCCAGCCACCGCAGGGCTGTCTCCAGACCCCGAACAGCCTCTCCAGCGGTGGGCACGGCGGCCTCTTCCTCCTCCTCCCCGCCCTCCATGACGGAGGGGAGGCTGGCCGGGAGCGGAGGGGCCCCGGGAGCCAGCGCAGGGGGCCGGCCGGGGCCTGTGTCCCCTCTGCAGCCCTCAGGCAGCCCCCCGTCGTCGTCCAGGTGCAGCCACTCGGCCACCTCCTCGGGCGCCAGGCGCTTGTAGGCCAGGGCAGCCAGGTGCGTGAGGTCGCTGAGCACCCTGCTGTGCTCAGCCGCCTCCTCAGCCTGGCCCGCTCGCTGCCCAGCGCACTCCTCCTCCGGCCGGGGCTCGAAGGCCGCCCGCAAGCCCAGCAGCCAGCAGCGTTCGATGCTGCCCGCCTGCACCAGATCCCAGGAGAGGCCGGCCAGGTAGAGCATGTCCTTGAGCATGAAGCTGCGCATGAAGTCCAGTGGGGATCCCCCCGCGCAGGACACTGCCAGCCGAAGCAGCTCCCGCTTGTACAACTGCTTGAAGGCAGCCACCACTCCCTGCTCCAGCGGCGCAGGGATGTGCGCTCGGCTGCTGCCCTTGGACAGGAACAGCACTCGCACGGCCCCGTCAGGGGTCTGCAGCTCCTCCGGGGGGCTGAGGGGCTCAGGCCGGAACCGCCTGGGGGCCTCCTCGCTCTCCTCCAGGGTGGGCATCCTGGCGGCCGGGCTCGGGCAGGGCGGGTGGGCGACCAGCAGTACGGCCCTTTGCTGTAGGCAGCTGCGGCGCAGGTAGCGCCTGACGCCCGGGACGAACTCCTCGAAGAACCAGCCCCGCAGCAGAGGACGACTGAGCCAGGCGTCTGGGCTGTAGCGGTATGAGGCTGGGAATTTGTCCTGGTTGTGGTGGCGCAGGCTGGGCGGGTCCGGCAGCTGCCCGATGACCAGCGGCTTCAGCTTGTGGCTGCCAGTCAGGTTAGCGGCCAGCAGCACCGTCACCCGGTCGCCCCGCCAGCGCCGGCCACAGCCCCCGGCGCCCAGGGGTGCAGCCTGCTCTGGAAGCAGCTTCCAGTAGAGGCCGGTGACATTGGCATTGTATATCTGTTCATCACCGTAGCCGCCCTCGGCAGGGGGCGGCGGGACTGGGGCGCGGCCGGGCAGGGGGTTGGTGCCAGGGGATTGTGCGCACTCCTGCTTGACCGGCGGGCCGGGCGCGGGGCCGACGGCCGGGGTCTCGGCTTCGCCATAGATGCGCTGGCTGGAGATGCCGTGACGCTTCTGCCAACGCCAAAACCAGCCGTGGCTGGCCTTGAAGGTGCACTCGGGACCGTAGATCTGGCGCGCGAAGGCCTCGGCCTGCGCCTGGATGAGCGGCCCCGACAGCGGCACGCCGTGCTGGCGCAGCGCCAGGAACCACGAGTACACGGCGCGATCGATCTCCTCCTCGTTGGCCAGCCGCATCTTCTTGCGCTGCGTGCCCACCTCGCCGCCCAGCTGCTCCAGGAACCAGCGCAACTTCGGCTCGTCCTTGAGCCAGCCACGCAGCGTACCGCCGGGCACGCCGAAGTCGCGGCACACGCTGGCCTGCCGCTCGCCGCCCTTGACGCGCTCGATGGCCTGCAGCTTGTCCTTGATGGAGTAGGCCTTGCGGAAGGCCATCTTCATGGCCACGCGGGGTCGCGCGGCAGGGGCCGGGGCGGGCACGGAGGGCCGCGGCGGCTGCGCGGGGCGCCCGGGCGGGGGGTGGCGGCCGCGGCGCGGAGCCGGGCCGGCCGGGGGACCGGCGGGGTACATGGCAGCAGCTGCAGGGACGCGGGAGCCATAAGCCCGCCCTGCCGGCCGCGCGGGGCGGGGCTCTGGGGGCGGGACTGGCCGCGGCCCTCCCCTTTGTCTGGCCGGCTCGGGGGCGCAGGCGCGCTGGCCCCGCCCCGTGCGTCACGCAGCGCGTGCCGGCCCGGCCGCCCGCCCCAGCTGGGCGAGTCCATTGGGCCGGCAGTGCAGAGGGGGGCCGAACGGGCCGCGGTGTTTTCGCAGCTGTTTGCTCCGGTTCCGCCGGAAAAGAACGATCCCCGTGGGGGTCTCCGTATGGCTTCTGTCTTTGCAGCCGCGGAGAGAGTCGCGCCTAGGGCTCCGGCGGCGGGGCGGGGCGGGCGCGCGAACCGCTTCCCCCGCGTCCCAGCCCGCGTCGCGTGGTAGAGTCCGCGGCTTCATTTCCCGAGCGCGACCTGGGCGGCCTCCCCTTTCCTCAGCAGTCCCGCGCCGCCGAGCGCCGCTGTTCGGTCGCCGCAACTTTGACAGGCGTGTGAGTACCGCGGCCCGCGCGGAAGAAGCCGCACGCGCCGTGCAGGCCTCAGGGGACCGGGGCGGGCCGCCCGGACTGCGCTAGCGGCTCCGCGCCGTCAGGGACCGGGGCGCAAGTGCCGCCTGCGTGCCGGCTTAGGGGCGGTGGGCCAAGTGCGGCTCCCGGGCGGAACGCAAAGGGGCGGGGCCCGTGGGCCACGTGGCCGGCCGAGCGCTGCTGCGGCCCGGGCGGAGGGCGGCGGCGGGAGTGCCGGGGCCACCTGGGCTGCGTCTCGGAGGGTGGCGGGAATATCTGCCCACCTGCCGCCCGGGCCTGTCGGCCTTGTCTTGTGCAGCGAGCGTGTAGTAAGCACCTGCCGCGCGCCGGGCCTCGGCGCAGGCGCGGGCTCAGCCCTCCTGGAAGCTTGACGGCTCCTGAACGTGGCAAGGAACGGGGACGTGACTGCCCAGGGACCGGGGCTTGGAACGCACAGGAGGCGGTGTTGACGCCAGCCTCTGACGGGCGGGTGATGACTTCCTTAAAAAATGGGCACTTGCAGCAGGAGGAGGAAAGGCCCGGGCTGGAGCCGAGGGAGTGGAGTGGGGCGGAGATTGCACCGAGGCCTCTTGTCGGGTGCTGCAGGCTGAGGGGCCCCCTGGAGCCCTCGGGGTGGTCCCTGCTGCCGGGAGTCTCGGAACTTGACCCTGGGGAGTGGCCTGGCCTGCGGCGCGGGAGCAGCTGTGACAGCCCGGGCTCTGGGCGCCAGTAAGCGGCCTGGCTCAAGTGCCAAGTCTTCATCCCGAGCTCTCCGGTGCCCAGCTCTGTGGGCAGAGTGTCCCTGGGAAGGCGCCTTCTCAAGGCGCGCCTGGCACAAACTCGAAGGAGCAGGTGCCACTGTTGCGGAGCAGGGTCTGGGCCCCATGCCAGCCGGAGGGGGGCCTCCAGGCCCGGCCACCACTTCCTCCCCTTGGAGTGGGGCCGCTGTGCGAGCACTCGGGCCGCTGGGCCTTTCTCCTGGGGAGCTGCGTGAGGCTGCAGTACGCGGCGAAGGGCAAAGGTGGGCTAACGTGCTTGACTGGTGGTTTGGGGAATGGCGGGGTTCCCCCCCCAATGTATTGATTTCAGAAAGAGGGAAACTTCTATTTGTTGTTCCACTTACCCACAAGCTTGGCGATCGGGTCAGCGCTCTAACGATCTGCACTACCCAGCCAGGGCCTACATGAATGGTTTCTTAAAGGTGTTATTTTTTATAAAACCGACAAGAAGAACTTGTCCAGCACACCACATGCTGGTCAGTGTTGGCTTTTTGGGGGCCGCAGGCAGGAAATGCTGGCCTGAGCATTCGCCTGGCCCTGGGCCGATGTTTCGAGACGGCCTGTGCGCGTTGGCAGTGGGCGGCGGGGCCGCACTGGCCCCCCCACCCCGCCCCCGTGCAGACAGTGGAGACAGGGCCCAGCTCCACACGGACTCAGAGCCTTGCTTTCCCACCCGTCTCCCAGCTGCGTGTGAGCCCTGGACACGCAGAGGCGTGTGTGTGGCGTGTGCTTGGAGAGGTCCAGGAAGCGCGCGCAGCACTAGAGTTGCCCCCGAGGAAGGGTGCCGAGCCTGCCCTGCCCGCAGCCCTGGTCCCTCTGCACCTCACACCTGCGCGCGCCGTTCCCGTGTCCCGTGGAAGGCGGGCTTTTTGTTGTTATTGCCCTGCATGTACAGTCTGGGTGCTCCGGTGTGTGGCTGAGGGGTGACGTGGGCAGAGGACTGCCCGGGGCAGCGTCCGGAGGACCGGAAGGTGGTGTGGTCAGCAGGGCTGGGAGGGACTGCCCCTCCCAGAAACCTCACCCGCTCGCCCAGTGTCACGGGTCCCCCGGCGCCTCGGTGGGCACAGCTGTGACAGGCCACGTCCTCGTCTTCAGGGCCTGCCGCCAGGTGCCCTGTGCTGGCACCGCAAGAGCCGCTTTTCTGGCTCCGCAGAGGCTGAGAAGGGCCCCGGGGCCCACAGGCGCTGCAGGTTTTGGGGCCTCAGTGCAGCCAAGACTGTGGACCTGCCAGGTGCGGTGCTGGGAGTGTCGTGAGGGAGGGGTCACCTCTCTAGGACCACCTTTGCTGCATCAGCGGCCTTCGTCTCGCCAGGCAGGGCGTGGCCTGTCTTACGGAAGCCTGATGGATCAGGGCTGGGCCTTCCTGTCCTTCGGGGCTGTCCGGCTTGTGGCCCTGCAGGTCCGCATGTCAGCCGCCAGCGGGGACCCCTGAGGGCATTCTGATCCTTGCTCCCGCGTTTCCTCCCCGAGCCCTAAGCTGCGACTGCTGCTGCCAATAGAAGCCCCTGGGCAGGGGGTCGGATTGTCCCTGCGGAAGCGCGGGGTCCTTACTGGAGAGCTGTAGGTTTGTGTTTGTGTCCTCAAAGGGAAGTGTTCAAAACTCCAGCCCTTTTTCCTCCTAGGAGAGGTGGGTGTCTGGTTCAACAGGCCAGGAGCCAGAACCGGCGGGGATGCGGGGCTCCCGCGTCTGAGCCGCCGGGAGCTGTTGGGCTGTCGCTGGGAGATCCAGCAGCAGGGCGGGGGAGGCGGGAGCGTCCCTGGGGGTGCTCTTGGCCCTGTCCCCAGTGCTGGCCTCACGCCCACCCAGGTGGTGCTCTCCTGCCCCCGGCTGTGGCCAGCGGGGCCCTGCCTCCCCCAGAGCCAGCCTCTGGGAGCCCCCGTGGTGGGTGCTGCTCCTGCAGGGAGGCTGCCCCGGCCTCCTGTGCACTCACAGGCCAGCTGCTCCCCTTGGAATCAGCTTCTGTTGTCCACTCCCATGGGGGGCCCCATGTGTCCTCGGCCATCACTGACTTGAGGCTGCCCAGGGACCTGGGTGGCAGAGCTCCTGTTGGAGGAGGGAGACAGAGTCTTTGAGCTCTGGTCGCTGCGGGGGGTGGGGGGCGGAGGGGCCCAATGGGCAGGTCGTGCCCGGGGGGCCTTCCCGGAGCTGGGCGGTCTTGGTTGCTGGGGCGCAGCGCCGGGCGCCTGGCAGCTCCCACCCAGGAAAGTGCTGAAAGCGCTGTCCTGCGCAGCAGGGAGAAGGCAGGCTCTGTCCCCGAGACAGAGGCCTTTGGTGGCTGCCAAGACCCCTGGCGTGGTCCTTGTCACCCTGCACCTCATCTATTAGCCTGGGCTCAATGGCACTGCAGGGCGAGCTGGGTGGGGTCCCTCACACAGCTCCAGGGGGACAGGAGGGGCGCTCAGGCCCGGGGAGGAGCAGGTGGGAGGGGCTCAGAGGGTGCCTCCCAGGACCGGCCCCCTTCGGGGTGCCGCAGGTGCCGCGAGGGCAGCCTGGTCTCCTCCGGGGCCTTGGTGGCGGCTCTGTCTCGTGCTCGCCTCTGCTCCTCCGCCGAACTCACGAGCTCGCCGCCTCGCCTCGCGGGCCCTCTCGCGCCGCCCTGTCTGCCTGCCTCTAACCTTGCTCCTTTCTCTTCACGCTGTCCTAGGAGGGCAGAGCGAAAGTAAGTACCTCCTGTCCCACGCGTCCTCATGCCCCTCACCTGAGCCAGGGGACCCCGTGCGGCCAGGACTGCCCCGGGGGGCGTGGGGCCTGGCTCACCTGGCTGCTGGGCCGGGTCCCTCCTCCGGAGCACAGAGGAGCAGGATGTGCGGTTCAGCCTCTGAGCCAAGGTCCAGGCGCGTCCCTGGGCCAAGCAGCTTGCGCGGCCAGGGCAGGGCAGGGCTGTGGGCGGCCATGGAGCTTCGGCCCCGCCGGCCCCAGCCTCAGGCCCTGCGCCGTGTTCGCCAGCCATGGGAAGTAGCTTTTCCTCCCCTGAGCTGTGGCCCCCAGCGCCCCAAGCACAGCCTGGTCTGGTGCCGGAAGCCAAGGAAGGGTTTAGGCGAACAGGGTCCAGCAGGGCTGGGGCACCGGGGCCCTGCCCGGTCAGTCTGCTGCCCCCTCAGGGACAGTGAGTGATGTCACAATGCCCTGCCTCCTGGGCACAGCTCCTGCCTCCTGGCCACACGGCCCGGCACCCCAGCACTGCCCCTGCCGTCAGCCTGGCCTTGGTGAGCGCCGCTGCCTGCAGCGTGCCCAGGGCAGCCTGGGACCTGCTGGGACCGCGTAAGAGGCCGGCGGCACGGCCTCGGCGTGCCCTGCAGAGCATAGAGGGGCTTCACCCCATAGGGCTAGGCAGGTGTGGGCCTCATTCCCATGTCCCTCAGAGCAGGTGGGATTGGGTCACGGCTTTGTTTGGGGTGTTAGGGAGCGGCCGTGGGCGCCGCGTAGAGCCACAAGCCCAGGTGAGTTGGGGAAGGGCTTGCCGTCCGGGCCGGAAGGCTGCCCTGCCGCTGGAGACCGCATCCCCCGGGCCTGAGGGCCTGCCCGGCAGGCAGATGCTCTGGGCCAGGGGTCGGCCTTTGCTTAGGCTCCCCCAGCGACCCCCAGAAGCAGGGGCAGCAGGGTGTCCTGAGGGGCAGCTCTCACCCCTGGCAGGTTAGCCCCTGGGTGTCAGTCAGGGCGCTAGCCAGGCCTGGGCCAGGCTGGGAAGGACGCTCCACGCGGGTCAGAGCCACCCTGCTAAACAGGCCTCTGGATGTGAGCTCGGGGACTCCAGGCACAGCCTCTGAGCAGACTGGCTGGGGGCTTCCTGGGCCCGAGCGGCTCCAGCCCGAGGCTGCGGTGGCCCGGGCTCCCTGCGCGTGCCGAGGGGGAGCCGCTCAGCATTCTGGCCTGGTGGGCAGGGTGGGGACGAGGCCACCGCTGCGGGGCCGCAGACAACTGAGGCCACCTCCAGTGGGGATCCGGGACCAGAGGCCCCCCTCGCGGGCTGAGTGACAGTGCTCCTTGCACCGAATGGTGCCGAGACGAGGGCAGGGGTCTTGGTGTTCTGGGACTCCAGTCCCGGCGGCCCCTTCCGTGTAGTGCACCCACAGGTGTGAGCTGCCTGCCAAGCAGAGGCGGAGGCGCCGGCGCTGACCCAGGAGCCGCTGGCTCCTTCCTGGCGCACCTCATGTCAGCTGCCCCGAGGTGGTCGTGTGGGAGGCCTCCACCCCCCGCCCCCCGAGAGGCTGCCCCTGTCCGAGACCCTGGCAGCGGCCCGTGGTGTGTGCCGCCCTGGGTGGCGGTGTGGCCGTGGCAGGCGTGGGTGACGGGGCTGGGCGCACCGTGACGCGCTGTCCTCAGAGGTCGCCAGGTGCCCTCTCTAGAACCCGTTCCCCCAGAAGGGGCCGCACTTAGCGAGAGCACGGGACGTCCAGTTAAAGTTTCAGATGGACAATGAATAGCTTTCCAGTAGGAGTGAGTCTCACGCATTTTATGGGACGTACCTTGTAAAGGTTATTTGTTGTTCATGTGAAAGTCACATTAACTGAGTGCATTCTCTGTTTTATCTGGCATCCCGTTCGGAGATTCTATGAAAAAAGTTTTCTGAGGTTTGGAAACAGTGTTCTCTAGACCCCTTTGTAGAACTTGGGTGCACGTTGGATTAGAAAGGAAGTTTGGGGGGGGGAGTTTTGCAGTTACAAGAATATGGATATTTACACGCCCGTGTGCGTATGCCGCTGCTCTGTTGCTTTGCTGAGCATACCTCACGGGTTTGACTTGAGGTCTTTGCATGTTGCCTGATGGCACCTCCCCTCCTTGGGAAGCATCCCCGGCTCCTCCAGCCCCGCCAGCCAGGCCACCGAGGGAGGGGTGGGTCGCCGGCCTCCCAGGCTGGCTGTGCTCAACTGCCTTCTTGTGCTTGCTTTTAACGCTGCGCGGAAGATGAGGAGCGGGAAGGCCTCCTGTGCCCTGGAGACCGTCTGGGAGGACAAGCAGAAGCATGGGGAGGCTCCGCGAGCCGCCGCCCGGCAGCTCCTGGCCCAGGTGCCAGCTGTGAACGGGCCCGGCCAGGAGGACGCGGAGGAGGTGGACGAGGCCGAGGCCCCCGGCAGCTGCAGGGGTGGCCCCGGGAAGAGCCGTGACGGGAGGCAGCCCCTGCAGAAGAAGAGGAAGCGCTCCCCAAAGAGCTGGCTCGGCCGGGCGGACCTGGCCCTCATGGGCCTCTCGGCCGACCATGTCTGGCTGGACAAGCCGCTCTTCGACCAGGCGGAGAGCTCCTACCGCCAGAGGCTGGCAGATGTGGCTGCCCAGGCAGCCCGGCCACCGGCTCTGGCTCCCAGGGGTCCGTGCACCCACGGGAGCCAGGTGGCCTGCCACCATGTGACCTGGGGCGTCTGGGTCAACAAGTCTGCCTTTGACCAGGCTGAACGGGCATTCGTGGAGTGGTCTCAGGCTCTGCTGTTGGCCACGGAGGGGAGCTGCCGGCCGGGGGCCGCTGACACAGGCCGGCGGGCTCCTGCACCGGACCTGGCCCTCGCCCGCCATCCCGGCCCGCCAGCCAACGGCCAGCCCCCGCTGGGCAGTCTGAAGGCACTGGTGCGGGAGGTGTGGCTGGAGAAGCCGCTGTACGATGCAGCCGAGAGAGGCTTCTACGAGGCCCTGTTCGACGGCCACCCGCCGGGGAAGGTGCGCCTGCAGGAGCGAGCCACCCAGGCCGAGAGCGCCCGGCGGGGCCGCAGAGACCGGCGGTGCCACAACGGCGCAGGGAGCAGGCGTGCTGGGCCGCGGAGGCCTGACGGGGAGGCCCCGCCCTCCGCCCTGCCCTACTGGTACTTCCTGCACAAGGACGCGGAGGCCCCCTGGCTCGGCAAGCCTGCCTACGACAGCGCGGAGCGCCGCCACCACACTGCTGAGGCCCTGCGTGCGGCCGGGCGCCTCGAAGCCGTCCCCCTGGCTCGCCGACCCGGGGCCCGGCCCGGCCTGTCCGTGGCCTGTCTGAGACCCAAGTAGGAGAACCCGGCCGGCGGGTGCCCAGTCTGGCTCACCCAGGCCGGGCCGCATGCGCCCCCTCCCTGCCCCCACCCCGGCAGGGCTCTCCCCAAGACACCTGGACCCGGCCAGGTTGGAGGCGGGAGTGGGTTGGTCAGTGCAGCCTCCGGGGTCACCCCTTGGGTCACACAGGGCCGAGTCTGCCCCGCGCAGGGTTTTCTCCTTGGCCGGGCGGCTCCCAGGGGAGCACCGATGGCTCCTGGCCCTGGGGCCCCGCGGGGGCAACACGTGGGGGCCAGCACGCCCCGCCCGCCCCCTGTCCACCCCTGCCTGCCCTGTCGTCTGTGGCCACCCCTAAGATAAGGTATTGTCTGACGTGCACCAGTTCACGGCCGCTGTTGCCAGCCTGGGCCTGAAGGACACGTGCTGGGTGAGGCCGACTTGCCTCCAGCCTGGGGACCCAGGGCCTTGCCCAGGGACAGTGCCGTGCGGTGCCAGCAGCGATCGCTGGAGGCCGGGAGGGGGCCAGGTGGGGGCAGACCAGCGCCTGGGCCACGGGGTTCCCGGGCAGGTGGGCAGAGACGGGCTCAAGGGAAGATGCACAGCAGGGAGCTGGGGGCCCTGGGGCGCCTGAAGCTGTGCCCTGGCCGGGCTGGCAGGACGGAGGTCCCCGGGTCCCCAGGGAAGTGGCGCCGGCCTGGTGCCCACGCTCCTGGCAGCAGCCTCAGCCGTGCCCTTCTGCGAGGGTGACCTGGTGGCTTGACAGGGCCCAGCCCCATTGAGGTGGGGAATGTCCCCTCAGGCAGTGGGGGCGGGGCACGGATCAGAAACAGGGTTTAGGGAGCCGGCTTCTCACCGGCGAGCCCCACCTCCTCGTCACCCCGAGGCCCCTGGCGAGGCTCAGTGATGGCTGGGGCTTCTCAGCGCAGAGCTCGTGGGGTGGGGTCTGTCTCTCCATTTGTGAGGAGCAGGAGGGGGTCCGGGGGCCGGGTCTCTGGCCACTGCCCAACCTCGTCAGGCCATGGCGGGCAGCTGTGCCCGCGCGGCGACGGGCAGACGCAGCCCGCGGGCCTGGGTGGCTCGTGGGCTCGGCTTCCTGACCTCGGGACCCCAGAGAGCCCCTGTTGTATCTGTGGGTTTGCACCATGTTAGCAGAAGTGCTGGAAATATTTATTGAGAAATAATAGCTCGTTACACGTAATAAGACATTTTTATGAGAAATAGTTTCCTGTAAGAAGAAAATCCAGTGAGCGAGTGGCCTTTTTTGCACTTTGGAGTCTTTAGTGTCTGGCTAATAGGAGGCAGGGGAGTCCCCCCTGCTTCTGTGTTCAGCTGTGGGTGGGTGTTGCCTGACATAAATCCAGCCTTGCACAGATGTGTGCTGGGAAAGGGGGGCACCACGGGACCCCCCAAGGTTCCTGGCCACACTTTGAGAGCCGCTGTTCTCAGGGACAGTCAGGGACCATGCCCTGTGCACCGAAGGGCCCCCGTGTGGCCGTGGGAGCGGGGAGTGCTCTGCTGCGGAGCCTGGAGGCCTTGTCTCCTGAGGGCTGGGGCAGCCACCGTGCCCCCAGCACCTGGGCTGCCAGAAGGGGCACTCGTGCAGGCCAGGACCTCTTAGCGTCTCCTTTCCCTCTCAGCAGGAAAATGGCCACAAACTTCCTAGTGCACGAGAAGATCTGGTTTGACAAGTTCAAGTACGACGATGCGGAAAGGAAGTTCTACGAGCAGATGAACGGGCCTGTGGCCGGCTCCTCGTGCCAGGTAAGGGCTGTGCCTGAGGCCACCGGCTGTGGCGGCAGGGTCTCTGGCAGGGGGCGCAGGCACACAGGTGGTGGGGGGTGCCACTGCGGCCGCGAGGCTCCAGCCCCGCGCACACTGCTTGCTGCCCTGCTGAGCTTCGTTCTGCACATCGCTTTCTCATTCTCTGCACCAGGGACGTGGGATTCCTTTTTTTTTTTTTTTTTTTTTTTTCTTTTTTGAAATTAAGATTTTTTTTTTTAATGGAAATAGAAGATGGTTCTTTCTGCACTGTCTGCAGGAGAATGGCGCAAGCGTGATCCTCCGGGACATTGCGAGAGCCAGAGAGAACATCCAGAAATCCCTGGCCGGAGTGAGTACTGCGGCCCGCGCGCCCAGCAGTGCGCCTCACCTGCCGCCAGGACTGCCGCGTGCCCTGCCCTCGGAGCACAGCCAGGGCCGGGCGCGTCCCTGCCCACACAGGGTCCTGTGCCCACACCGCCGGGGCTTCTTACTCTGCATCCCTGCTGCCTGCTGGTGCTCACCCGGCTCCCCTGCCCCAGCCGCTCCCTCCCAGCCTGCTCCCTGCCAAGGGCAGCCTCCCTTTCCTCCTGGGCCTCCGTCTCCCCAGAGAGACAGGTTCACAGGGCGTGAAGTTCAAGTCACAGAATGGGTACCGTTCTGGATTTGAGGTCCAGACTTGGCTCCCAGGTCCCAGGTAGATTGTGAGAGGACAGGACCGTGTCCTCCTCTGCCCCAGCCTGGCTGTCAGGGCATCTCCAGAAGCAGACAGACATGCTCCGCCTTCCTGGCCAGGGGAGGTGGCCCCTCGTCATCCCTCTGGGATGAGGGGGTATCCCGTCCTGACAGCCAGCTGTCCTCACGGCTGTGTGTCTTGTGGAGACGCCAGGAGAGAACCTGCTCCCTTGCCTTTTCCAGCGTCTGGAAGCTGCTCGCAGCTCTCGGCCTGTGACTCCGAGCCAGCAGTGTCGCGATGCTGCCCTTCCCCGTGTCATGTGTCCTCGCTCCCCGCCTCCCTCTTACGTAGACCCTGGTGATGACACTGGGCCACTTGGACCATCCGGGGTCATCTCCCGCCTCCTCAGCTTCCTCACATCTGCACAGGCCCTTCGGCCGTGCAAGGTCACCTGCCTGCACAGCTGGTTCAGGTGTGCTGGCTCCTGGCCACAGGCCCGGGCAGCCATGGGCAGGCGTCCAGGAGGCGGGGCCACTGCTGTCTGCCCAGCGGGCCCTGTGTCCTGCTTCGCCCCTGCCTGCTCCTCCCTGCCTGCCTTTTGCCCAGCGAGGCCCTTGCCCCCAGGGCCTGGCTGTGCTGGTCAGCTGCTGGGGCCTGGTCTTTGGGGACGGTGCCTGCTGCTAGGGCTGGGGTAACAAGCCACACCACACAGCTTCAGCAGTTTTTCTCACCAGCCGAAGGCTGAAGCCCGAGGTCACGGTGCATGGGCAGGGCTGGTTCCTTCTGAGGCCCTGCTCCTTGGCGGGCAGAAGGCTGTTCTCTTTCCTTGTCTTTGCCTCCTGTTCCCTCTGTGTCTTACACGGATGCCAGTCGTTGGGGTAGGCCCCCCACCCTGATCTCCCCGCCCCATGCGCACACCGGGCAGCAGGGCTCGGTTCCCTGGGCCGCCGGGCCCCGGTGGGAGGAGCTGTCGGTGGGCATGGCACGGGGAGCCAGGTGCTGTGGGCAACAGGCCAGAGTGCGCTGTGTGCTGAGGGTGGGAGCCGAGACTGGGGGCGGGTGGTCCTCCCCGCTCCAGCGTGAGCTGCAATGCGGGTGGTGTGCTGTTCGCTGACTACAGTAGGGGCTGCATTGAACTAGAGGGGAGCGCCGTGAGCAGAGCCCACCCTGGTCTGCACAGCTGGTCAGTGCTCCTTCTCCAGCCACACGGTGCCCTGGGCTGGCCCTGCTAGCAGCAAGTTAGTCTGGGCTCCAGGACAACATCAGCCTTGCACTGCCTGGTGGTGCCTGTCCTCTGTGGGACCTTTGCCTGCCTGTGCTCTGCGGGCACACAGAGCAGCGGCCTGTCCCGTGGCTGCACGTGGGGGCCTTGGGCCCTGGGCTTTTATCATGACGGGTTCGGGGACGGCAGCCCCGGGGACGAGGCCAGGAGCACAGCATTCCTGGACCCGCTCCACAGGGTGTGGCACAGGCCTGAGCCGCGTCGCCTGGAGGCAGGCTCCCTGGGCAGCGTCGCAGGTCTGCCGGCGGCCGGGCCTAGTGAGCCAAACGGTGGGTGCACGGCGGGGCCGCGGGCACAGTGCCGGCTGGCGCAGGCGGCCGCCCTCGGCGCAGGCACGCCCCTTCCGGACCCTGCCGGCCCTCAGCTGCTCTCCCCTCCTGTTGCAGCTCAAGGCCGTGCTGCCCAGCCCCCCTGAGGCTTCAGGCCAGCCTGCCCCCGGGACCGTAAGTCCTGCTCCCCGCTGCCCGTGCCAGGCAGTGGCAGCTGTGTCTCTGAGCTTTCAGTCCTGTGCTTTGTGCTTGGCCAAGAATGTCACCGTGGTCCCCGGCGCGCAGCCCTGCTGTCGGGCATCTCCCAGGCCTCCCCCCAGCTCATGGCGGTGCTGTTCAGTGGCTGTGAGCGGGGGGCCTTGGAGCGGGGTGAGCTCCAGGCCCTCACCCTCCCCTTGCCTTGCAGAGCTCAGGCCCTGGGGCCTCCAGCGGGCCCGGCGGAGACCACAGCGAGCTCGTCATGCGCATCGCCAGCCTGGAGGTGGAGAACCAGAGCCTGAAAGGCGGTGAGGCCCCGGGCCTGGCGGGCGAGGGGGCCGCGGAGGGGGCCTGTGGTCTGACCGCCCCTTCACCCCCGCAGTGGTGCGGGACCTGCAGCAGGCCATCTCCAAGCTGGAGGCCCGACTGAGCGTGCTGGAGAAGAGCGCGCCTGCCCACCGGGCCACAGCCCCCCAGACCCAGGTGAGTGCCCTCCTGACCGGGGTCCCCGCACGTGGAGCGGCAGAGGAGCCGGGGGCCGGCCCGGGAGGCAGTGTGGGCTGGGGGCCTGGGTCCCAGTTCCTCCGGGCCTGCCGGCCAGGGCGCATAGGTCTCAGCACCCCCTTCCCCGGCAGCACGTGTCCCCCATGCGCCAAGTGGAGCCCCCCACCAAGAAGGCGGCCACTGCCACGGAGGATGACGAGGACGACGACATCGACCTGTTCGGCAGCGACGAGGAGGACGACAAGGAGGCCGTCAAGCTGCGGGAGGAGCGGCTGCGGCAGTACGCGGAGAAGAAGGCCAGGAAGCCCGCGCTGGTGGCCAAGTCCTCCATCCTCCTGGATGTTAAGCCTGTGAGTGGCCGGCCTCCGGCCGCTCCTGTGTGGGTTCAGGAATCGGGAGCAAAGGAGAGGAGGGGGGCAGGGCGGGCGGAGACAGACTGTTCGCAAGCTTTGTTCAGAGCTGTTCTCTGCGGCACTGGGGGCCTCCCCGGGTGTCTGCAGGCCCGTGACCCAGCCTCTCCTCCCCCTTCTCCCCTAGTGGGATGACGAGACGGACATGGCCCAGCTGGAGGCCTGCGTGCGCTCCGTCCAGCTGGACGGGCTGACCTGGGGGGGCTCCAAGCTGGTGCCGGTGGGCTACGGCATCCACAAGCTGCAGATCCAGTGCGTGGTGGAGGACGACAAGGTGGGGACCGACCTGCTGGAAGAGGAGATCACCAAGTTCGAGGAGCACGTGAGTGGGCGGGCCGCGCCGGCAGGTGGGGTGGCAGCGGGTGGGGCCTGTGGGACGCTGGGCCCCACGTGACCCCCGGCCCCTCCTCCCTGCAGGTGCAGAGTGTCGACATCGCCGCCTTCAACAAGATCTGAGCCCTGCAGGCACTGCCGCGCGAGCCTCTGCCGCTATTAAAGACTGAGGCCCCCGCCGTCTGGCTCCTGTCCTGGAGGGGCCCTGTGGGTGGGGGTGGTTGTGCGCAGCACCCTCCGGGCCCCGGCCTCAGCGGGCCTGTCTGCCCCACACCTGTGGTCCCCGAGGCCACCGCCACCCTCCCCTTTCTCGGCCATGGCGCAGCCTTCCCACGGCTGTGACCCCTGCCCGCCCGGCCCCGCCTCTCGCTTCCTGCCGTCCTCAGTCACCCATTGAGGCCACGTCCAGTGCCAGGTGGTTAAGCCGGGAGGGAGGCAGCAGCGACCCAGCCCTTTCCCCTCCTCCCACTCCGTGCCCAGCCGCGCGCCTCGGTGGGAGCAAGCCTGCCAGCCTGCAGCTGTGCGGCAAAGAGCTCCCAGGGGCCGGCCTGGCCCTGCTGCGGTGGCCAGCGACCAGCCGCACCTGTTCTAACCGGTGCAGGGCCCTGGCCCCAGGCAGGTCCCAGGACACTGCGGGACATTGCCCTGTGGAGTCCCGCCTGTCCCCTCTCCAACCTGGTCCGTCCATCTGTCAGTATCATGACACCTCGGGTTCCTCTCCAGACTGGCCAGTGTGGCTGGTGAGGTGGCCACGCCCCCTACCTGGTCCGGATGTGTGGTGGCTGCAGTGACTGCACAGGGTTGAGTGCCCACTTCGTGGCGGCAGCCCCAAGGCTGCGCTCAGTTTTAAAGGACTCCTGGGGGGCTCAGGGTGCAGGATGTGGAGGCCTTGGTGCCAATGAGGGGTGGGCGCTGCACCAGTGGTGTCTGAACACTGCGGGCCGCGCCCAAGAGCAGGAGCTCACTGCGGAAGCACCTCTGTCCCCTGCCCCTCCCCAGCCTGGGTTGGCTCCCAGTCGGGCGGGGACGACGTCTAGCTGGAGGTGGAGTTGCCACTGCACTCTTCTACCTTCTGCACCGAATGCAGAGTTGGGGGGGACCATGCTTCGAGGGGCTGGGAGGATCCGGGAGGACAGATAGATTCCCACATCAGCCTAGGTCCCACCGCTCCGACCGTTCTGTGTCAGAGCCCGTCAGACTGTCCAGCTCATTCTTGTTACGGAAAAGGCGGTTGCTTCCCGGGTGTCCCCACCCTCCAAACTCCCAGATTGCGGCGCGTCATGATTAGCAGGATCTGGGTACCGGCTATTGGGGAGCGGGTGTCACGTGGGCCGGCTGGGGCGGGGACCGGAGTACAGGCACTGGGGCAAGATGGCAGCAGAGCAGGATCCCGAGGGGCGCGCGGCGGCGCGGCCGCTGCTCACCGACCTCTACCAGGCCACCATGGCGCTGGGCTACTGGCGCGCGGGCCGGGCGCAGGACCTCGCCGAGTTCGAGCTCTTTTTTCGCCACTGTCCATTCGGCGGCGCCTTCGCCCTGGCCGCGGGGCTGCGCGACTGCGTGCGCTTCTTGCGCACCTTTCGCCTGTGCGACGCAGGTACCCGCTGCTTCGTCACCAAGGATCCCAGCACCCAGACAGGCCCCTCCCACTCGACGAGCTCCCCACCTTCATAAGACGCCCCAACTAGCCTTTCCTTCCCCATGCCCCAAGGAGCCCCCGCCGGCTGAGGGGAGGTCTCCAGCCCCCAGCGAGCCCCTCTGCCTGCGCGCTTGCCCCAGCCCACGAGGGCCTTTGTCGCCCCCAGACGTGCAGTTCCTGGCCTCGATGTTGCCTCCAGACACTGACCCCGCGTTCTTCGAGCACCTCCGGGCCCTTGACTGCTCCGGGGTGACGGTGCGGGCCCTGCCCGAGGGCTCCCTCGCCTTCCCCGGCGTGAGTGCGGGCTGAGCGGGGCGGAGGGGTGGGCCCGAACGAGGTCAGGCGGCTGCCAGCTGACACCCTACCCGCAGGTGCCGCTGCTGCAGGTGTCGGGGCCGCTCCTGGTGGTGCAGCTGCTCGAGACTCCCCTCCTCTGCCTGGTCAGCTACGCCAGGTGGGGCCAGCCGGCCGGGCGGGCGCAAGGGAGCTGGAGCTCGGACTTCCGAGGACCGGCCCTTGCGGGTGTGGGCGTGGCTCCGTGCCCCGTGTCCGAGCTCCTCGCTGAGGCGCAGGGTCCCCTGCTCACTTGCTCCCCACAGCCTCATCGCTACGAACGCGGCGCGGCTTCGCCTGATCGCGGGGCCAGAGAAGCGGCTGCTGGAGATGGGGCTGCGGCGTGCTCAGGGCCCTGACGGGGGCCTCACAGCCTCCACCTACAGCTACCTGGGGGGTGAGGGTCAGGGAAGGAGGCAGGGTGGGCAAAGGTGGAGGCCCGGCCTGAAAGCGCCACGCCCCCCGCCCCCCCTCCCGGCCTGAAGCTCCCCAACCCTCCCCAATGCCCTGACCTAGGCTTCGATGCCAGCAGCAATGTGCTGGCAGGACAGCTGAGGGGCGTGCCCGTGGCGGGAACCCTGGCGCATTCCTTCGTCACTTCCTTTTCAGGCACTGAGGTGCCCCCTGACCCGGTCAGTACCCTTCTCTCCCCTGCTGAACTCCAGAGGGCAAACTCCGAGGCCCGCCCTTGCCTGGGGGAGGGGTGGCCCAACCCAGGCTCTGCTCGAGGGCAGATGCCACGTCTGGGCCACCAGGCCACCCTGGGCAGGAAGCCGCACTGGGAAGGCGGCAGGCAGGCGGCAGGGCCCCTCATCAGACCCTCAGCCGGGTGTGAACCAGACCCCACCGTGCACTCGGGGTCCGCAACCCTTCGCTGACCCCTCTCCCTAGATGTTGGCTCCAGCGGCTGGCCGGGGCCCCAGCGTGGATCTGGCCACCCTTGTGGAGGCGTGGCTGGAGCGTGTGTGCGCCCACCTGGGGCTGGGAGTGCAGGAGCCACACCGGGGGGAGCGGGCGGCCTTTGTGGCCTATGCCCTGGCCTTTCCCCGGGCCTTCCAGGGCCTGCTGGACACCTACAGTGTGAGGAGGTGAGGCCCAGGCACCCCCGGGGGGCCAGCAGAGCAGCCGCAGCCTCCCGACCTGCCTGTCCCTCCTGCAGAAGCGGTCTCCCCAACTTCCTGGCCGTAGCCCTGGCCCTGGGCGAGCTGGGTTACCAGGCTGTGGGAGTGAGGCTGGACAGCGGCGACCTGCTTCGGCAAGCCCAGGAGATCCGAGGGCTCTTCCAGGCCACAGCTGCCCAGTGAGCCCTGGGGCGGGGGGCTGTGCCTGCAAGAGACCCGTGTAGGGGCACTGGAGTGGAGGGAGGGAGGGAGGGAGGGGCCCTTCCCTTCCCTTCCCTTCCCTTCCCTTCCCACAGTGGGAAGCTCTAGCCTGGAGCTGCCTCAGTGGAGACATGGTGGCCATGCTGGGGAGGCCAGAGCCCGCGTGGGCGAGGGCAGGTTCTGCCAGGGAGGCATGGGCAGGCATAACCAGCGGGAGCCCTGGTGGGTCAGGGCTTCAGAGGAACGCTCCCCCGCCCCCATCACAGGTTCCAGGTGCCCTGGCTGGAGTCCGTCCCCATCGCTGTCAGCAACAACATCGACGAGGCAGAGCTGGCCCGGCTGGGCCGGGAGGTGGGGCGGGGCCGGGAGGGGCTGAGGAGGGCGGCGGGGAAGGCCCTGGGCCCGCTGGAGCTGGCCAAACTCAGGGCTCCTCCCCCACCATCTTCCAGGGCAGCGAAGTGAATGTCATTGGCATTGGCACCAGCGCGGTCACCTGCCCCCGCCAGCCTTCTCTGGGCTGCGTCTACAAGGTGGAGACAGGGACTGGGGCCCCGTGGGGGCGGGCCGTGGGGTCCTGGGCTTGGGGAGAAGGGCCCGGCTCTCGACACCCTGTCCCCGCAGCTGGTGTCCGTGGGAGGCCAGCCGCGAATGAAGCTGACCGAGGACCCCGAGAAGCAGACGTTGCCTGGGAGCAAGGCCGCCTTCCGGCTCCTGGGCTCCAACGGTGAGGCCCCCCTCCGGTTGTGCCGCTCGAGGCCCTAGGCCCTCACGTCATTCTTGCCCCCCTACACACACACACAGGGGCTCTGCTATTGGATGTGCTGCAGCTGGCAGAGGAGCCCCCGCCCCAGGCTGGCCAGGAGCTGAAGGTCTGGCCTCGAGGGGCCCAAGCACCCTGCACCGTGCGGCCGGCCCGGGTGGAGCCACTCCTGCGGCTCTGGTTCCAACAGGGACAGGTGACCACTTCGCCCACCCCCTTCGCCCACACCTGCAGCCCAAGCCCAACCCCGACGCCGACCCTGAGCCAGCCCTTTCCTCTGCTCTTCCCTCAGCTGTGTGAGCCCCTCCCGTCTCTGGCAGAGTCCAGGGCCTTCGCCCAGCTGTCCCTGAGCCGCCTCAGCCCCGAGCACAAGCGGCTCACGCAGCCTGCGCCGTACCAGGTGGGTGGAGGCCCGCCTCGGCCGCGCGCCCCCGTGCGCTCCGCCCGCGCGGCCGCCCAGCGTCCGCTCCTCTTCTCCCTGCAGGTGGCGCTGTCTGAGAGGCTGCAGGCCCTGGTGCGCAAACTGAGCGACGGGGTCCCATGTGAGCGCGCGGCAGGGCCGTGAACTTAACACGAGTCACACTGTCCCCCTCCCTCAGTTTGTCCTGAGTCTTTTCTTTACCGGGGCTTCCGGCGGACGACTCTTGGGGGCTCGTGGGTGGGGCGCGGCTGGGACTCAGAGGAGGGCTCCTGTCCCTAGGAAGGCCCAGGTCTGGCCGGGAGGGCGGCCAAGGGGGCGGGTCTGAGCTGGGCCTGGGGCCGGTTGGAGGTGGGCGGGGCTTCGGGGGAAGGGAGGGCTTAGGTGCCCACCTGGGACGGTGGGGTTGCTGGGAGGGCCTCTCCCTGCTGGAGGCTCAGCTCGGCACAGAGCCATGGGGTGGGGGTGAGGAGCCAGTCAGGGGGTCTCGGGGCTTCTTGTGTCCAAATGTGGCCCCAGGCTCCCACACCTGCCAAGGGCCCTGGGTCAGTGGGACACCTCAAGGTTCCCAAGGCAAAGAGAAGTGCAGGCGTCCCCTGCCACTGCTGCTGCCAACCTTGCACGGCTCGGCACGGGGTTCCCGTGCCCCTGGGCTCCACCCGCACAGCTCTCTCCAGCCAGGGCATCTGTCGCGGGGTCCGCCGGGCCGGCCCAGGCCGTGGGGACCCAGCTCCCAACCCAGCAGCCTTGGGGAAGGCGGAGCCGGTGAAGAGGCTGAGGGCCCAGGTGGTGGCTCAGCTCTGGGCACCTGGCCAGCAGTCCTGAGCTGGCCCCGCCTCCCCAGGCAGGAGAGGCAGGTCTCCCCTGGCTTTGGCGGCCTGGGCTCCAGAGGAGCTGCTCAGGAGGAGTCCTAGGCTCCGCGCATGCAGAGGCTGGGCCCAGGCCTCTCCTGCCCAGGCACCGGGGGGTGGGGGGAATGGCAGGCAAGGGCGTGGGGGAATGCTGGCTGGCGGGGGCCTTCCCGGGGCACTTCCGCCTGCCCAGGCATTCGGCCCGACCAGCTCTTCCGGCTCCCTGGGGCCAGTGTGGGCCATGACTGTTATGTCACTGGGTCAGGGTGACGGTGGAGACTGGGGGCAGAGGCCTGGTCAGGCCAGTCCAGGGGAGCATGAGGTTTGCAGACACGGACACACACCAGCAGCGGTGCCGGAGCCCGGAGCCCTGTGCCCAGCCCCGGGGCAGGGGCGCCCCACACTGTCCCAGACCCTGAGGGCCCGCGCCCGGGATGGCGGCGCCTGCCAGAGTGCCCGGGAGGCGGCAGGTGCAGCTCCTCTTGCCTCCTGGGCCCCGCCCCAGGGCCGCCCCGAGGTCAGAGGTGGCAGCCGGTCATCCCTGTCCCCAGGATGTCTGTCTGGCCGGGTAGGAATGCAGTGGCTCTGCCTGGACCTGACTCAGCGCGGGGCTGGGCTCAGACTTCTGGAGCCTGGCGGGGCCTCCCCGGGCCGTCCCCACCTTCCCCGGACCCCCTGCCCAGTGGGGTTCGAGGGCAAGGCGAGGGCCCGCCTTCCCTTCACCTGCACCCAGGCTGTCTCCTGGGGCCCCGCCCCCTCTCCCGGGCCCTGGGGGGCGGAGCCAGACCCCAGACGCAGGCTTCAGGCTGGCCCCTCACCGCCAGCATCCCAGGCACTTCCCGCGCCTCCAGTGGGCGCCCTGCCGGGGACACCTACTTGTGGCTCCCCATCACGAGCACGCAGAGCAAACACTCACACGGGACCACGCCCGTCCCTGGCCCCGCCCACCCGGAGCCTGCTTCTAGGTCAGGCCTGGGCAAGGCTTCCTGGGAGGACCCTTGGCAGGTGCTGCAGGCCAAGCCCCACCACGGGCTGTGTGTGGCAGCCATGGCCGGGGGTGTGTGGGGCCGGGCCTGGGGGGCCCCTGTGGGGGCCCTCACCCTGACGGCTCTGGCTGAAGGGATCCGGGCCAGCCAGGGGGAGTCCATGGGAGCCCCTCCCAAGGACCCTGAGCCCGAACCTGAGCCAGAACCTGAGGGAGAGCCTGGAAGCGTCCCCTCCGCTCCGACAGCTGTCCTGGAGCCCTGCTCCCTGCCCCGTGCCCAGGAGCCCGCCCCCGAGGGGCCCTGCCAGGTGAGAGGGCGGGAACGGGGGTGAGGGGTGGCCCGGGGGACAGGAGACCTGGAAAAGGGAAGCTGGGACCAGGGATGGGGGCCGATCAGCCTCGGGACAGTAAGGAGGCGGAGGGCTCCACGGGGGGGGGCGGTGCTGGGGGGCGGGGGCCGGGGAGGAGAGCTGGGAGAGGCCAGGGGACTTCACACACCCCACCTGCTCCCCAGCCCCCGCAGCGTTCCTGGGAGGAGGGGACCCTCTCCGACCTGGCGTTGTACACCGTGGCCTGCCTGGAAGAGGCTGGCCTGGCGGGGACGCAGGCAACAGCGCTCACCCTGTCCTCAGCCCTGGAAGCCCGCGGGGAGCGGCTGGAGGACCAGGTCAGCCCCCCCGCCCCCCCTCAGTCCCCCTCCAAGGTTGGGCGGTTGGAGCAAGCAGCTTGACACAAAAGCCCCTTTGAGGCCACTCCCGGCCACAGGGGGCCCAGAGGGCAACATCGGAGAGTCAAGGGGGCCGATCGCTGACACCTGCCTCTCCACGCCAGGTGCACGCCCTGGTGGCCGGGCTGCTGGCGCAGGTGCCCAGCCTGGCCGAGGGGCGGCCCCGGCGGGCTGCCCTGCGGGTGCTGAGCTCGCTGGCCCTGGAGCACTCGCAGGACGTCGTGCGCGCGCTGCTGCCGTGCTCGCTGCCCCTGGACCGGTAACCTGCCCCGCCCCACCCACCAGCCACATCCCCACATCCCCACATCCCCACGCGGCTTCCTTCCCCTTCCTGCTTGGCTGCAGAGGCGGCCCCCGTGCGGCAGGTTGTGGAGGGGGCAGGGCCTCCTGATTCCCTCCCCGCCCACTCTTGTCCCACCTACCTCTCCGCCCCGCCCACTTCGAGGTCCTTGGTACGGGTTCCGGACTCCTGGCCGAAATTCTCCCTCCCGGGCACCTCTGGAGCGCCGCCTGGGGGTGCGCTGCAAGGCGGGGCCAGCAGGCCAGGTGGCTCTGTGTCTCAACACGCTGGCTCTTCGGTTTAACTCGGCCCAAGAGAGGTTACCTGGTCCTGCTCTGAGTGTTGTGTATATTGCCAGGCGTGTTCCCCTGCGGCCGGTCTGACGGGGTTCTGAGCCGTCCACACCAGGCAGCTGACCCTGCGGGCCCTACTCTGTGTGGGCTATACAGACGCCATTTCTTTTGTTTCTCTGGCGGCATAGAGACTTGTGGGGGGAGGGGGATGGTTTACTGGTCCCCCCCCCAACCTCCCGCAGCAGTCCACCCTGACCGGGGTCTCCTGGCATGCCAGCTGGGACCTGGGCTCACAACCCCACACCCCCAGGACGGCGGCCGAGCTGTGGCGCAGCCTGAGCCGGAACCAGCGCGTCAACGGGCAGGTGCTGGTGCAGCTGCTGTGGGCGCTAAAGGGCGCGGCCGGACCCAAGCAGCAGGCCCTGGCAGTAGGTGACTCCAGCCAGCACAGCCAGGGAATGCCCCCTGACCCCCGGCCCGAGGGGGCGGGTGAGGCGGGCCCCAGGGGGCTGGGGCAGGAAGGTCTCGCCAGAGTTCCACCCATCGAAAACGTCCCCCGAGCGTGGGAGGGCATGAGGCGTTTTCCTCCTCCCGCCTGCGCTGTGTCTGAGCCTGAACAGGCTGCTCACTCCACAGGCCACTCGCGCCCTCGGGGAGATGCTGTCCGTGTCCGGCTGCGTGGGCGCCACGCGGGGCTTCTACCCACACCTCCTCCTGGCGCTGGTCACACAGTTGCACGAGCTGGCCCAGAACCCACGCTCCCCTGATACCCCCAGGGTTTGGGCCCCATCCCAGCGGGGGCCGCCGCACAGCCACACCAGGTGAGGGCGCACACTGGGAGGCGAGGGCTGGACCAGTGCCCGCCCCCCCCCCTCACTGCCGCCTCTCCTGCTGCCCCATCTCCAGCTGCACGATAGAGGCCCTGAAGGCCCTGCTCACTGGGGACGGCAGCCGCATGGTGGTTACGTGCATGGAGCAGGCGGGAGGCTGGAGGAGGCTGGTGGGAGCCCACACCCACCTGGAGGGTGTCCTGCTGCTGGCCAGGTACCGGCGTGGGGGTGGGGGAAGAGGCAGGGGCACGAGGGGGGTCGGGTAGGGGCTTCCCCAGGGGCGAGGCCATAAGTGGAGGGAAAGTTCCCATTTCATCTCATCCCATCCCATCCCAGCGCCATGGTGGCCCATGCGGACCACCACCTGCGGGGCCTGTTCGCTGACTTGCTGCCCAGGCTGCGCAGTGCCGACGACGCTCAGCGCCTTACGGCTATGGCCTTCTTCACTGGGGTGAGCCTGTTTCTGGGATGGCCTTGGTGCCTAAGCGTTGCCCCCTGCCCCACGGCCCTGAGCGTGCTGACTCCCTGTCCCCCACCCAGCTGTTGCAGAGCTGGCCCACCGCGCGGCTCCTTCGGGAGGAAGTCATCCTAGAGCGGCTCCGCGCCTGGCAGGGAGACCCCGAGCCCACCGTGCGCTGGTTGGGCCTGCTGGGCCTCGGCCACCTGGCGCTGAACCGTGGGAAGGTGAGGCACAGGGCCGGGTGGGACTGGGCGGGGTCTGCAGGCGGCCTCCCACAATCCCAGACTGTGCAGGTGCGACACGTGACTGTGCTGCTGCCTGCACTCCTGGGCGCGCTGGGTGAGGGCGACGCGCGACTCGTGGGCGCAGCGCTGGGCGCGCTGAGGAGGATCCTGCTGCAGCCGCGGGCGCCGGTGCGACGCTTGAGCACAGAGCTGGGGCCGCGTCTCCCTCCGCTGCTGGACGACGTGAGCCCCGCCCCGCCCCGCCCCGCCCCGCCCCGCCCCGCCCCAGGGCCCGCCCCTCAGGGGCACAGCCCCCTCCCCAGGCTCCCCCTCAGGCCCCGCCTCCTTGCTCCACCCAGGCCACGCCCCCAGACAGCCGTTTCCAGAGCCCTTCTCCCTCGGGGCTCTGCCCTGGCGGCTGACAACTGGTCTTCGGGCAGGCCCGGGACTCAGTGCGTGCCTCGGCGGCGGGGCTCCTCGGGACGCTGGTGCGGCGGGGCCGGGGTGGGCTCCGGCTGGGGCTCCGAGGCCCCCTGCGGAAGCTGGTGCTGAAGAGTCTGGTGCCGCTGCTGCTGCGCCTGCATGACCCCAGCCTGGATGCTGCTGAGGTCAGCCGCCCCCGGCGACACTGCTGTCCCATCCGACCCCCTCCCCAGCCCCGCCCCAGGCTTCCCCAAGGACTCGCAGGTTCCCGGGCCCCCTGCCCTGAACTTGCCCACCCCTCACGCTGGCCACACTGAGGCCACCTCTGCTACCGTCTGGGCTCCTCACCCTCCTCCCTCCCCCTGCCCCAGAGCTCAGAGTGGACGCTGGCCCGCTGTGACCGAGCCCTGCGCTGGGGCCTGCTGGAGGAGGTGGTCACGGTGGCCCACTACGACAGCCCTGAGGCCCTAAGCCGCGTCTGCCGCCGCCTGGTCAGTAGGCGGGGAGTGATGGTGACGGGGTACGGCCAGTGGCCCACTTGGGCCACCCTCTCCCCCCAGGCTGAGTGTCCCTGCCCCCGGCTGAGGCGGAGGCAGGTCTAAGGCCTCCGGCTCTGACCCCTTGCCCTGGGAGCTCCCCGGGCTCGCCTCAGCCGCCTCCTCTCCACGCAGAACAGGTTCTCCCGTCCTGCCCTGAGCCCTTGTGTCCCCAGGTTCAGTGGTACCCGAGCCACGTGCCCCGCTTCCTGAGCCAGACGCAGGGCTACCTGAGGAGCCCACAGGAACCCCTGCGCCGGGCAGCCGCCGTGCTCATCGGTGAGGCGCCCCGGGTGTCCAGCTGCCCCGCCCCCCCCGCCCCGGGTTCTGGGAGCTGGGCCAGCCCCGCCCTGCTGGGGGCATGGGGCCGGCACTCACGGGTTTGCCTCGGTCCAGGCTTCCTTGTCCATCACAGCAGCCCGAGCCGCATCAGCCAGGACCTGCTGGACTCCCTGTTCCACGGTGAGGGCCCAGCGCGCCAGGGTGTGCGGTCCTGGAGAGGCGGCAGGTGCCTGGGCTGAGGGGGTGGGAGTGCACGTGCCTGGGGCGCCTGGCGGCCCTTCCTGAGCCACCCTGTCCCTGCAGACCTAGGGCAGCTGCAGAATGACCCCGAGCCGGCCGTCGTCGCCGCTGCGCAGGTATCCTCCCAGCAGGTGGCGCTGCTGGCCCGCGCACAGGCCTGTGGGTGGGGCCTGCGCTTCTCCCGTCTCCGCCTGCGCCCCGCCCGCCGCGCCCGGCCCCCGCCAGTCTACCCGGAAAGCCCCTTCCAGCGCAGGAGCCTCTCAGGTCGCTGGAGCTGTTCTGGCGCGGGCTGAGCCTGACCCGAGGCCGTCCTCGGGCTGGGTCCAGCCCAGTGAGTGCCCGGGATCTGCGTCTGGCACCCCACCGCTCTCTGGCCAGCCCTGGGCCCTACACTGGTCGCTGGTGCCCCCGCCCCGCCCCGCCCCGCCCCCGGGCCAGGCCTCCTCTGCGGGAGCTCCGCGCTGCCATGGCCACGTTCTTCAGAGGGACATCAGCGCTTCCGTCCGAGCACCATTTCACCCGCAGCCCCTGCAAGCACGGCCCACCCAACCCCCCTCAGGCCTGCGGCTCTCCCCGCCCGCTGAGGTGTGCCGGCCCCTGGCCTGGACGGCACCAGACCTTCCAAGGAGGGTCCGGTGCAGGACACTGTGAAGCCCCGTGACCTGCTGCCCTTTCCGGGCCCCGTCCCGGCGGGCCTCTCCGCCCTGCTGGCCAGCCCGCAGCCCTGCAGCCCGGCAGCCCGGCATGCACCCCACGCCCTGCCAGCTCGTGTCCTGCCCTGACCTCCGGCCGGCACCTGCCGCTCCTCCGCCTGGCACCGCCTCCTGCCTGCTCCCCCACTCCCGGTCGCCACCTCAGATCAGGCCCCACTCGGGCCTCCTCCAGGAGGCGGCCCCGACCTCTCCACTGGACACCACAGGCCTGGGGTTGTACCTGTGGGACCAGGTGTGGGGCGCCGGCATCTACACCCCCACCAGACTGAGCCTGTGCGCTGGTACCCCGCACCCTGCATGGGGTCGAATGAGGAGGGTGTGACTGGACACGCAGGGAAGGAGCCCCCCAGAGACCTCCCAAGAACGCAGGGCTGTGGGCGGGTTCCTCGACCCTGGACGCCCCCCCCGAATGCCCTCCTGACTTTCAAACCCCTCCCTGCAAGCTGCTGCCCCGGAGAGGCCTCGACTCGCACAGCCCCTTGGAGGGCTGGGAGCAGTCCCTCCAGGCCGGGACCCTGGGGGGAAGGCCTGGGGTCCTGCCTGCCCCTACGAAAGTATCTGAAGTAAACCCATGTGGATCAGAGGGGTCCGGCGTCTGTCTGGGGCGGGCGCCTGGGCTGAGGACATGGCTCTGATGCTTGGGGCCTGGGCCGAGGCCGGGCTCAGGCTGGGGTTACAGGTAAGGCAGCATGTGGGCAGGAGTAGGGGCACCGGGGTCGGAACTCGGGAAGGGGTCAGGGGCTCTGGAAGGTCTTCTTAGGACTTGGTCTCTGTAGAACCAGGATCAGGGTTTGAAGGGTTAGTTCAGGTCCCACAATTCCAGATTCCAGACGAGATTAAACATGAAGTGTGAGGGGGACATGCCGGACCGGCCAGGGGGTCCTCGGGCCCCCATGAAGTAGTAGGTGGCGGGTGCATCCCAGACGTCTGTCCTGGCCTCGGGGGTCCTCAAGCTAGTCGCCTGCCGGGGAGCCCTGTGGCACTGGGTTTTTGTCCTGCAGCAGGGCCTGCGGGGAGCCACCGACTCAGGCTGCGCCCCAGCCTGGCTCAGCAGGAGCCTCCCAGGTGCCCCTCCGTGCAAGCCCCGCCCCCTCACAGGCCAGAGCCAGACCCAGGGCGAGCATTCCCGTCCACTTCTCCCAAACCCCTGCACGGAGGCGCTGGCCAGCAGCAGGCCGCACAGTGATGCCGTGTGAAAGGAGAACCCCCTCAGACGTGGGGCTGGGGCTGCTTCCGCAGGGAGCCCACAACCGCCCTGTTGCAGGCTGTCTCTTGCGCAACACAGCTGCCTGCTCATGGTCATGCGTCTGTCCACCTGTCCCCTACTTTGGCTCCGCCCAGCCCCTGGCGGCCGGCTGGTTGCTCTGCCTGCCAGGCGGAGGTTCCTGAAGGCCAGGCTATCATTGCTGGGCCCTGGGAGGGGGACCCTTCTAGGGGACTTCTCTGCTGGGGTCCCCCGGAGGTCCCAGGGGGCGCAGCAGCCTGGTCCGCCACAGGCTGCCCCTGCAGCCGTGCCGATTCCACAGCCCTGCCCCAGGCGAGCACCCTCTGTCTGTGAGCGTCCAGGGCGACCCGGGCCATCGCCCCACCGGTCGCAGTCGAACCGCCGGGCGGACGCGCCTCTGAGTGTGCTGCCTCCCACGGAGGTCCCGCCTGGCTTGATCTTGATGCTGACATATTCTCAAAGCCCTGGGGACCCAGGCCGTGGGTGGGTCTAGAACCTGAGAGCCAAAAACTGGACTCTCCAAATGGGGCTTGGGTGGGGCTGGCCAGGACCTGCCTTTCCCCTTGCCCTCAGGACAGTGTTTCCAGAGCCCAGAAGCCACACTCTTGTACCTGCTGCTGCTGCTGCTGCTTTAAAAAAAAACAATTTATTTTTAGAGAGAGGGGAAGGGAGGAAGACATGGAGAGAAAAACCAGCATGTGGTTGCCTCTCGCCCGCCCCCTGCTGGGGACCTGGCCCGCAGCCCAGGCCTGCGCCCTGACCGGGAAGTGACCTGGCCCCCCTTTGGTTCGCAGGCCTGTGCTCAGTGTGCTGAGCCGCGCCAGCCTGGGCTGTTCCTGCTTCTTTAGTGCTTTCTGAGACCTGGGCTGTTCGTGTCCCACTTCCCTGGCTTCTGCCTTTCAAGTCACCCGAACGAGGGCTCCCCGGCGAGGACCACGGGCCCTGGAGAGACAAGTGGGCCCGGAGGCCTCGAGCTTCACGCACCGGCCGATCTCTAGGGGGTCCGCCCACTCGCATGATCAAGGGGCACTGCCCTCTGTTTTAATGTTAATGCCACTGTTGGGCTCGGACCCTGCGTTTGCATAGGGGTTGATGTCCCCACTGGACCGCCTGCTTCTCCTCTTCAGCAAATCTGGAAGCTGTGCGCCTTCAGCGCCGTGATGGGTGAGTGGCCTCCTGTTCCCACCCAAGGAGAGAGGCAGACCGGCCCCCCTCTGCAGAAGGGCCAACTCCCCCGGGCTCTCCAAGCTCCCACTCCATCCCCATGTACGGGGTCCCTGCGGTGCCCTGGGTCCCATGGCTGCGAAGCAGTGCACTGGGCGGGGCACAGGCGGAAGGCCGGCTGCCCTGGTGCGAGGCGCCACTTCCCAGAAGACCCAGAAGGACCCAGAAGCTTCCCCGAAGCCCCAGGAGTGTGGGGTCTGTGCGCTGGTCAGCCGCACGTGCTCGGCCCGTGGCAGCCCCGCGGGCCCAAGACAGGCCCTGCCCGCGAGGGTGTGTGCCCGCGAGGGTGTGTCCTCAAGGTCCCTGAGGCAGCAGGAGATGCATCCAGGTGGAACTGCCTCCGTCTTCCACAGTCCAGCACTCTGGGGACGGGCCAGGGAAGCGGCCAGGCGGCTGTTTGCGCAGGAGGGACCAGTGCGAGCACAGGGCAGGCTCTCGGCCCCGCACGGTGACAGCAGTGAGACCGCAGAGGAGACGCCTGCTCCTGGCCCCGGGTCCCTCCCCCCCTCAGATGGAGGGCCCCTCAGAAACTCAATGACCCAGTTGCACTTTGTGGTTCCCATTTATTGACTTTCCGGACTCCCCAGCCTGTGGCCCGCCGGACTGGGCGGGGCTCTTGCCTGCGAGGGCTGGAGGCTGCACCTGCGTGCGCTCCCCTCCGCGTGGCACCGGCCTGCGGAGCCGCTCAGCTCAGCCGGGAGAGCAGGCCCAGGCAGGCGTACAGCGCGCACGTGCGGCCCTGGGCCCCTGGCTCCCAGCACACCGTGGGGGCATCTGCCTGCAGCTCCAGGCCGCAGGCCTCCAGCAGGGCCCAGGCCGGCCCCTCAGGGCCCCAGGTGCTCCCCAGGGGCCCAGGTGGCAGGGACAGGGCCCGGCGCTCCTGCCACGGGGTGCTCAGTTCCAAAAGCTTCTCCACCTGCCAGGACAGGGCGGAAGGCTGTCCTCGGGGCGCTCAGGCACCCAACACCTGCCCCCACCACCCTGTCCAGGTGTACCCGGCCCCGCCCCACAGCCCCAGCCCTTCCCCGACCAGCTGGGCCCCCTCACCAGCTCGAAGAGCTCCGACAGGGACAGGGTCGAGGCCTCCAGCGCCTCGGCCAGCAGCACGCGCTGGGCTTCACTCAGGGCTGGGAAGAGACCGGGGGTGAGCGGGGCTCCAGAAGGCCCAGCTGAGCAGCCCGCGGCCCTGCCCCCGCCCGCCCTGCGTGCAGGGGGCCCTCACCAGCCAGCGCTCCCAGCAGGTAGTTGACGGGGCCTGCGAGCTCCTCCACCAGCGTCCTGCAGGGGAGCACCAGGCACTCGAGGACAGAGCCCGCCGGGCCCTGCAGAGGCTCCGCCCGCCCACAGCACAGGCCCTGCTCCAGCTGCGGGTACAGGGGCCGGTGAGCTGGCCGCAGGTGCGGCCCACCCGCCCCAAGCCGCCCGCCCAAGGGCCTTGCTCACCGACTCCTCCAGGGCTTGCAGGGCCAGCTCGTCCCGCATCACCTGCCCCAGGCCCCTCAGCAGCTGCTCACGCAGTGTCTTGGACATGTCCTCCAGGGACCTGGCCTGGGCCCTCACCTCTGCCTGCAGGCCCCAGAAGTCTTCAGCGGACGCCGCCTGGACCTCGTCGAGCCCATCTGTGGGGACAGGCTGGCATTGCCCGGTGTCCACAGGGCTCGGGGAGTCCTGGTCAGGAAGGAGGGACGCCCGGGGGCAGAACAGGAGCCCCCCCGGGGTCCTGGGGGTGGCCAAGAAGGTACCGACCTGAGGCCAACCTGAGCTGTTCAGCTAGGGACTTCAGCAAGGAGGTTATGGAGGACTGCCGCTGTGGCTGGTCATCTGCTGGGACAGAGCTTGTTGGCGCCGGGCGTGGGCCCTGAGCCAGAGGGGACTGAGGCCTCCCCGGGGCCCTCACGGCCACTCCAGCCCCGGCGGACTGGTGTCCCCCGTGTGTGCGTGTGCACAGGCACGCGTACTGCCCCCTCCCCCGCACGACCACACGCCGGGTGCCCAGCCCTCAGGGTTTGCCGGCTGCCCCGGGCCGGGTGGGAGATGGTGGCCAGACGCGCGCCCGGCTGCCCAGGCTGGGCCGGTGGCGTCCACACGTCTCACCTGTCCGGGGCAGCTCAAAGGTCCTCTGCTTCTTATTTGGGATGAAGATGATGTCTGGCAGCCAGGCAGGAGCAGAGATGGAGGAGGCAGGTCGGCCGGGGCTCCCAGCCTTCTCCTCACCCATTGGTTCCCTAAGGGCACGCCCACCTCCCACACGCTGGAGCCCAGGGCCCGTGGCCACCCAGCCCAGGAGGCTGTGCCCCAGGTGCCTGCAAGCCTCTGCCAGCCGGCGGCTCTTCCACCAAGGGCCCTGTGTCTTTGCCACAGAGCCTGGGCCCCAGAGGTCACCCCAACCCCAACTCACCCCACTCAGGGCCAGGAAGTACTAGCTGGGCCACCCGGAATGCGAGAACGCTGCCCGAGGGGATGGTGACCGTCTTCTTCCGGCTCAGGTGGCCCTTGCCCTCGCCCTGAGGGGCAGATCCAGGCTCAGTTCTGGGCTCTGGCTTGCAGGGCTGGCCGTGGGGTGGTGCAGCGATCTGCCGGGCGACGTGGCCCTCCCGCCCCACCCCCACCCTGCTCGGGCAGGCCCACGCCCCGCACCTGCAGGGACACGGCTCCGGCCAGCGAGAACTGGCCCGAGCCCTCCCGCTTGCTCGTCCGGGTGACCTCCACCTCCTTCTGTGTCTGCAGCACCTCCGTCACCACAAACACATCGTGCCTGCGATTCCGCAGCTGCTGCAGGATTCTGTGTTCAGGCTGCCGCAGGCGCCTGTGGCAGAGGGCGGTGGGCCAAGAGGCTCAGGGGTGTGCCGCCATCCCCGGCCCCCCACCAAGGCACCGGCTGTCCTGCCCTGGGCCTCCGTCTTTGTGCCCATCCGTGGGGAGGACAAGGGGGGTGTTGTGAGGCTGAGGGGGCCGGGGCTCCGTGGATGCCCCGGCGTGGGGGGGGTGTCATTCCCGCCCTAGGCGCTCCTGACAGTGTCTGTGGACGAAGGTGGAGGGACGCGGGCCCAGCAGGGACAAGTGGACGCCTGCTGGCCCTGGAGGCGCCCACCCGCTCTGCCGCCTGCGCACGGGAGTGTGCTCTCCCTTCCTTCGCTCCCTGGGCCCAGGATGCGGTGTTCAGGCTGAGGGAGCATTCCTCCTCGCTGCTGTCCCCGCATCCGCGCCCCCCCCCGCAGCCCAGCTGCCTCCCCGAGACCAGGGCTCGGCCTGGCTCCGCTGCCCTGGGCCCTGCCCAAGGCTCACCTCTCCTGCAGCATGGCCACCCACGTGTTGGGGGACACCTGCAGCTTGCACACGTTCATGGAGGCACTGGCGCTGCCAGACACTGCCGCCCCGCCTCCGATCTTCCCCTGTCCTGCTGCCACCACCTCCACGGTGCCCCCCAGGTGCCCGTCCACAGCGTCTTGGAAGTAGAAGGGGCCAATACTCTCGACAGCTGGAACAAGAGCAGAGCTGAGGCCCCGCGCCCCCTGCCTGTCATGCCTGTCCCCCCAGGCACAAGGGCCTTGGAAAAGGCACTGCCCCTGGCAGCCGAGAGCCCCCAGGCCCAGGGCCGGCGGCAGGCTGGTCTCCGTTCCTAAGCCAAAGGGGCTCCACCTCAGCGCCAGGGTGGTACCTGGCTCCGGAGCATCTGGCTCCAGGATGTCTCGGATGGAGAGGTTGACACACGTGTAGTGTCTGAAGAACCCTGAGCTCGGCTTCCTGCTCAAAAGGCAGTAGGGCTGGAAGCTGGTGGAGCGCTGCAGGCTGTCCACAGGGGTGAACTCTCTGTTCTGGTCCAGTTCCAGTCCCACGCTCTTGACCACCCGCTCAAAAGCTGACGCCATGGTCCTGAGGAGGGAGGTGGGTCAGGCGCTGCCCTGGAGGGCTGGAGGCCCGTCCACACTGTCCGCCGCGCGACCTGAGTGCCCAGACAAGCCCAAGCACGTGCCGGGCTACCAGGGCTGGAGGCACAGGGCAGCCCTGGGCCGCCCCTCAAGGCCTCCATCACTTGTCAGCCCAGCATGGCCCAGGGCCACCACCGAGGGCAGGCAAGGCCTACGCTCTATCTGCTGTAGCAGCTGCCCCCTGGCTGAGGGCCCAGAAGCCACCGCCTCCAGCACTGGACACAGGGGTTCACAGCGAGACCTGGGCAGAATGTCCCAGCCCCCGGGTATGCCCACTAGGGCCTCTCTGGGCCCAGAGCTTCATCAGCCACTTGTCCAGGGCTGAGGCTTCAGGATGAGAGACCAAAGCGGACATCCCAGGAGGCAGGACACCTGGGCCCACTCTGGGGAGCTGCCAGCCCGTCGCGCTGAGGTCGCTGAGCCTCTGGGTGGGCCTGAAATCAGAGTCGGCCAAGGGGTGCCTGGAGCACCACTCCGGACTCAAGCCAAACCCAGTCTGGCTGCTGAGGGTGCCACCTGCCCAGAGGCCCTGGGCTTCCCCAAGCGCCCCGTGGTGGCGGGGAGTCCTGGGAGGTGCTGGGACCGGGGCGCGGCCCCACCCAGCAAGAGCGGCGTTACTGGGGAGCCAGGGGGTCGCGGGGTGCGGCTCACCGTCTCCGTGGCGCCCGGGCTCCGCGCCCACGAAGCGACCTGAGGCGAGGCGAGGCCGCCCTGGCCCGGGGTCGCGCTGAGTGTGCTCCGGAGCCACCGAAGGAGCGCTCAGCCCTCGGGCGGACGGCCGGACCCAAAAGTGAAACCAGAGGAGGCTGCGCAAGACGCCCTGCGCTCCCGGAAATGCCCCGAGGGGCCTCCCGCCGGGCGCCCGTTCGGCGTTTCTCCCTAACGCTCCGGAGCCGGCGGAGGGGCAGAGCAGACACTTAGAAGAAAGTGTGCAAGCGGCCAACAAGAGCACAGAAGGGCGCGAAGCAAAGCGCGGGGACGCGCCGCTTCACACCCTCTCGGCGAGCAGGGGAGGGAGCCGGGAGCCCCGCCCGCTGCGCCGGAAAACCCGTGACGGCAGTGGGCCGGTTAGCACAGCCTTATCCCGTCCACGCCCGCGCGAGGCCTGCCCGCGCCGGGTCGGACACCATCGGCCGTGACACCCAGGACCTGGACACAGCCCCATGTCCGGGGGCTGATGCGCGCCAAGAAAATGGGGGAGCCCGGGACCCCGCAGGACATGTGGAATGGCCCACGGCCCTAAAAGGGAGGAGAGTTCAGCCCCCTGGCATCCTCAGTGAAAGGAGCCGGCTCGGAAGGCTGTCTCCCTTGACTCCTGCCCACTGCGATGTCCACAGCAGGAGAGCCTGTGGGGACAGGAAGTCACCGCGGTGGCCAGGGGCTGCCGGGGAGAATCAGCTGCCGGGGATGCACGATGAAAATTGTTCTGACTGACTGTGCTGAGGGTTGCGCAACCCTGAATGTGCTAAAACACACAAGAGTTTTACACTTTCAAGGCGTGAATTATGTGGCGTGCGAGTTCCTTTTTTTAAATTTATTGATTTGAGAGAAACATTGATTTGTTCTGCTTATCGATGCGTTCATGGGTTGACTCCTGTGTGTACTGTGACTGGGACTGAATCCACGACCTTGGCCGTATGGGGACAATGCTCTCACCAACGAGCTACCCAGCCAGCGCTGGGAGTTCTCTCTCAATAGGGCTGCTGCTTAGACAATCTGCAGCCAAGTGACAACACCCCAGGCCGCCACGGGCTCCGCAGCAGACTCCTGGGCCACAGGCGAACCGTGGCTGGTGCGAGGCGGCGGGGTCAGGCGGTTGCGCTGGACGCCCGGCAGCCTGGGCCAGGCTGCTGGCGCCACACGCCCCGAAGGCTCTGCACGCTCGTTCGCCCGACTGGCACGTGCATGTCGGCGCCTGTGCCAGGTGCTCTGCCCGTGCGAGCTGTCGCAGTGACCCAGGCGGCGATGTGCTGTGCTGGCATGTTGCAGCTGCGGTGCCAGGAGAGGCTGATTCAAGCAGAAAGGAAACATTGTCTCATGCAAGCAGGAGTCCCCGACCACTGGGCACCCTGGGCCGGACACTGCCAGGCCTGCCTGCATGCTCTGCCAGCAGAGGGCCTCTGGGGGCGGGGCGCTCGGCAGCCGGGCAGGGGCGCCCAGCTCCGGCCCAGCCCTGGAGCCACTGGCTGGTGAGAGAGGGCACTTTGTTGGTGGTGGCAGGCGGCTCCCGGAGCCAGAGCAGGGCTGAGTGTGTGCGCCGGTTCACATGTGTGTGTGTGTGCAAGTTTCGTGCGGTGCGTCTGCATGTAGGTGCGCGTGCGTGTGCCCCCTGCTTCTCCCTGCCCCCGACCGCGGCTCCTTGGGCTGCCGCTCCTGCTGCCCCTTATCCCTGTTTCTCCAGCGGGCAGGCTCCAGGCCAGGGTCAGGGGTGACCGGCAGGGGTTTGACCAGCCTGGTTTCTTTTCCTAGAAGGTCTTGGCTGCTGCGTGGGAGCACAGGGTGGAGGCGGAGGGTGGCATGGCCCCGGAGCTCAGTCTGAGGCAGAGGTGCCGTCCACGTGGCACCTGGAGGCAGCATGGCACACTGCAGCCCCCGCCCCCCGCCTTGTTGCAGTGACCCAGGGCTGGGTGGGGCTGGACGTGGCCTGGCTGGCGCTGTTTCCTGCCACATCTTCAGCTCCTTAGCGATGACCGTACCAAAGCGAGCAGCACAGTGTTACCCAGTGGTGGTGGTGGTGGTGGTGGTGCCCCGGTTTCTGACGGGGGACAGAAGTCAGTCCCCTCTGAGGGGACATGAGGGACAGGACATGTGCCTGCTGGGGAGGAAAGGCAGAAGGAAGGTGGGTGGGGCTGTGGTGCACCCCGTCCCCACCCCTCCTTGGTGTCCTGGGAGGCAGACAGCCAGAAACTTTGAAGTTGCCCTGGGGGGCCAGAACTGGAGAAGACACAATGTCCCCCATGGCCAGCTGTGACCAGGGCCTGGGAAGATGGGAGGGGGCCGCTGCCTGTTCGAGGGGAGGGGCCCACCGCGCGGGGCGGGCTCTAAGGACGAGGAAGGGTAAGCTTTTAGGCGTCTGTCTCCACCCACCCGAATGAGGGGCTGGCCCTGGCCCTGCGAGCCGGGGCTGGCGGCGTCCCTGGGAGGGAGCGAGCAGGTTGTTAAGATCTCGGAGAGACAACGCGGATAGCGCCCTGGGTGGGCCGTGCTCCGGCGGAGGTGGGACAGTGGGCTTAGCGAGAGGAGTCAGGCGCCCAGCAGAGGCCAGGAGGGCGGGAGACCGAGGGGGCGGGGGCAGCAGGCTCCAGGAACCCACCCAGGCTTCGCAGGAGGGCTGGATGGGCCCCGCCCAAAGTCAGGACTCAGAGCCGAGGGAGGCCGGGCGGTCCCGGGGCCGCAGAGAGGCGGGGCCGGCGCGCGGACGGGCTGCGTGCTTCGCCGAGGGCGGCACAGCCTCCCGAGCGCGAGTGGGAGTAGCCCGGGGCCGCCACTTCCCGCGCGGCCCGCCCAGGAGCGCTTACAGGGTCTTCCCGCAGGGCCGGGGAGACCTCGCCCAGGGCAGCCCCTCCCCACCCTGCTCGGCCTGTACCTAGGTCTCAGCCGGGCCGCGGGCCACCTGAAACCCGTGCCCCGCTAACGGTCCCGCAGAGCGCCCCCGGCGCGGAGCAGCCGGGACTAAAGGAGTGCCAGCCCGGCCGCGGCGGGGCCTGAGCGCCGACGAAGGCCCCGACGTCCTTTCCTTTGCGGAGTTGAGTCCCCGCGAGGCCTCCCTCCCTCTTGCTGCCCCAGATCCTCGGGCTGCTGTTCCGACGGGTGGTCCGCAGGCCCTGCCCGTGGGGGGCTCAGTCAGCGTTCGGGGATCGCTGGACAACGGCGGCAGCAAGCGGGTACCCTGCCCGGGCGGCCCCAGAGCAGAGGCGTCGGGGTCAGAGGCCTCTCAGGAATCCGGAGAAGAGCGGAGGGCAGGAAGGTCCCGCGGAGGTGGGGGCGGCGCAGGGAAACTGCCCAGCAGCTCGGAGTCCCGGGGAGGCTCTCATGGAGGGGCGGCGCAGGTCGTTGGGAATCCCCACTGCCCAGGCCCCGCCTCTCGGCGACCCTCCCCGGCGCCCCCTATCCGTCCTGCTTCCTTTGGGGTGCCCCGCCCCGAGGCCTGCAGCGTCCCGCCTGGCTCCCCCGGCTTTCGGCTGGCAGGGGGCGGGGTCATGGCACCCAACCCACGCCACTGGACCTCTGCAGGGGACCCATCCCTTGGTCCTGCTTCGGGGGTCGTGAGCCTCACTCCTGCCGCAGCTGGGGCCCTTCCCCTGCAGCGCAGGGGGGACACTGCCCGAGCTTTGCCCAGGAGGAGGGCACGTGAAGTCACACAACCTACCCGTCGTGGTCCCTGAGAGCCTCGTGGAAATGCCCTGATGAAGGGAACGGCAGGCATACCCTTTTCTTCGTGGGAGGGGGGCATCCGTCTGGGGTCTGTGGGTCACTCCTGGCCGTGAGGGCCCATGCGGGATGGGATGCTGGGGTGACCGACCCACGGGGGGCCTCGGGGGCGGTCCTCTCCCAGTCACTTCCTGCCCCCCCCACGCCGGGATAAACGCGAGGGGTCATCCCGGGGGAGAGGTCCCAGCCTGCCAACATCTGTCCCACCCGAGAGCCTGCGGGGAGGTATTCCCGAGGGGGTGCAGGCTGGGCCGACGGAGGAGGAGGCTTAGAGGTGGAGGGCAGGAGAAGACTGGGGGAGGAACCAGGCTGGGGTGGGGTCCAGGTCTCGATGCCCCTCCCGATCCCGCAGGGAGAGAGAGCCCGCGGCGGAGAAGCCGGCCGCGGCCCCTCCGGCCAGTGACCGCCGGCAGCCGGCCCCTCTCAGCACGCAGCAGGCCCCTCTCCTCGGCGCTCGGTCCGGACGGCGTCCCGTCCCTAGCTCTGCGCGTGCGTCGTCCCGCAGGCGTTGCCAGGGCGACGGTGCGTCCCTGGCGACCAGCCGCGGCACGGGCCTGGCCGCAGTGCGCAGTCTCGGAGCCTCCCGCGCCCCGCCCCACCCCTCCCGCGGGGAGACGGTCGCGCGGCGATGACGTCGCGGGGGCCTGGCGGAGCGTCGCGGTCTCCGGAGATGGAGGAAAAGGAGCTGTTACGGCGGCAGATCCGCCTCCTGCAGGGTGGGTCGGGCCGGGCGGGGGTCGCGTGTCCTTTCTTCACCCTCACTTCGCGGGGCCAGCTGTCCGCCCGCGGTCCCCACAGCCGGGCGGGGTCGGGTGGGGAGGCAGGTAGCGTCAAGCGAGAGGTGGGAGACGCGGAGGGGTTGCCGGGCCGGCCGGGTCGGCGCTCTGCCCGGGTTTCTTTGGACGGATAACGGGACCCTTCCGGGGCTGCGGCGGGACGGTCGCTTACTAACCGGCTGGAGGCGGGCGCCCGCTCCCTCGGGCAGGCATGTCCTCGGCGTCCCCGCGCTCCCGGGCCCGGACGGGGGTGCGGCGGCTCTGGCGCGGGGTGGCGTTGCTTCCTGGACGCTCCATTTGGATTCTGCGTCCCTCCGTCCAGTCGCTCTCCCCTTGGTATTCCAGACCCAGACTCCCTAGGCCTCGGTTTCCAAACTTCTCAGTTTTTAGACCCAAGTTGGGCTTTCTGCCCTTAAAAAAAAAAAATCCCGTTAAAGTTATTCCTGCAAAAAGAGGACTTAAGGACTTGGAAAGTATGTATGACGGAGAGTCTAGGTGTGCTGGCCCCTCCTTTGGGTCACTTCTTGGGCTTCATCACACCCGCCCTGAGGCGTCACCAGGTGGACATGGCTCTGTCAGGGTGTGGGGACAGGGCCGGCGGTTGGGGAGTGTTGTAACGGGGGTGGGCTGGCTCCTAGGTGCTCAGGTGAAATGCCCTGGAGCCCTGGGTTGTTCCCGTGAGGCCAGTTAGCCCACTGCGCTGGGGCTGGGGACCACCTGGCCTCTCATCTCCTGGGGTGGGGACTTCGTGCCATTCTTGTCAAGTGCTGAGTTCCCAGGGCTGTCCTTTGTCTCATGCTCATTGTCCTGTGACAGACAGGGAGGTGGTTAAGGTGTAGCCTTGCCCCCTTTCTGTCAGTGGGCAAGCCAGAGGGCCTCCTTCCTGTCGAGGCAACGCAGGGTGGGGCCTCGCTGGTCCCTTCGTATTGAGTGGCACTGCTCCACAAAGGACTGTGGGCCCAGGATAATGTTCCTAGCCTGCAGGGACAGTGATGCCACGGGGGTGCGTTTTCAGGATAGGCAGCCAGAACTCGGACTGAAATAGAGTGGATGAGGAAAGGCTCCTGGAAGGGACTGGCCCGAGAGATTCGGGCTGAACTGTCTGTTTCTCAGACTCCGAGGGGCTCTTGGTGGAGGTGGGGTCTGTGGGTGTCTTGTCAGCTGACGTGCCTCCTGGGTGCTTTTGTGGATTTTACTCTGACGCTCGGGGGACCCTGTGATTCTGTCTTCTCAGGTTTGATCGATGACTATAAAAACCTCCATGGCAACGCACCTGCCCCCGGCACCTCGGCCACTTCCCGGTGGCAGCCACCAGCGTACAGCAGCAGCAGGACTTTCGGTGCTCGCTACCCTCGCCCAAGCAGGAGAGGCTTCTCTCCAAACCACGGGCCTGCGTGGCGCAAGAAATACTCCCTTGTGAATCGGCCCCCAGCGTCCTTGGACCTGCCCGGCGACGGAGCCATGGAGCCAACCCTGGGGGCCGGGGGCAGCCAGGACCCTGACCCCCAACAGTGCGTCCTGGAGAGGCAGGTCCAGCTCAGCTCAGACCAGAGCATGGTCATCAAAATCAAGCCCCCAACGAAGCCCGGCTTGGCTAGCACTGCAGGGGCCTCTCGGGGCTCCCCGGAAGAACAGGAGGACCCGCGCCAGAGCGATCCCAGACCTCGGGAAGGCGGGGGTGAGCCCCCCGGCGGGCAGCGGCAGCCCTTGAAGCCAGGAAGAGCCAAGGGGACCTGCAGCCTGGAGGACCCCCTGCTGGTCTGCCAGAAGGAGGCTGGCAAGCCCCGCGTGGTGAAGTCTGTGAGCAGCCTGGGCGACAGCCCCTCCGGGTCCCGGCGGACGGTCAGTGAGACCGCGCTTTCTGTCAGGGCTCGCCTGCTGGCCGCCACCCTGTCCCAGCGCAGTGGCACGGCTCTGGCCAGGAAGGTGGGCTCTCACCCTGTGGCCAGCTGTGCCGCGCAGCTCCTCGGGGGTGGGAGCGTGGATGCCAGTCACCCAGACCAGCCAGCCCCCTCTGGCCCGGTGGCAGGCCCAGCTCGACCGGCGTCCGGACCCAGGCAGGCCCGGGAGGCCTCACTGCTTGTGTCCAGTCGAACCAAGTTCCGGAAAAACAACTACAAATGGGTGGCTGCTTCGGCGAAGAGTCCCCGGGCCCCTCGGAGGGCCCTCAGTCCCAGGGCGGCCGCGGAGAGCACGTGTGTAGCCTCCTGTGGCCCAGCAGAGCGAGCAGAGAAGCCGCAGCCCAGAGTGGACCTGGATGCCAAGCCCAGGAAGTTGGCCGCCCCCAGCAAGTACAAGTGGAAGGCTGCCAGCCCCTCAGCCTCCTCGTCTTCCTCCTTCCGCTGGCAGTCAGAGGCTGGCAGCAAGGACCGGGCCTCCCAGCTCTCTCCCGTCCCATCCAGGTCCCCCCCAGGGGACAAACCAGCCGTGGGACCCAGTGGCGTGAAGCCAGTCTTCAGTGAGACCCCAGGGCTCTCTGCTTACAAAGTGAAGAGCCGCACCAAGATCATCAGGAGGCGGGGGAGTGCTAAGTGCGTGTCCCAGCCGCCACCCCAGGGTCCTGTGTGGGTAGGCAGGGCGGGGCCTGGCGCGCGCCCTCCTTGCTCTGCAGGGGTGTGGGAGGAGGAAGTGAGGCATCGCCTGACACCTCCTGGTCACCGCTTGGTCGGGCCTGAGTGAGAGCAGAGCTTTGTTAGTCAGGACGAGGCTGCGCTCACTGCTGAAGGAGGGAGGCTCAGCACAGCCCTGCGCTGGCCTGTGGCCCCCAGCTGGGCAGGGACGGGTTGTGGTTGCAAGCAAGTCTGCCCTCTCTCCTGCTGGGAGAGGCTGCGGGGGCGGCCTCCTCCTGGGCCCACGGGCGGGAGACTTCGTGGCTGGCCCTGCGCTGGCTGAGCAGGCGCCGGCAGGGCGCAGTGTTTGCAGGGGGAGCAAGGCTGCCCCCTGGTGGCCCAGTGGCCGCACTTCTCCCTCCCGGTCTCCACCCTTGTGGATGAGAAGAAGCTCAAAGACGGTGCCCTGACCTCCTGCTTGGTCTGGGATCAGGGGCATGTTTTTGGCGGCTGCTGCTGGCACGGCCAGAGGCCTTGCCTCTGCCGTCAGACAGGCCGGCCCTCACTGCGAGTGCTGCCCCGCGGGCCCTTCCCGCTGGCCCACCTGGGTCTTTGACCTGCTGTCCCTGTCTGGGTGTCCCCATCTTTTTCTGGATGGTGACACCCGCATTTCAGGAGGGTGGACAGGGGAGCTGTGTGTAGCTTCTCCTGCAAAGAAGGCTGCGGTGCTCGTGGTGGCCCCCCCACATCTGCAGCCTCCTTTGCCCCCAGCCCAGCGTCCCCAGGGGCCCATCTGGCAGACTGAGTGGGGGTCAGGGGCTGGCCACCCTGCACCGGCTCTTCGCCTGTCCTGCCTCAGGGACCCTGGGACCCTCCCGGCTGCGGCAGGGAGCTGACAGCTCTGCTGCGCCCGTGAGGAGGGACGGCGAAGCAGCAGGGCCGGACCCCGTGAGGCCCAGCCGGCTGTCTCCTGGGGCAGGCGCCATGGTGCTGGGGTCTGCGTGGGCCACGGTGCGTAGGCACCATCTGCGGGGCAGGGCCTGTGGAGAGCTGCCTGCTGTTTGTCTCCGCAGCCTTCCGGGGGACAAGAAGAGCAGCCCCCCACCTGTCGCCACTGCTAAGAGCCAGTTCAGCCTGCGGAGGAGGCAGGCCCTCCGGGGGAAGAGCAGCCCCGTCCAGAAGAAGACCCCCACCAAGGGCCTGACGCAGGTGACCAGACACCGGCTGGCCAGCCTGCCCCCAGGCGGGGCTCATCTCCCCACCAAGGAAGGTATGAGGACCGCGCCGTGGGGGTACTGGCCGTGGGAAGGCCTGAGCGGCCCTGCGCTGGCCTGGGAGGTGGCGCTGCGCTCTGTGCGAGTCGCTGGTGTTCAGCGGACAGTGTGGGGGCAGCGTCCTGGGGCGTGGCCCCACTGGGGTGGTGGCAGCGCTCTGGGGGAGTTGTTGCCGGCTGGGGACCTGTGCGGGGGTCTGGCGCCGTGGGGAGTGGATGAGGGGGAGGCAGGCGGTCACTGTGGTGCTGTCCTGGAGAGCCAGGGCTCGTCTGGGTGCACCTGGTCCTGGGGTGTCCCCTCCCGTCCCCTTTGAGCAGCTGGGGGGGTTGTGCGGTGGTAGCTTCCCAGGCTGACACCTGGGAGACCTGGAGGTAGCAGGGTTTGGGGCCGAGCAGGCTTGGCCTCGGGCGGCTCGGCTTGGCCGCTGGCTCCTGCCTGCTGTGCAGAGGCTCCGGGAGGAACTGCGCCCCCAGAGCGGAGCCGCTGCGTGGGGGCTGGTCACGAGAGCGCGGGCGTGGGGCCGTGGGGACGAGAGGAGGTTAGGCTGCAGGGCGCTCGCTGCCCACCTACTCTTGTTCGGTCGCGACGCCCCGTGTGCCACGGCGAATGTGGGCTTCGTCCCCAGGCGGCCAAGCAAAGGGCGCCCCGCTGTGGGCGCTCACTGGTGGCGGAAAGAAGCCCAGCCCCAAGTCCCCTCTTCAGCCCTGCTGTGTGTCTCGGTGGCCAGTAGAGGGCGCACTTGCCCCTGTTATCTTCCCGTCCACCTCTTTCTGGTAATTGATTGCCTAATTTCCTCTTTATGTGAAAGAAAGCAGATATCGAGTAATTTGCAGCAATAACCTGCTAATGCTGGGCTAGTATCGAAACTCCCCTGTTCATTTCAAGTGGCAGATAAAACACTAATACATAATTATCCTTGCAAATTGGATTGTTTTAAATAACCAAAAGGCTACGGCCAGGAGAAGGCGACCCATCTCCCTCGAGTTGCCGTTGCAGTGTAATTGCCGCGTTCAATCAATTTCCCCGGCATTAGAAATTCCATCACAATCAACATTAAGCTTTATTCATTGTGATGGCTAAGAGCCGGGCCATTTCTCCTCTTTTTCTTAACTGGCAAAATTAATCAGGGAAAAGATTTTAAACATTTACCCGTGCGAAAGAGGTCAGCTCTGCCACTATATTGCTCAGCAGATAAGGGGCTAATAAAAAGAAAATTGAATTACTAATGATCACCAGGAACAGAGTGTATAAAACCTGGCAACCGCCGGTTCAGGGAAGGGGAGAATCCATTTTCTGGGACAAGGTGCGCTCATTTTTTATTTTGGCGCATGTTATCAGCAGTTTAATGTGAGAGCGCATAAACAGGAGGAAACAGTTAGGGAATAATGAGCCTGCAGGCAAGGCGTGCGCGGGGTGTGTGCTGTACACAATTTATTTGGCACAACAGATAATCGCTTTAATTGAATTCAAAACTGCATTGTTCAGCAGGCGAGGGGCCGCGGTTGCCCTGGGGACCGAGCCGTGCAGGACCCCGCCGGACTGCTCGGCTGCCGCTCCTCTGTCCGTCCCCCCGCCCCTCCCTGCTGCCCGCCCTCTGAGGCCCCTGGCTCCTTGGGCTCCGAGTCTGACTGAGGCTCGGGGTGCGGGCAGGGCCCTGGGGTCTTTGCCTCTGCAGCCCTTGTGCCTCTTGCTTTCCTCTCTTTCCTTTCCCGGGACGGTCGCGGCTGGGGATCGAGCGGGGACGCGCTGTTTGCTGGCTGGCGGGGCTGCCCTGTCCGCGGCACGGAGCCCCCGGGTGACCGGTCTGTGGGTGGACGGACGCTGCAGCAGGCAGGAGAGACGGGACCCTTTCACAGACCTCAGAGGCGGTTTCCGACGCACCACCCGTGTGATTGCGGCAGTGGGTGCTCACAGCGCACAGAGCCCGGCAGGCCCGCCCGCAGCGCAGACCCCAGGCACCCTGCACTGGCCCCGGGGCTTGCCCCCCAGCCGCACTGGGTGCGCGCCCCTGAGCCCAGCTTCCGAGTGCGCAGAGGGTGCCGCCTGGCCCGCGTGCACCCTGGCCAGGCAGGGGGGAGAGCTCGTGCGCCTGCCTTCTGCGTGGGGCGGGCGGCCCGCCTGCCCCGCCGCAGGCCCCAGGAGTCCTACGCCCTGCAGGGGACAGCCCTGGGCGGGCGGTGGCGTCGTCACTTCCCGGAAGTGGCTGGGACGGGGGGCGCCCCGCTGCCTCACCGGCCTGGGGCGGTGGGCATGGCCAGAGCCCACCCCCCCTTCCCCTGGCTGCCCGGAGCTGGCGGAGCCCCAGGCCACGCGGAGGAGTAGCTGGTGTGGTGGGCGAGGTGCTGGCCTCACGGTCGGCAGGAAGGGCTCAGGTCTCAGCCCTCGGACCACAGCTGCCCTCTCGCCAGCCTCCACCCCCCTCCCCAGGCCCGCCTCTCTGACCAGCTGGCCGGGCGGCCGGGTGCACCCGGTGGGCCAGGCCGGAGCCTGCTGCTTGGCACTGGGCGGCCCTGTGCACGGCCTGCACCGGCCTCGGGGCTGCGGAGGGCCTGAGGGCAGAGGCATCTTGGCCCTGGATGTCCCCGGGTCGGAGGCATTTTCTCACCACCAGCGCCCCCCGAGGCACTTGGTGGGGCTGGGAGCAGAGGTGTCCAGCTGAGAGTGGCCAGGCTGCTGGGCGGACTGTGAGCTGGGAGGCTGGCTGTCACAGAGCGTGCGTCCAAACTCCAGGGCTCGATGTGGGGAGCAGAGAAGCCTGGAGGGGGTCCCTGCCTGCCCGGGTGAGCCTCCAGGGCACAGCCTGGCACAACGTAGTGTGCAGGGCGCTGTCCTCCCCCAGGTGGTCCCAGGCTCGGGGAGCAGGAAACTCACAGTGAGCCCAAGGCTGGCCCCTGGCTGGTGTGGCAGGCGGGGACCCGTGGCAGCTCTGCCACAGCCCCAGGAGGCCCCGGCCCCGACCCGAGAACTGAGGAGGAAGCCGGGCAGGAGGACAGGCGGGCAAGCTGTGCGGGGTCCCGGCAGGGGAGGGTGCCAGCCTGGGGACTTCCCCATGGTGTCCCTGTCCTCAGGGGCTCTGGGAAGCCGCACTGTGTCCTGCACTCGTGCTGCGGTTTCCCCAAGGTGCCGGCACACCCCGGTGGGGGCCCCCAGGCTGTGGCTGGCACAGCCTCGCCCCCCGCCCCCTTTCCACGCCTGTGGCCCCGCTAAAGGTCAACCCCCTGGGCTGCTGTGCAGGCTGAAGGAGCCGTGTCAGGGGTCGGGGCTGCCGCCCGCGCTTCGCCTCCCGAGGGGCCTGTGACCCCGCGTGCTCGCGCGTGTGCAGCGGGCTGTTCAGTTTCCCTACGGCAGACACCAGAAGGGGCGTGAGAGCAGTTAAATCTGCAGTCTTGCTTTCATAAGGGAAAAAGAAAATGCTGAATTAGGGGCTCGAAAGGCAGGCGCCGCTATCCCGAGTCTTGCATAAATTACCAGGCACGTTGGAGGCCTCAGGTCTGTGTGTGTTGTGGCTGCGCTAATTAATTATCCCACAGGAGCCGGTGGGAGCCGTGTGTGCACACGGAGCTTGGTACTGCCCGGCCGGGCTTGGTGCCTCGAGGGGACCCTGACCTCTGCAGGGCTGGGGGCGCCCAAGCGACCCTGAGAAGCTGAAGCCTGGAGGGAGGGGCGATGTTCTTAGGATGGCTGGAGCTTGCACCCAGGGGTGCTGGGGAGCACCCTTCTTGTGGGCCTGGGTCCCAGCCCAGGGCCGGCTTGGGTGTTCCTTGGGCCTAGTAAACGAAGCGGTGCGCCCAGGGTGCCCCAGCTTGTGTGCTGGCCTCCATGCCCAGCGAGCCCTGCCTCCCCTCAGCCCCTAGGGCCCTCCCCGCGGCCACCCCTGCCTCTCAGGGGTCTGTCCCACCAGCTCGCCTGGGCCCAGCCCCTCCCTCCCCTGGGGCAGGGCGTGACCAGACCTTTGGTGGATGTGGGTTTGGCCCACTGGCGGTTGGGGTGAGTTCCGGAGGAGCGGGCGGGGCCGGCTCCCTTCGGAGTCCCCTGCCCAGCCTTGGGCTGGCGGAAGGGGCTGGGGAAGGGAAGGCCTGGCGGTGGGGGGATGGGGGGGCGGCACCGCTGGTGCGGGCTGCCACAGGGCACCCTGTTTCCCAGCTGCTTGCTTCTCTCTGCCATCCCTGCCCCTGGGGATGCCTGGAGGGAGGGACTGGGGTGCTGTGGGCCCGTCCTGCGACGCTGCGGCTCCTGCAGCCTCTAGGAGGCCGCCGCCGGCCTCTTCAGCTCCAGCTCCCTAGATGGGGGGACGGCTCCCTGCTGGGCAGCTGGGCCTCCCAGTCACCACCCTCCCCCGCGCCCCGCCTGGACTCCAAGGACTCGCGGGCACCAAGGACGTCCCTGAGGGGCAGCACGTGGGGAGCGGGACCCCCGGGGGCAGGGTTGGCAGCCGCCGTTCAGGGTCCGAACTGCCCCCACGGCAGCCTAGTGGGCCTGAGCCCGGACGGAGCTGGGCGGGGGGGTGCTCGACCTTCAGTGTTTATTTTTTCTAAGTACTTGATTGTAAGTTTATAAATTTCCCCCTAAGAGGAGCTATATTCCACAAGTTAATTTTTTTGTTTCTCTCCCAATTTTTTTTGTTTCGTTTGATGCTTCCTGGGACATACAGGGTGTTGCTTCATTTCCACACCTGCGGGACTTGCAGTTACCTGCCCCTCCTGCTTCCGGGCGCCGCCGTGGGGCTGGCACCCGCCCCGCGAGGGGAGCTGAGCGGACGGCGGGCCCACTGCTGCCGAGCGCGTGGGGCCCGGCCGCTGGCCGGGGGCTCAAGGCAGCAACGGTCTCCAGTCTTCGCTGCGCCGGCCAATGGGGCGGGGTCGGGGGGGATGGTGTCTCGGGGGGTCTTTTCACCAGTCACGAGCAGTGGGCTCAGCTCGCCCACTGTGCCTGTGAATTTGTTCATTGCTCTAGTGGTCATTTTTTATGGACTATTTTGAGGTCACTTTACTACATG